CGATATCACTCAATAACAAGGGAAATTCTACAGTCTATTTCCATACCAATTCCATTCTGTAATAAGTCAGAGGTTTCCCAACTCACACTTGAACCACAATCTTATCAGAAGATGATAGTAATATTTTTAAAGAGCTCTTCAAAGTCTGTTTATCTACTTCGTAAGCAGAGAAATATCACATGCCCTACTGCACTCACAAATAACTGGTAAAATTAATTGATTTAAACTTTGAGCTTTGGAAGGCCTTGAAAATTCAACCAAAAAAATTGCAGATGTTGTTTGTTAGCTACGAGATGTATAACAGGGACTCAGTAATATTACACAATTTGCATAAAAATCTGGAATGCACAAACTGCTATTGTGAAACCAAATCCTTGGTGTTTGTAGTCACAGATATAAATAGTAATATCAATCAATGTGAATACCCGTACATGTTATTCACCATGAAAACTCACGGTTCAATTCATCAAAGCAAATTTTCATGGTATTATCCATGAGAAAACTTTCACGGGACAGCTCACAAAAAAAGGAAGATTTTACTCTCCAACCCAAATCAAAGTCATGACAAATGCTACCTGCTGATGAATAGATTTGTAAACTTAAATGATGTCACAATTAAACCCATGCCAACCTAATCCGGAACAATCCTAACTCATATTATAGTAATGATAACTGAACTAGCTGATCACACTGACAACCTCTGTGATATAACCAATCTAACAAATCTGTTCCTGTCTAATCCTAGACCGTCCTAATCCAAGTCTGGGTACCAGTAGCTATTAATCAACTTAACAGATTTTTGGTGATTTAACTAACCACTTTAAACCATATGTTAACAAGCAAACTAGGAAAGAAAAAAAAGTCTTCTGGCTCATTGAACAAGAAAACAACATTGAAGTACGTTGAAAACCAACTGAAACAAAGTCACAATGTAACACTGCATTGTGATCAAACTCATATCCTTTCAGAAAGATATTGGTAGGATGAAGACACACAAATAAATTATATCTCATTGGGTGGAGGAAGCAGAGGTTGGGAGGTGAGAAAACATCAGATCAGGGAAACTTTCTACATGTCATTTATTTATAGTTCTTGCCATCCAACCATCCAGCCAAGGCTACCCAGTACATGTAGCAAACAAAACATGGGAACAGGCCTCAATAAACATCGCAGGAAAACAGAGAGACTCTTGAGAAAGTTGCTGGCATCTAGAAAACAAACATTTCTTCGCCCTTTTTAAAAACTGTCAGTCAGTAGCCACATCCATGCCCAGACTTATACATACTGACCCATACCAACATTTTCAAAGCGTGATAGTTGCGATACTGAAGTAAAAAAATGGCTGCACCATCTGAAAGTTACCCTGCTCTCTGCAAGTGGAAAGTTGCCTTGGATATCTGAGATATTTCATACCTTCTGATCCAAAACCACTGAGACTAATATGCCACATTGTGTACGAAGAACACTACAGTAACAAAGACTACCCATGCGTTAAAAGGGTCATGTTAGAATACACCTCAACCTTAACTCCCTCCGTGTAGATCAAAAAAACAATCACAAACTTACCTTTGACAATTAGGACACAGGAGCAGAGTAAAGTATGAGGTGACTCGGTGAGGCAACACGTGTACTCCCCCTCGTCATCCAACTGAGTCTTCAGGAATGTCAGAAGATGACTATCGCCACTCTCGCTGATGACTCTGAGATCACTAGGAACTACGGCTTCCCTGTCTTTGTACCAAGTAACAGATGACCGTTCATGACCTGCACATGGGGGAAACCAAATCAAGGTTGCGAGGAAAATTGGATGTGCCATTTTTCTAAGAATATAATCTCCAGATTAAATACGATCAGTTATTGATGTCATGAAGCCGGCATTCCATAACCTCTCAAGTTAATCAATGCCACCTTGAAGAATTTTTGTTACTATTTAAACACTGCATGCAAATGTTTTTTTTAAAAAGTAAGTTATTATTCGCTTACTCTGATGAAACGAGTCTCATACATCTACAGGTAAAACTAATCCAAAAGTCTGCCTACATACGTGAGTTCATCCAGCACAACTGAATCAGAGTCCTGTGGGCCCACCCCGTAATTCCGTACAATCCCTCTCCAAAAAAACCCACTTCCACAGAACCTGGTTTCCCATATCATCATACACAAACACATACCAGACCTTAGGGGAACCTAGGGCTTCTTTGTTGACACTGCATTGTGGGTGTCATTGCAAGGTAAATTTTACAAATGATAGCGGGCATTAATCATTAACAGCAGATCTAGTGGGTGAGAATGCCCAGCATGTGGTCTTTGCACTCAGGCTGCAGCATGGCAAGGCAATAATTAATTTCCAGTCTTAACTTCCTCCTAATGTTCCTGTCTATTCCTCTTTAGCGGGCCTTTTTTTTTATTGGGGGGGCCACCCTTGGCATTAGATGGACTTACTAATATTGTTCAACTTCAGAAGCAGGTTAGACACCTTTGTGATCTTCCACTCACACGAACAAAGGCCACTCTCAATGTATTTTAAATTACCGTGTCAGATAACATGTATGTAAAAGTTGAAATGAAAAGTAGAGGAACAAATCCAATTGGTTCACAACTGTTTACAGCGAAAAAGTGGATTGCCAAATAAATTGCACGTCAACTCTTTGCAAATTTAGACTTGGCTGGCTGAACCTACACAGAGTAAGATTAACAATAAACTCCTGGTATTCCAATGATTTGCCCCACAACAAACACAAACTTAATCACAACAAAAATTAACAAACTTCAGGAAATGACCCCAATTTCATGGAAATGATCACCGTGGTTAGACTCTAAGTTCACAACATAACCAGAATATTTCAGTCTGACTGGCATAAACATATTCTTTCTGAGAAAACTCTTGAACTCTTTTTCAGCCAGTCGACACATTTTGTGTAGTGTCATTAAAAACAAAATTAATTGTCTGATCAGTGTTGACAAAAAAAAAAAAAAACAGGTAGCAATGGTTCACTTACCTTGCGCCTTTTATACAAAAAGTCCAACAACATACAGCTTAACTTTATTAAACAAACGACAGCCTACACAATTACTCACTGCTAGAATATGTGGATGTAATTGTTCTTTTCTTCATTAGGTTTTGTTTCTATAACGTTCCAGTGCTCCAAAGACACAGTCCTGTTCATAATGCTTTGAACAGTGTTCTTCAGGTTACCAATTTTTAAAAATACAAACAATTGTTATTCTAAATATGAAGAGATGAAGATGTTGTATGCCAATATGTCAAATAAAATTGTCCTTATATAAATCCGCTTTAACTATAAAACTCTGACTTACCTGCCACTGGACACTGTAGCTGTGTGGGCTCTCCTTCCATGGCAAACAACTTCTGTGGAATAACAGGTTGCGCCTCCTCTTTGGTGGTTGGAGATTCAACCGCCGCCTCCCTCGCAACCATGGGTCCATACTGGAGATATTGGACTGGCAAGCTATAGAAACAAAAAGAAAAAGAAATCATTTTTTAAGTGATTTTCTTGCTATCAAACTCATCCAAAGGTTTAGAAGATTCCTCGATGCATTACAGTACAATCAAAAACACATCAGAGAAGACCAAAAAATTAGCCCTGTGACTCACCAAACGCGGTATCTTTTCTTTGCTTCTGCCATCCAAAACACAGGAAGCGAGAAAACAGTCACCCAAACAATTCCTTAACTGGTTTCTCTCACCAACTTTGACAAATTCATTTTGACTCATGATTCCTGAGGCATGTCTAGCTCCACAAATGTTAACCACCACATCCAACAATTATGCTGCCTCGGCTTGTATCTACTCAACAAGTTTTTCCAAGGCCTGGTGTTTACATGAACTGTTTCCAACATGCTTGCTCCCATCTGTGTTAAATAGCGAGTAACAGAAGTGGTTTTCTAACCCCCCTGGGTGAAACCTTTCCAACTGATGCCATCAAACAACCCAGCAACAAGTGTGATGGACAGTGACAGTGCAGTTCACAATGCCGTCAGTTTGCCCGTATCAGAATTCCATTGATTTCTGGTCATCCTTGCAACAGCTTGACTGGCCATGTGACAGGGGAATCTTTTGTACAAGCTGTGAGAAAAAAAAATCAATGGCTCTTCTGTGAAAAAGATCTCCCTGGGGAGCTAAACCCAGGGTGACCTTATTACCTGCAATGTCATCATGTTCAGCTGTGATTGGAAATGCTTTACGACCATTCACCAGTAGCCAAAACTTGACAAGGAATGTACAGTAATCCCTACACAGACAGACTTGTGGAAATGTTGCAGTAGCAAGTTGTAAATCATCAATCATCAATCACCATGAGCTCAGTTTCCTAGTGAGTATCACCAGGAAACTGAGCTCATGTGACCCTGATATATAAACTGTGCATTATGCAAGAAAACCTGATACTTTAAACCTGATCAGCTAAGCACAAACAACATAATCACCCGTGTTTCATCCAAAAGGACATATCATTAACTTCTATTCATGAGGAAAATTCAAGACAAAGTCAAAGAGGTCACAAACCTTTCAGTTTCTCCAGGCATTATTGCACGTATACGCCACAAAGAAAGACTTAAAATAGACACTTTCTTGGAAAATCTGATTACATGTCTCAAGGATAAACCCAGTCAGACATTGTTCAGGTTTTTTGTTTGTTTTTTTTTAGGGGGTGGGGGGTCTATAATTACTATAAGTATTGTAAGAATGCTTCTTTTTGGTTATTGTATTTGTAGTAAGAGCTACAAAACAATTAACTGAATTGTAAAATCTGGAAAATAAACAACTAACGTCAACACTTTCAGATCACAGAGAAAAAAGATCTACAAAAATGGGTGAGGACTAGATTAATTACCACTTACATGTACATGTACCTGCCAATTTGTATCACTATTTCTAACAGATCGGGATTCGGATATAAACTCCAACAATTAATCAACTTAATTGCAGAAAAGAACCCTATCTAAACCTACAGGAAGCAGGCTGGTACATCTTTACAACCGGTAAACAAACAATAGGTTAGAACAGCTGCATGTATGCACTCAGACTAAATTTCATGACACTGAAATCCTTAACAAAGGTTCCACAGCATGCATTATGAATGTCATAGTATCAGAATTTAACTTAATGTATTCGAAAATTTTTCAACAAAAGCGGTTTTGACAACACATGTGGACAGTCTACTCGCGGGAAACAAACTCCACCTTCTACTAGTGTTAAGTGTTAAGTCAAAGATTTTTTAACCGTTCTTGGCAAAGTCAGCGGCATGTTACCAGAAAAGTGGGTACAGTGTACCCACTAAAATGCTAGAATACCATGACATTTTATTCACTACAGATACACACATTACCAGCTTATAAATACCTTTACTTCGGAAAAGTGAAACCAAGATTTCTGCCTGCTTTTGGCTAAACTATGCTTATAATTATCACAAATGATGCGCGAGCGGAGATGAAAGACGCCCTCAATCGTCTTGTAATTTCAGGATTCTAGAAGGCGGAGTTTAAAAAGTTTTTGACGACGTGAAGCGACAAGACAAGAGGCTGGTTGTTAGGGGGATTGACAATAAATGATCACAAATGGCGACTCACCTTGACATTTCGTCAGCCATAATCTGAACATCAACATCCGGCTCACCAAATTCTGGGAGAAAAAAAATCATAATAGCGTGTTACAAATTTTAGGATTAGAAGCATGAATTTTGCAGGCAGCATTTATTTGACTGCAAAGCCTTTGGTATAAGAACTCATTCGAACTCGAGGTAACTCTGAAACACAAACCTTCAACGGAGAGATCTGTAGAACAGTAGACTTGCCCTATTATATTCCCAGCCGTACAGGTGTAGGTACCGGCATCGGTGGGTTTGATCTCACGGATTTCAAGCACAAAGTTCCCCGGTTCGTCACCCTCAAAGACGCGGTAACGTCCCTCGTTTTTGAGTTCCATACCCTGACTGAACCAACTCACGTGCGGCTTGGGCGATCCTAAGACAAACGTTTGTTCTTGTTATTACCAATTAACGGATTAAGGGAATTAAGAACACAGAGCCCATATTCAAGACAAGAAGGAATGACTTGAAGATAAATTACCCCACACGGAGTGAAATGATAAGATTTGACGTACTAAGCCCTCGGTCTCAAGCAAACTGTATACGGGGGAAGCCGTGGATTATTTGGAGTAAAAAGCTTATTGTTTCACAACCTGAAAACAGCTCTTAAGATTTCCAGAGTAGGCCAGGCCATAATGCTGTCATGAAGTACCTTCTAGATGTTGTCCAAAGAGTTTGTATGAAAAAAATTGACAAAAATGTAGGTATACTAAAGATGAAAGCTCTGATTTGTTTGAAATGGCATGAGGCAATCGCCTTTAATAAAGAAAACAGTGCTCCAGAAAACGAGAGAAAAAATATTGAAACTACATTCTCAATTTGTTTTCGTGATGTTTCGTGATGCTTCAGTTTCCTGCAGTATTTTTATTTTTATTTTATTTTCATCTTATTTTATTGGTACCTTTCACGCCACAAATAAGTTTCGCTGTTTGGCCGATTTCAACTACTCGACTTTGGGGCTTGAAGGTGAAGCGCGGTGCAGTGGCTCCGTGTGTTGTAATCTTCACAGTCCTCTTAGGGACTGTGTTCGCTTCTGTAATTCCTCTTGACAACCACGTCTCGCCGAGATGATCCACTATTTCATCCCTAAGCGGCAAAAAAGCGATTCTCATCTAAGAACAGGAGTCTATGTGTGGGGGGAGCTACCAAACTTAGTCCCTCATGAAGGTTTTTGTTTTGTTTTCTTTGCATTTTATTTTATTTTATGTCACGATAAAGCCAGACAAGTTTTTCATTATTGCTTGGGTTTCTTCACATTCCGACAATCTCAGCAGCATCAAATTTTAAGTGACTGATTGTAGAATTTCAGTATGTTCAGGCCACTTTCTGGTTTATTTTAGTTTCCTGCGTGGCCGATTTTTTCCTCTTCAAAGCACCAATACTTTAAGATGTGAGTTGATGGGATATACTTTCCACAGAGAAAAACGATCAAGAAGTGCTCCAAGAGCGAACCATAACAATGCGAGTTTGATTTCCCATGACAAGCACTGAACACTGATGAACCACCTGAGAGAAACCGACCTCCTCCCCTTGCGTACTGTGACTGTATTGCCCGTGTTCATTATGCCTAGTTGTTCAATATCATACACATGTGGGTTACTGCTTCAACTCTGCTTAGTTACGCATCCAAATTCAGTCAACGTTTCTCTGCTTTGTGTAAACAAGGTCATCCAAGGTGTACCATCGGCCTAGCGATATCAGAGCGTATCATAATGCTCATTTTCATCGTTTGGTATTTGCCGGTCCTATTGACTTTTTAAACACCTGCGATCGCAAGAAATAGCAGATCAAACAAGTGCAAGCCAGTATTGTGTTTGTCGAGTCAACGATAAAAACAAGTTGAAGGTGTAGGGGGCTCACTACATACAGCAAGCACGGCGAATTCAAATCGAAATAATTAGACTAATCATAATTAGACATTATCATAAAATAGCGTCAAGCTACATGTAAATAAAGAAACGAGACATAAAGAAACATGACCTATTTCGAATCTGTTTTTTTTTACATGAGTGGAAAGACTTACCCAGATGTAAAATAGGAACGAGCAGTTTCGTATTCCGAATCTGACGCCGATTCTGTGAAGGATTGAATGATCATCACAACTTTATGATAATTTTGGCCGAACATGGATGCCAACTTAGACATAACTGGCGGGAGGGATGGTGTATTGAGTTTACAGAACACAGAAATACTGCGATAAGTCTAAACGATGGACATTCTCTCTGTCGAATAGAACAATGCACTGTAGGCACAAGCGTAAACATGCATTAACAAAAACAACAACAACACAAGTGGATTATTTTCGTTGCTTTAAAGTCAATGTTCTCCAGAATTTTGAACCTAGATAGGCATTCAACACTTAAGTATGAGTCTTCAGTCCAGGAAAGCACACACCAACAATACTGAAATAACCCAGGGGAGCTTTCGATTTCACGCCTTGTTACTTGATTTGATCCCCTTCCTGTCTATTCAACAACGCTCACTCACGCCCATATAATTTGCTGCGCTTGCCTTGGACAAGTTTTGTCTGGGCCTATATCCAAATTCTTTACGTATCAATAAGCACGCCAGCGTGATATCGTGTAAAACTGGTACAAGATCCTTATCAGTACTTATCTATAAACAAGAAATTGGAATCTTACGACACAAAAAGGGCTCACGGAAAGGCTAGAAAACGGCCAAATTTTCCTGCTGACGTTGCTCTTCCTAGCGACTTCTTGGGCTCTTTATCCGTTATGTTACGACTATTTAAAGAACACTGTCCGAACATCCTCAATTTACTCGACCAAGTTCATCTGTGAAATCATCCCAAATGCATTCACCGCAAAATTTGAGTTCGACAACGCAGTAAGAGCTTGCTAGAATATCGATGAGGACAAGAAGATTCCCACTCCTAGGCATTTCAGAAACATTCATGACTGCACAATTACAAATTTGAGAGAGAAAAACAAAACAACCATTGGAAAACATTTCCAAGTCAATATTGTTAACAAACCGGTTTTAACATTGATGCCTGGCATGTTTACTTAATGTATAAATGTGCGTGACCTATAATATGTTTCTGACATGTCCTTTGAAGAGGTAATGAATAGCCATCAAGTTTACAGGACCAGTTATTTGTTTACTTAACAGGTGTCTGGATAACGTAGACTTTGCCTGCGGCAAGCAGTCTCTTATTCTGGGGCTCGGTGAACCGGAGAAAACGAAAATCGCTTTGTGCCTCCTCTGAATTGTTCAAGTGAACCTGTTTTCACCTTGGCTAGGTCAGGGTTTCGAAACTCATGTTACAACTGTGTTTGGAAATATGCTGTTCTTGGTTTACGCGAAGGACAATTGAAACAAACCAAGCTGAACCGTACCGTACAGCGATTCCAAGACCGATGGCGTCGCGACTACAAACAGCATAGGCCTATTGTGATTGAAAGTACGTGGTGTATGTTCATAAAAGGAGAATATCATAGTGAACGCTTCCTCATAAGAATAACAAGGATGTATAAACCGAATAGATACATGCATGGAAGATTCATATGGATAATTCTGCTGTCGTACCATTTTTGCGCACAATTAGGCTTTGATACCTTGAAGATTCTTACTGAAGAACGTAGAAGTTGTAGAATCAAATTTATAAACACTGAAAAGTACTGCTAAGAATGATCAAACAGGAGAAATATGCGAAATGAAAATTTTGCATCACTTCAAAGAAAGTTGATAATCAGTAACTACATAAGAATTATTAAATAAAATTTTCCCCTTACCTTGAACGATCAATTCGGCTGCACTTGTTGCCTCGCCGATGGTGTTGCTAGCTTTACATGTGTAGACCCCAGTATCGAAGCTCTCAACCTCTTTCAACAAGAGCGTGTAGACTCCCTGCACCTGATCTGAATTCAGCTCCACTCGATCCGGGTCCACGGCTTCATCACCATCCCCAAGAGGCTCGTCTTTGTAGAACCAGCTGACATGAGCGGGTGGCCAAGCCTCGACCTTGCACCGCATCAACACCGCGTTGTCCCCGTAGCCCTCACCGGTCGGCGCGCTAAGGAACAGCTCCTCGGTGAACTCCGGTCCTGGTGCAGCCACGAATTAAAAGTTTGTAGGAAAAACGAAGTAGAAATACTCTCTCAAAACTTTGGAGGTGTGCACCAAGATTGACGACAGGTATCAGAAATTTTGGGATAGACCTATGGGTGTCCCTGGCCACTCCATCTGACGCGAACAGCGCATTGTGTGACGCGCATGACAGAGGTGAACGAACGGACCAAGTAGAAGGCTCAGTACCTTTGTTGTCGACAGACTCCCCTGCTTAGTCCGACTGCACAAGTCGGAGGCAAGCCGGTCTAATTTGAATACAGTATCAGTCTAGTGGACAAGGAGCCCGAGTATGCGGTTACAACCGCTATATTATAGTTCTCACGCAAACCACCCCAAAGCACAGTCACATAGGCGCGGCGTGAGGTGTTTACATTGTTTAAGAACAGACAGAAGGTACTACTACACGTGGACCCTTCCTTGACCCAGGCATCTGAAATGGACTTTCCATTTCGACAAGAACAAAATTAACAATGCAATCTAATAGACAGGTTGCCGAAGGCACTTTAAGGTTTTCTATATCAGGTTCAGTGCCACCTAGTCGTGAGAAAGAAAAATCTGTCGGCAATTACTAATATTGTACTTTAATTATAGAGCCTCGACACGAAGGAGCCTTTGTTTTGAGAACTAAGGAACAGGTCAGGTCAAGATTATTGATCTTGAAGTTGACAATTGAACCTGAATACAATATCACTCTTTAACAAAAACGAATCGTTTAAGAAAAACAACATGAGAAACGAAATCCATTCACATATAGGGAGTAATTCCCAAAATATGGGAAAAAAAAACCATTAGGGACTTACATGGAAAATTACACTAAAGTACAAAATATACCAATCAATCTTCTCATTGACGTTTGACTAATTATTTAATGTACAGAACGTTATCTACCAATAGAACTATTGATGGTTAGATTCTACACAATAATGCTTACCTCTGGTGAATTACAACAACAATTTTGCTAAACGTACAATGGGCTGTACGAGTTTTTCAAGAAACTTGACTGCGTCCACCTTGCTAAAAAATACCACCCGTGTGTCACGTTCATTTGAAGACCTATTTTGCGCGTCTAATAAGGGCGGAGGCTGTGATAAAAAATGCATCCAGTCAACGAAGTGTCATTGAGTATTGCCCATCATAACCTCAATCGTTGTTTCGACGTAAAGGTGGTTGCCATGGCATTGCTCGACAAGGCAAAAAATTATCAGTTACCATTAGAGGAAGCTTGATAGTTACACGGTGGGGGTTGGGAGATATATAACTTCACGCCGCTTCATATGAAATATACCAGGATATACATGTACATGTACAATGCTGGTTGCAATGAAGAAAACTCCTGTTCATCATCCTTTTCCCCTTTAATTGACAGGTTGTGGTAATTTCAGCAGGTCAAAAGCAAACAGATATATCTTTTCCTGATTTTTGTCTTATTAAAAAATCATTTTCGTGATGTATTTGTGCTTTGATATTTTCCCTTTGTTTTTATTGCGTACAAAGCACTAGAATGCACTGTACACTCCATCCTCAAAGTGTTATCAAAGATTAGTTCACTACATGGCAATCTGCCTCGAGTTTAGTCAGTGGAGCGAAGATCTTCAGCAAGACAAGAGTCTTTTCTCATTGTAACCAGAAATAACTGTCCTTGTTGCCAAAAATAACTGCTACACTACCCTAAAAATAACAACCAGGGTTATTCTTAGCGCTCATTAGAGGGTAGGTTTGCGATACGTTAGGAAATCACAATGTCCCGGCTTAAAGAATTAACAAAGTGGCGGCTCAAAGAAAGGATTATGACATCCCCAAGTCTTCAAAGTTAAGACTGGAGAACTAAAGAACGCCCTCAATCTCCTTCAGGCTTTTATCTGAGGGTAGCGACGGAGAAATAAGAATCCTTTCTACGTCTCCTTCTACCGGATGTGTAAACAAGAGGGCATGAATGAATCCACGATGGAGGATGAAGTGTCTGAGACAGAAGTGATTGGCAGAAGTGAGGTGGCAACTGTAGCATTACACCACTCATCACTCGTCACGGTGCAGAGGCTACTATTCAAGTTTGTTACAAAATGAGGTATCAATGCTGCGTAGGACCAAACACCAAAATGCAAAAGGCTTCTACGAAAGTACTTGCTGAACAAAGGCGACAACAAACCATTGACTGCTGATGATATTATAGCATAACATGACTCTTTTCATGGAAAATAAACTGGTGATTAAAAGAAGACCAATATTTTCGACACGTTGTCCCTGTCTTCCTCTATGCTCTCTTGGTTGTATGCTGCGCGCCATGCTTGACACTAATGTGAGTTCTGAGCGTGTAATCGAGTACAAGATTACGCATAATAATTAAACGTTGGTGGGAAGCTTCTTATGTGTCGTGCATCCCCGTCAAACTAGTTAATTACTTTCCAAATTATTTTTGAAAAGGTGTCAATCGCACAAAATAAATGTACATTGAAAATAGTTGAATTTGTTAACGAACATTAAGTAAATGGCGACACGGGTCACTTTCTTACCTTTTGGAAATTTCTTGCTTTCATTTGTTGGCGTTGTTGAGAGTGAATTCGACTGTTCAACCACTCCAAGGTCAAAGTTCAAAGGAGAAGTTTCGAGGACAGGAGTCAAGCTTCCTTCGTCTTCCTGTGAAGACGCAACGAGGGACACATCGTCTCCGTCGGACTCTTCCTCCTGATCAGAATCTAGTTTGTCGTCACTTGGATTTCCGAAAGCTGTCTCTCGTAAGTCATCCAGAAAGGATGTTCCTTCGACGCTGTTTTGTCTGGAATCATCCTCTACTGATGAGGCTGTGTCGGTATGAGAGAAGTAGCCTACTGCTGGCTGTCTAGACAAACCAGGTGAACGAGGTGAGGGCGTCCTATCGTTATCAGGGTTGGTTGATCGCTGGAGATTGAGGGTCAAAGGTCTCGATACTGGATTAACGACTGCTTGCTCGGATGGCTCTTCATTTTGGATTGAAGCCATCCGTGGACGTGGGATTACAGATGGGCCGCCGAAAGCTGCACTCATTGCCACAAACTGCTCGTATTCCTCCTGAGTTAGATCCAAGCTATCAGTCAAGTTGATTATGGCTTGAGAAGGTTCTAAGCTGCGCGCTTTGTTGTCACTCTGGTGTAGGCCTATGGATTCTTGTTGAATTGGGCCCGCTGGTGAGGAACGAGTTTCCTTGGATAAACACTTAGGAGGTGGAATGACAGCAGGGCTTCCAAAGGCGGCATTCATAGCCAAAAACTGTTCAAATTCCTCTGGTGTGATGTCCAAGCTGTCGCTAAGCTGAAAATCAGGGTGTGGATCTTCACCCTGGTCACCTTCCCTATCAGCCTCCACTTTTTGCTCTGCGTTCAGATTGTCGTCTTGAGACGATGCTACAGTAATCACCTCATTGAGGTCGTAGATGGATTCGTCGTGTATCATAGAAACTGCTCGTGGTCCCTCGGGAGGTTTCATCGACGATTCACCAAAGACAACTTTCATCCTCATCAGATGATCTTCCTCTTCTTGCGTCATCTCAAACAAATTTGGCTCCGCTTCTCCAATCATGTCAGATGTTGGCAGACTGCTCAGGAGTAAATCGTCGTCTTCAAACAAGTCTGGAGGTTGCTCTTTGTCCTGGTCCACCACAGTGTTGTCTTGATCGAGTGCCGTGATGGTGGGTGACTGGGGTCTTTCCCCGCCCTCACTATCGATCGAGCTGTTGCTTCCCCTTCTGTCCTCCCCATGGCTTCTTCCGTCAAAGTCACCTGTGTTTTGTGCTTCATCATCATCTGAGCTACTTGACCCGGAAGAACTCCCTGTGTGGTGGTCAATTTCTTTGTCAATCTGCAACGTGATTTCTACCGGAGAAGTAACATCGTGGTCAATACCTATGCTTGAAATTCGTTCAGGCAAGCCATCTGGGGGAAAAAATGAAGTTATCGTCAAATTAATTTAGGAATCAGCCTATTTCAAATACATTCGTGTGTTTCACAATTGAAAAAAAAAACACCAAAAAGTACTCTTATTTATTATTCTGAAACTATTCCATTTTTCATTTAGATGTGTCAATCAGAGTAAAAACTTATCTACACATAAATCTATGCTAAAATGGTGAGAAAATAGTCGGACACTTTCGGAGATTCATATCATAACTACACCTTGAGGTCAAGAGTTCTGACTAATGGCTACCGCGTAGCGCATGTCTGCTGGTGTCAACGTAAAAAATTCTACGTTAGTTGAGCAGCTTTTGGCACTTATTCTGAGTTACCACTTGAAAACTGTTTTGAACATAATTCGGCTTGATTCTAGCGAGGACTAGTATAAATCTTTGGCAGATTTCTGCGAAACCAGTACATTCCAATGTCTTTCTTTGGTTCTCCTTCAGCAATCCCAACATCAATCTGGGCAATATAGCCTTACTACACCGCTGTGTCCGTACTCGCGTTACAAACGAACAATCGGAAAGAGAGAAACACTACTCCTCCAACGTTGCTCAAATTTGCACTCGGAAAATAAAGTTTGTTGTCACAAGAACACTTGAGGATTGTAAAGGTGTTGGGCACGTTTGACGTCGATATGGAAACAGAAAGGGAATGGTTCCTGAATTCCATGGTATAGTGGGCATGGCTGCCACAGTACAGGCCAGCGCTTTTATGATGAAATTGAGTAAAATGTTATACACAAAGATGATCTGCGGGAGGATGAAGAACAAATTAATTAATGGATATAACCTTTGCGTGCTTGCTCATGAATGAACGATGGTGCCCAACTTAATGAGTTACTTTACCTGTCTGTGTTGATGCGTCTGATGTGAATTTATGATCCTCCATTGTAAACGTTGAGTCATCGTCAGATAATGTTCTACTCTGTTCAGCATTACTTGTTGGAATCTCAATGTCAATTCTATAGGTTTCAAGAGACGGAAGATCAATGTATGCACAGGATAGATACCGTTTGTCAGCGACGGGCTGTTCTCTGTGCCTTTGTGCATTGTCCCTTGCTGCTGTACATTTTGTACACGGAGCACGGCAGGTGCTACAGACACCCGGTTTCGATGTCCGTCCCTTCTTGATGCTTGTCCCTCCAAATCTAGGTCTCCTCTTGAAGACATTTCTTGAACTCCCTGTCTGTTCCCAGCATTCAGTTAATGGTTCTAGCCGGATGTTCATACCACGTGGTTTAGAGGCTTGTATAGAGCGGATGACACAGTCTAGTTGGTTCTCGATGCCAAGCTCTAAGACGATACTCCCAGGAGGTGACATCTCCGCGTCTCTCACCTTTTGAGATTCGCCGAGGTGACTGCAATGATCCGACATTGTGGTGGACGTACAGTTTAACTATCCTGAGGTAGATTAGAACGGCACCTAGTCAAACCGTCAATGTCCTGAAGGAAAGATGCATACAATGCATCATACATCCAATGCTGCCTCATCCAAGTTCACGGATGTTTAACATAGATTGTCAACCGTCACTTCAAAAGGTAAAGCGCAACAACGTAGTTGATCATTGCGCAATTGTAAACTACACCCAGTTATCCAACAGACCGTATAAACATCACCATTACAACTACAACGACAGACCACAGTCGTAAAGGCAACATTTCGGTTAACCACCAACTGAGATCGCCGACGGTTCAGAATTATGAGAAACTTGTCGAATCATTTCAACCGTGTTTGACTCGAAATCCAAGTCTTTTGTGTTTTTGTTATCATCGTTATATTGGAATAAGGTCCGTCAATAATTGTCAATGCACAGGCTCCAGTATAGGTCCTGTCTTTTTTTGTTGCTGTTCCACTGAGGTGGAATATTACGCGACTAAAGGTTGACCTTTATTAGTCGTGGGATATCGAGGCCATTGTTCGAGGTTTATTCTCGGCAGCAGAAATATCGACAACAACCAAGCAATACTGGAGTGCTCGTACGTGCTCTTGGCTCTTAAAAAGCGCCGAAACTCCTTTGAAATATTTTGGCTGCAATGTTTGATTTAGTAAGCATTTATAAATCGGAGATATAGGATTCATGAAGTGGATTCAGTTACTTGAAAAGTGATGTTAGCAAGAGGCTAAGTTTCCTTAACATTTTGCGGCACGTACCGGGTATTCAATGATCTTCATCTTTCAACGCAGCTGTTTACAAATCGAGTCAAACCAGCAACTTCTATGTCACGGAGTTTAAATCCTATTAGGCAACGGTAGCGGTACTTGTTCATATGGCGTCTTGTAAGGCACAGTGGTGATGAACATGGAAGAAATGGTGTCACATGGTAATCCCCTGCCCGATGTGATATAACAAAACTTCATTCACCTCGTATCGCCATCTTGCCAGGTGATGAGCTTAGTCTGTGAGTAATAAAACCACTACAAAGGATGATGCAGGATGAAGGCGAACAGTACCGTTAACTGCATGATAAATGGATTCATGATAGGCTAATTGTAGAGTCTGCCGTTCAGAAGATGAATGATCTACTCGCCTGCTCCCAGGTTAAGCGTGAACTCTACACGGATCCCGTTGAAAGATGGTGAAGCGGCTGGGGAAGTCCTCCAGTGTTGAAGATGGCGTCTTGCCTCATCTTGACAGCTTGCCATCTCTTATAGCTCACTTGCCTAACCTGCAATATCAGAGAAAAAAAAATGAAACACAAGTTTTTTTTATTTAGGCGTTAGAGGTACATGAGTGGGCATGAATGTCAAGAGCTCGAAACTGGAGAACCTATTGAGTGTTCTGTGAAATGAAGGCAAAAAAAATTACATCTGGATGCTGGAACCATGTTTGCTGAGTGTCGTTTGAGAGAAGGACACGCTCCTTTTCGCATTACTACCGTACCTTTCACTATTCACTAACCTATGGCAAGACGGTGATAGTTGAAAAGAAATTCTTGAGTGAAGCTGCATGAAGGGCGAGCACATAGTGAAGATGGAAACCGGCAAACAAGAAACGAATAAACTAATGGTGATAATCAAAATACGGACGAACGTTTTGTGTCAAACCAAACAAATCAATCAACACATACAGAATAAATTAGCGAATAATAATTATACTAAAAAACCCACATGTATCTGCAAACGACACATCTAAGGAAGATGGACGTGGCAGATTCCTCGGTTATGCAAATACGGCTAACCAAGTGACGTTTATGGCGAATAGTGGAATGAGCTAGGCCTTCGTACATCTTGATCCGAGATATAAATGAACATGTCAACGTATAGCTGCGTACGTAGAGCTGCGCTTTGCTCTAAGGTATAAAACTCCGCAACCCGTCAGTCCTGAACTGCATAAGCTAAGCTGATAATCACCATTTTCCCTTTGCAATGATAAACGTCAGTAGATATGCATGCCATTACAACAAAATTCCACACTAGAATAAAGTATTGTTTCTTGTGTACGATTTTAGCTTGAAACGAAATCCGCATCATACATTATTCCAACATGACACTGCGAAACATGTTCTTCACAACATGAGGTGGATGTCATAGACGATGAACATGGCATCTGGACAGTAATTTTTGCCTTTTTTTTACTGGATGGCAAAACAGGAGATTGATATCAGAGAACCAATTTTCTTAGGCTTCAATCAGGTGAAACATAGACAATTTCAGTGGGATAGACGAATGTTTACGAACTGGCAACACACAAACATCACTTTGTACCTACAATGTGACCGCCACAGTCTGAAAGCCTACAATGTTCCTTCATCATAATTGCTTCAAGTAATCCAATTTGTCCTGCTTTAATTTCAAGGTTGAAATCGCATTTTCGTTGTTGAAAAGTTCAGTCAAGCATACGCCATAACGACGTCTCAGTGTATCTGATACTTCATGACAATGGCGGATGAAGTGCAATGGGGGCCAGCCCCCCAGCCATTTTAATAATAATGAGAGAAAGACACCAATTGTTTGGTCTATTTAATTTCCCTTCTTCAGAAAGCGAGTATAAAGCCGAAACATGTATCCTCACCCCTTAGAAAGACCCCAAAAGGTGACAGGACACAAATTTCCCAATTTTTTGCCCACCCCCCAAAAGTTTGGCCCCCCAAAATTTGGGTCACCAAAAATTTGAAACCATGCTTCATTAAGTATACTAAAGAATTTAAAGAAACCCAACTGATTGGTGTCTGGTACTGAACTTCTACTTTGATTCAAGCCTGGACTAAAACCGTTAGAAATTCATCAAAAGATTACGACCAACACTTTCCATGATGACATTTGCTCCACTTTGTCCAAGTAGAAACATAATACTGGTTGGATTGAAAGATCGTGCAACACACGTTTAATTTCTGTAAAAACGCTGTATAAAAATGGTAAATACTGGCAACACCAAAAAGAATCCCTAGGTAAACAACCAATCAACATAAAACAAACACAGGTATTAAGGTATTACTTCTGCCACTAACTTTGTGCGGGGGAAAAAATCGCATCCGAGTGCACAAGTCGACGAGATTGAACAGACGGGCTGTCTGATTCTACCCGAATGCGAACACAAGGTCATTCAGAAAACACTCCAACAAAGCAATCCCTGGCTACCTGCTGGTTCTAGGCAGTGTCTATAAAACATGGATAAATATAACTGAATGACTTATCGTTATTATTATAACTGGTTCGTGAACAATAAAGGGGGTGGTAGTGTCTGGACAGATTTATGTAAAAGACAAGGGACGAAAGTGATGTTTGCTTTAGTCATTCATAATAATCTAAAACCGTGATGCGACTAATAAAGGGAATGCCCGGGTCACGGTACGTAATAAGTAAGAGGCTTTGGATACTTTTTCAAAAGAAATAAATCAGCTCATTTACGTGTACGTTTAATGCTGCCAAATCCGATAGTAAACAAGGATTATTGCAGCACTAATTTAAAATTATCTGCTCTTTGTTTCATTAATTCATTTCAAAGTCGTGTGCTCTGATCTGAGTCTTTCTCCAGATGCGTAAATGTAGAAGCCTACACATTAGAGCTCCTTCGTGAACGATAATTAGATCATGACAGCGTCTAAGCTCAAGCTAGACCTATTTTTCATACCTTGAGGAGTATGGAACTCACGACGGCAATCATAGTTCCTAATTCGACGGAAAGCTTTTTCCATGAAGCAATATTGCACGGACTTCGGATTCCATCTATCCATCACATCAGCCCCCCAAAATTGAGGCCTGATGGCTGTGGCGTGGCCGCCGAAGAGTAAATTAGACACGTTAGGTAATCAACTTATCTAGCAAGTGTGAGCAAACAAACGAGGAGGAGAAAGAGCACTAAATACCTGTCATATGATCATCCGGTGGTTGAGTGCCTAGTAACAGTTGCCTAGCAACACTTTACTAAACCCGTACTCAGTGAGTGGTGGTAATATATTGTCAACGGCAAAATAGTCTTTGCTTCACGCCGCCATGTTCAGCTCCCGTTGGTTGGTTCCATGAGTGTGTTACCATGGTTATTGATTTTGACAACAAAAGTCACCCGCATCCTTCACCCTCTGGATTCTCCTGACTTTTCCTTCATAGCTGAGATGCTTTACATCCGTTACTGAATGTACCAATTCATCAACATGCAGCATGTTCTCACCTAACCTCTAGCGAGCCAAGTAACGTGATGACGCCTGACTAGCTTCGCTAATATTACTGGATCCATTCTTCCCGAGCACATTGTTCAATTCGCATTGTGCTAGTCCAGGCTTCATTTTCGCCGAGCTTTCTTGTGTCAAGTCGGTCTCCCTCGTGCAGGAATTCGCCCTTGCTTCCCAGGTCCTTATTTCCCTCGCAATTTCGATCATAATGCTAAAGCCAGTCAATCGACATTCTTCCACTGGTATTGACGGCTTTGCATGTCAATTTGAGAGGTTGCACTCTTTACTTATGACTGCTGACTGAGTTGAAGGTCGACAATTCGGTAATAGTTCCCATCGCAGACTCATGGACCCCGGAGTTGTCAGCATTGTTACCATCCTCGACTGTCGCGTAACTCCGAGTAGAATCCAGCTCACACACTGCAGTTGCCCGGTGGCTAATTATAATAACTTGATCGAACTGTTCAACCGTGAAGTCAGTCTTCGTGAATTGCGGCACTGACTAATGCATTTCTGTATAAAATGTGCCATGAAATATGAAGTATCCAACATTAAAATGCATTTTAAATGGATATGCATGGCTTGTCTTGCTTCCATACACCTGCGTTGACAACAATGCCTTTATTCTCATGGCATAAAAAAAAACTTGGTACAGAATCACATGCCTTCAAGATCTTAATGTTTTTGTAGTTAGAATGTTATTCGTGACCCTGATATTATTCAACTGCAGCGCTATGAAACACTTGGCCCTTCAAATCATTCACGGGAAAGAACAGATGTATGCTGACACTTTTCCTCAAGATTTGAAATAAAGAATCAACTTCGGACAGAGACAGATTCTACCGTAACAGACACGCCCCTTTTAAAATATCTGGTGGCTTCGTTATGTTTATTTGTAAGTATCTGATACTTGCGTTATTCCTCAAGGGGGGGGGAGACAGATTCAAAATACTAACGGTTGCTTTTCTTACCTTGTAGCTGTCGACGAAAGGCCAGCTCCGTACGAAGTGTTTTCAGAAGGCTGCTGGTCAATACGTCCAGGCAAACTGAACTGGAGGCTTGAAAGGCTGTTGCATTCAATGTTCACGTGGGTCAAAGGTCAGCGACTGGCCGCCCACTTGTTTTTAATATCGCGACGTTCTACGACAGGACAGCAAACATCCTACGTAATTACTGTTTATCGTACGATATCACATCGCTTTGTGTCCTCGTCTGTAAGTGGTTCATTAACGATGGAGGTCGTTGATGAGAAAAGGTAAAGGTAATCGACTTCAGCATCTGAGTGATGAAATACCATATCGCTAAGGTTAGGGCAGCTTGTTAACAGCCACAAGAAGAGAAAAAATAAGATGCAGTTGACACTGCAGCATGAAGATTAATTTCTATATTTGATAGAGACTTTCATGGCTAATTGGAACAACAAATAACGAGCAGGGCCCCACATTTTGTGCCAAAATACTAAATACAATCAAAAGTAAGAAAATCAAAAAAATAGAAAAGTAGATATACACTTAATCCGATTGATGAGACTTGGACCTCTATGTTGACGGTCGGCCTACCACATGCGTGGCATTGTGAACATTGAAATGCACGTGCGTTACCACGACGGAGCACGTGCAAGTCAGCTTGACGAAATGTGCGCCCTCAAGGACGTGCCCTGCTTCGGTTTTGCTACCTTTTTAAATAGACATTTCAATTGCCATCACCGAAAAACAAAGAACTTGAAGTTCCTCCGTTCAGAAAAACAGACAAAAACAAAGATAACACCTGAATTATAGATAAATTACCTCTTTAACACAAGTTAACATTACATGTTCAGGTGATAAAACAAAATAAAGCCATTTTTAAATGATTTTGTTTCTAATTGTAATAGGCCTCATGCTTACCTGGGTCAAAGAACGTTTCACAGCTGGCCGACAGCACGCAGTAAACGGTGCCTGTTCAATGGGGTGTTACATATCACAGTGACTAACAATGCACAGTGTTCAAGAAAGAGAGACGGACATTTTCATGGAGGTGTAACCACTACTGCGGCAGCGAAGTTGACTGTAGTGCCCTGCAGTAGTAGTGCCGGTAACGTGCACACGTTGTACGCGCGCGTTGCATTCCTCTTCGACCAATAGCGTGCCGGCTCGTCATGAATGCACGCGCGCCTATAAAGTTTAGGAATGCACACAGGCCTGTGGTGCTATTGCCGGAAAAACAACTCCTTGAGGAGTCCATATAATAAAGTGCCGTCAAGAAATCCTGAATGTCTTCCAGAAATGGCAGTGACAATACAACAGCTTCAGTTCGAAGAAAAACGGATAACCATGGCAATATGAACGTGAACGTTGAAGATGCTGTCATAGCAACAATAGCCTATAGCTTATGTTGGGTAGCACATTGAAACATACGTCAGGGTCAGAAACACACATTTAAAACAGCAAACTTAAAACGCTACATTAATATGGGACATTGTCTTTGATTTAGAAAATAGAACAGGCTGTAAAAATCCGCCTGTGAATGCAGGCTGTATTATATCAGAATCCTTGCCCCCAAATCATAGATTTATAACGGTGCATATTGCTACAATCCTGTAAAAATCTCACTCGTCCTTGAAGAGTAAAATCAGCCGGAATGTATTGGTTATACACGAACTACAATTGTCACCAAGGTAATGGCTACGGCAGATTAGTTTCTGCAGGAAAAACTAGGGAATTTCCCTGTGCTACTTTTGTCGTCACGAATTTGTTCCCATTGTGTATTCTGAAGATGTGTCTTCCTTTTTAATTTATGAACTAAAAATCAAGAGCGATGTATCAAACATAACAAGAGCAAAAATCAACATTGAAGCTGGAAAATTCCGTCGCATCGTGCTGCTGGTGCTTATTCAAGCATCATACTCCCCAAAAGAGGGCGCTATTAATTTTGACAGAACGGAAAGATGAGGATTAATTTCTTGTTGTGTGCAAAATGGCTGAACCCGCCCTGCTTTCCCAAAGGAATTCTTTTCTTGCTGTGTCTTCATATTTCAAACACCCTTTCGTTCAGAAAAACGGGCACAGATGAACTTTGTTCTCATGGAAGAGCGCCCCCTTTGAACCAGCATAATCAAAAATCAAGGTTTCCTTAATTAAACGGAACAGAGAAAAAACTAAGAAACGCTCATGAGTATGTCGGAGAACCGAGGGGGAAAAGTTTTTGACAATTATTTGTTTAGTTCATTTAAAGGAATCACACTAACCAACGACGGGACGGTATTTACGTCTCAATATTTACCTTTCAAGGGGAGTCGTCAACGAAACGGTTACCACAACCTGCACGCTGAAACAGTAACATGAAGGAAACGTGGGCATTGAAGTTTGTTTTTAATTTTTAACTCAGAAATCCGCACGGGTTTGACCGCGAAGTAGTTGATTTTACTGTACCTTTATTCGATAACATGCAAGACCATTCCGGATAGTGTCGAGTACGCCTATTCTCTCCGATTATGATTATATTCACTATTCGATACCCTCTTCGCTACATCCTGACGACCATTCCGATGTTATTTTCCATGCAAAGTTTCTTATGGTAAGTAGTTTAAATATTAACAAGAATTTATAAAATGACTGACGGTTTTAAACAGAAGACTTCTTGGAAGAAAGCTGCATAGTATGTAAAACGTGCACTAAAACAATGCACAAGAATAGCCACAATGCCATTATTTTGAGGATTCGCGATCGGATGTTTCGACAGCGTTTTAAAAATGTCTGTTTCCTGAAAGTTCGTAATCCAATCTTCTACAAGGAAATACCAAATTGAAATAGCAACTTGACCTTAGTGTCTCTGAAAATGATGACGTATCACACTGGCTGAAATGAACAACACAATGTCGCCCCAATTTATACTCCATTAAAATTATTACAGAATTATTTCATCAATTTGGTCATAATAACGAAGTATAAATGATTATGCTTCAGGAATACAAACGTGTAGCTTACAAAAGGTGAAATATACAGTTTATGTTCGATGGTATATATATCGTCCATGTCATAAATGGAGCTACGTATATTAATCTGGTTAGCGTTTTTGACTGCCGTGACAATTTGAAATACAAAAATGCTAATTTAAGACTAGAGGTCAAAAGGAGAAATCCTACATGCATATTTCACTCGTACCATTCGAGATAAAAAAAATAAAATAACGCAGTTACAAAAGGCTTTAAAAATGAATTAAGACTTCAGATTCCTTGTAAACATCAAAAATATAAAAACGTGAAATAAATTAATAACCAAAGTCTGAAGTACAGAAAGTCTTAATTTCTATGGTAAAAAATGAATGTTTCAATATCTATACACGATTTCCTTCCTGAACGAAACCATTTACTACACTCGTTGATGGAGAGGTGGATTTAAGCCAAATTAAAACTTTTTTTGTCAAAAAAACAAAACAAAACACCAAAACAAAACAAAAAACACTTAAATGATAAACATACTTCACAAGCAAAAGCAGTGCAAAAAAAGGAAACAAAAACAGGATAGGGTGCTGCCAATACCAAGCAACTGATCTGACACACAACCAAAATATTGTGGTAACTTTCAAGCAGTTAAACATTCAAGTTAACATAAAAACTATAAGGCGTATTGTAGATTTCGTTGCTGAAAACGCTGCAACAAATCAGCCAGTTTACTCTGAAACGTGCGAAACCAACTTTCAAAACATTGTCGAACAAACAAATTCGACAAGTTCTCATAAAATAAACGACAACAAAATAAACCAATTAAACTTATGGAGAACAAAAGGGGAACAAGCAGAATAATTTTTACAGTAATATTTACATACAGTTCAAAAAAGTCTCTGAAAGAAAATAAAAGTTGACTTACGCTGAATCTCACTGAATACTACAGGCTAAGTACCGTACCCTCCGAAATCGTCCGTCCATTTGTTTACATGTACTGTAAATGACTGGAAATGTTAGACAATGTTAGCTGGCTTGGCAGGGGGCTACATACATTTTTGTTAATTACCATGGAGGGAAAGTGGCATACATCTGTCTGCTCCGGGCGGGAACAAAAGAGGGCGTGCGCACGCGCGACCAATTTCTAATGGTTCGAATCGTCGATAGCCACGTTCATATGCAATGATCTTCGCGTGTGCGCTGGATGCTGCCGGAGTTAGATTGAAAAACTTCACAAGCCGGTCTCTTCTTTGCAGGTGAGGGCGCACTTCAACTCGAGCGGCGGACACTCACCCATTTCACAAGACAAACGTTAAACAAGGCAACCTTGAAAAATCGTTTCTCTGCTTCTGTCAGTTCAGGGTTAAACCTTATCTACGATGGTGGTAGAGGCTACAGAAACAGCTAAAATGCAGCAAAATAGATGCTTGATGGGTTGCACAATGCGCTCACTTCCTACGTGGGACATGTACAATGAGTTCTGCTATACTAGACGCTTTTCCAGCCGAATTAACAGCCTCAATCATGTACTCAGCGTCATCGTCTTCACATACATTTTTGATGATTAGCGAACAAGTACCCTCATCGTCTTGCTCCATCAAAAACCGACGGCTCTCCTGAATCTCTTCTTCGTCCTGGTACCACGTGATTTCCGGTTCCGGTTCACCCTCGATGTGGCAATCAAAGCGCGCGCAGTCCCCTTCGAACACCGTAGCGTCCCTGATCGGCTTGGTGATTTTTGGCAGGCAACTGCGCGCTGCAACCGGTACTTCGTCAGACTGGGTTGAGTTGGATGACACGGAGTTCGTTTTATCATCATCAAGACCATTCATTTCATTTCCTGATTTCTCATCTGAGTTACTGTTCTCTTTAGAGTTTGTCTGCTCATATTCTTTTGCTAAGGAATTTGTTTTCTCTACAACTAATCTCTCTCTGGAGCTCTGCTCTGTTGATGTCTTGGACAAACCATCCACTTCTTCCCTGCCACTTTCCTCCTCTTTGTGATGTGAAAGAGGCTCTTCCAGCCCTTTCTTAAGAGTGGATTTCAGGAGAGATTTACGAGTCGGTGAACACGGTGGAGACTGTTCGTTGGCTTTCTTCAATCCAGCAAACATGGTTAGTGAAGCCATGCGACCTATCGCCCGGACGGCAGTGGTGGTTTTCTGTCGGACAACAAACAAATCTCCCAGTATTAAAGTTAGCAGATACTGGCATAAAAAAAAATCCCACGAGAAGTTAGCCATTATTTTCCTTTGAACGCTATGAAAATAAATCAAGGCACGTGACAGTGTTCAGTGTTAGCAATAATGGATAGCAAGCCCGAATCCTCATCACCAACCCTTCTTCCACCGATTTTTTTCAGTCCACAGATGGCACAATTGAAATGAAATGTATGAACTTTTGAACCTAACGCTCTTACAAGAAGGTAAACCCATGGGGATTATAAGCGGAAATCTGACGCAAATAGTACTCCTAGGCAGCAAAGAAACATCAATTATACACCTGCAAAAAATAGGTTAATAGAACAGTAACCGAGAGTAGATTCAACTACAAGTAGTGTCTACGGCAAATCTTGAAAATAAACAGCCGACAATATTCTCTAATTACAGATTGTACGCCCGACGTTGACAGAGCATGTTGCAAGAACGTTAAAAGAAAGACTATAGTGTTACTTTATTAGTTTCAAAACTCGACACAGGGACGAATTTCTACAAGTAGTTTTGAAACACTGCCTACTACCCCAGGTCACAAGACAAAACCAAGCTTGCTGGAATGTGGCAAGAAACTTATTTCTTCAAGAAAGCTTGTCAGAGGTGGACTAGATTGACCCTGAAAACAGGCATCCACAGCTTTTTCTTGTAAGTACATTTACATGAATCTTTTTTGTGACAATTAAACAGTCGTGGAATTATTCCTCGAAAGTATGTCTACTATATAGAACAAGAAAGACGGCTGAAGGAAGGTAAATAAATAACTCTTGTCAAAAATTAGAGTTAGGACCAAACAGTATCGTTTCAGGAAAATTAAAACGCCGTTAAAAACGAGCCTGACTGTCTCAAAACTCATACCGGTAACTTTCACTGTTCATCAACGGCTGATTTACAGTAATCTAAACCAAAACTGTGTGCATGCTCGATCATGCGCAAACGAAATCCCTTGTACACGTACCCGCAGAATGCTGATCATGGGTTTTAAAAATCCCTTCAAAATGGGACTACATGTAAGTCCTTTTTTTTCAGACGTGCAAATCTCGTGCTACGTGCTTTTCGTTGTGAATCATGCAAGTACACATATGGTGCGTGAAAGAAAAATAAAACCTCGTGAACTCTACCTTATCAGGGATGTGATTGTGCAAATGCAAACTTTATTATGGTTTGAACGTATCCAAACATACAAACGAAAACGCCACGAAATATGATTGCCAATATGCAAAAAAAGTTCATTCCCGTTTGTTCGCTTCCGTTACTTGCAAACTCCAGGTTGTTTAGATATTCACAACTTAAAAGACTTACAAGTAGTGAAGATCTTACTCCTTTTCACTCAGGAACAATACCCTCAACAGCTATGGAAAAATGTCTCTGATTTTCAGGCACCAGTAAACGAGATTGTGAATTTTAGCTGGCGGAGCATTTCAGCGTTTCTATAAACAGACGAGCGACGAAAGCACGTGTTGCAAAGCCCCAGCAAAAGTTTTTAGAAATCGAAGAAAAAGACAAAGAAAAAAAACCCTGGAAATTAGATTTCTTCTTCAACATTTGAAATCTGGATATAAAAGTGGGTTTCGTATAATTAACAACCTTGATAAAATCTTGCGAAAATATTTAAATCCTGCTTTAATGAAACCGTTTGAAGTTTTGTTTGACTGGTCCGACTGAATGAGGCCGACAAGGTTTCTACAGAATATTCCAAATCTACTCAAGAGGACTCCAATCGCATATAAGAAGTTCTATCGCCCTGAGTTGCATTCTAGTTTTGGGTGGCAATTCTAATTGGAACAAAAAAATTACAGAAACGACTTTCGTGAAAATTTCTCACCATTATTATGAAGGCAAAAACGCCGCTTTTTACTTTCCTGATGAATTTTCTTCGCTACCACCTTCAGCTAGAAGTCAACAGGGGCGTTTCAAGTATGCATGGGATTCTATCTTGAACACACTTCATCAAAAATAAATGGGCCAGGTGTTAGAGCACTCCACGTATCAGTCATTCACGCGGAGGGTGAATTGGTTAATAGCATTTCCACGGCAACTAAAGTCTGGTGCCTAGACTTGCCTTAGTCTCCTGGTACATGAGCTATACGTTCGAAAATCCTTCCAAGGCCTGTACCTAATAAAACAGTAGACATTTCTGGTGAAACAAGTGTGGATTTGTGACCTTAATCTTAGAAAGTCCCTTGATCCTACTGTCAGATAAAACAAACAACTTCAAATGTACTGATCACCACTGTTACCATATATAACGACAAAAAGATAGTAATTGTGCAAGTTGACTGAATACAGGTTGTGGACAAAGATCTTAGAAATTCCCTGAACACCTGTCTACTTACCGGTATATGAATAATGAAACATGAATATGCTTCTGATGATCAATTTGATTGATTCTAACTGACGCAGAATGCGGCACATTTTTTTGCACGTCATTATATCCAGAGGTCATTCTCGGATTCTTTCATCTTCTTACATACCTGCCACCTGCGCCTGGCCACGAACTTCTTGAGTTTGGCCGTTGACAGTTGAGTCGCTTTCATTGTCTTGATGTCTTTGTTCAGCCATTTGTGCTTGAGACAATCCTCAACGGTCTGGCGTTTTCTGCGACAGGGAAGAAGAGGACATATGTCTCAGACACGTAATATCCATGAAGTGATGAACAATACCCAAATGACAATAACTGTAATTCAGAGATTTCAAGTCAAAACAATTCTATACATGTATCCTTTTTTTACTTGTAATTTCTAAAATTGTCATTTGCCACTATACACAGCAAACTTTGTAAACAGTATTTTGGACAAATCTCAACAAAAAAATCCATTTTACAAATGTGATGGTGAAATTTAAATAAAATTGAAATTGCTGTTCCATTCACAACTGGATAACTTCTTGTCGAACTAGACATAAACGGTGCACAGATAAAATTACGACGGTTTTGCATGCATACTCTTTTCTCTTGATCAGTAATTTTTCTATGAAATCTTTCGATTCGTCCGAGATGTCATCAAACGCTTCATCGTCAAAGTCCCATTCAGCTGCCGTGACGTTGCTGAGCGTCTCTGCGTCCGTGTCACCCATGAACGGAGACAAACCACTTAATCTAAAAGTTAAACAAGATAAATTAGTCAAAGAAACGACTTCAGGCTGGTACTCAGATTTTCTGGAATCAATATGTTAACTTGTCATCCTGGAATGTCGGCTACAAATGGTGAGAGGGTTGACCAAAATGAAGAGCTTTTGGAAGTTCGCATTAAACAGAAATTAACTGCACTCACGAATTTCATGGAACATTCTAACATTAATGTTGTACGATTTGACGTATCAAAAACTAAGCTAAAAAGGAACAAAAAAGATGCTAAGTGTAAAAAGCTCTTACAAAATGTAACAGATGACGCCGACACTCCATAGATCCGTGGCAAAGCTTATCTGCTCATAGTTGATCACTTCAGGGGCGACAAACTCTGGCGTGCCAAACATGACCTTTGTGCTCTTGGTGGGGTCAAACTTCCGGGCCAGGCCAAAGTCTATCAACTTGATACGGCAGCCATGGGTGTCCATGCACATGACGTTCTCTGGTTTGAGGTCCAGATGGAGAATGTTCTGCTGGTGCATGTAGTGTACGCCTGCGCAGATCTGACGCATGAATTTGATGGCATCTTTCTCGGTCAGGACGAAATCGTCGTCGATGACGCGTTCGAACAGCTCCCCACCAGCGATGCTGATTGGATAAAAATGATGTCATTAATTGGCACAGGATTTTCTTCCATCGGGTACTTACACTATTCATTTAATGAACAATGCAAAGCAGGATTCTCAAAATAATGAAAACTACAAAAACTACATAACAGACAAACTTCGATGAGTGCAAGATTTTGGAAAATTATCAGTGGAATCAGAACGGAAGAGACTGAAAATATTCAGCCACAGTCAGAGTGCAACAGTCAAAAACAAGCTTTATTCTTTAGAAATCAATGACTCGGACATTTTGAAGAGTTGGCTATCCAATATTTCTGTTATTGATATATTAATTCCAACTCCACTTGTTGCATTTAACTTACTATTCCATGACCATCACCATTTGTCTTGGCCCTTCAAAGGCATCCACGCACTGTAGTAACTTTGGATGGTGTAACTCGTTCATAATGCGGATCTCTGATCTCACTGCTTCACGGTCAGATGATTTGATCTTGATGAATTTGGCGGCGAACTGTTTGCCTGTTGTCTTCTCCAGGCAACGATACACCACGCCAAAGCGCCCTCTGTTAGTCAAACAACGACATTTGCCCCCAATTATTTATTTCACTTCAGCTCACTTCACTTTTCCCCATGGACGTGAAATGATATACCACGTTGTGAGTCTGCTGTGGGCATCACACTTTAAAATCCTCAATACACCGAATATGCATACAATTCAAGGTCTCCAAAATCGTTGAAAGGGTCATGCATGACCATGCATTCAACCAGCAGAAAGCAGAAAGTCCATATGCAACACAATCGATAAATAAGATGCATGAACAAACAAAAATCAGCAGTGCTAGAAGCAAACAGTTGGTACCTGTTATTGGTTCATATTTCATTACTCACATATATTAATTTTTTTCAATGCACAAAATACAGTCACTTTCTTTGCAACGTTTGAGTTCATAGAAAATTTAAATAAAATGTACAGCATTAAAGAGTTTATGAATTTCAAGAGTAAAGAGAGAAAGCTAACGTACTTGCCACATTGTTCCTTCATCTCATAAAGATCAGTGACCTCCTTGTCAGTCCGGATGGTGACGTTACCACGCACTACAAACTCGTCCGTCTCCTCTGTCAAAACAAAATTGAAACCACTTCAAACTGTGGCCAACTTAGAACGAATGATTGAAAACTTAAATGCTTATTGAGTTTTGCCAAAGACTTTCTGTGGTTGGATCATAAAACTACCTTCAGATTCCCCACCAGTCTTCTCATCTCTGTCAGATGCAGCTCCCACAACGGTCAATACGGGGTCTGACACCGGACTGGGCTCGCTGACTCCATGTTCGTTCTCTGCACTGACCCGGAAGAGATACTCCACTTCGGGTTTCAGGTTACTAATGACATGCGAGGTACTGGCTGTGGAAGTGACGTTCTGCCATTTCCTGTCCTCGTCGGCGCGACACATCTCGACGACGTAGCCAAGAATGCGACTCCCTCCATCATAGGAGGGGCCAGGCCAGGACAGAGTGAGGGAGGTAAGGCTGATGTCAGATGCAGTCGGCTTGCCAGCTGGAGGGTCTGGCTTGTCTGATATCATTAAAAAAAATATTTAACTGATGCACGTATTGTTCAGACCATAACCAGACCAGTTTTCTCATCCAAGTATGAGATATCTTGCAGTGCTTTTTAGCACTAGAACCATTCTAAGTTAATCACAGATTTCACACTATCATCACGACAGATATGGTAACAGTTCTCATTAATACCTCAGAAATCAGATTTCCTTTACGAGACCTATCAATAAAAAACTGAAACATCTCCAAATCTAGTGTCCATTCTTTCACGCTGAAAGACAAGTGCCTCAAACATTAAACTGTTTATACTTTACATGGCAGTGGCAGGTATCTACATGAAAATATCCGTTGTCTATTCGTTTACCCTTACCTACAACACTGACAGATATCTCGAAGCAATCTCCTCCCAGCTCATTACAGACAGACAAAGTATATCGCCCGGCATCCGCTTCGTTTGCTTGGCGGACGACAAGTGTTGTAGTACTGTCGGTGACGTCTATGTGTTTGCGCTCACATTCCTCCACCTCTTTCCGGTATTTGGTCCACGTGACTTCCGGTTCTGGGCAACCGGTTATTTGGCAGGAGATAGTGAGGGTCTGACCTGCGATGACCTGGATATTCTTGGGACCCCCTTCAACTTTGGCCGGTACTGCAGAGAAAGTTATAGAAACATCGATCACAAATTCATTGATAAGCCCAAGGAATGGAACATATTAAGTTGATTCCAATCCTGCCTTTGATTTAACTCGATTCAATTCACTTCAACCGGACTCAACCTGACCCACCTAATTCTACAGAAGTAGAAAATAATTCCTTCGAACCAAATCTATTTTTGTCTGCCATAATTCTAAGAAGGGAGTACGTATTGCATATGCAGTATTACGTTGATTCTGCTATCTTCTGTGAACAATGTCACTAAGAAAATATGGCAAAGGTAAGTCAGGACAGCAACCTCAATTTGATCTTTGCAAGAGGATAAAACACGTTCGTTTACCTAACAAATATTGGAAAACGGAACAGCTCTGAACTTGATCAAACAATCAAAGCTTGCACTAGTTTATGGCTTTCCCGCTAGGAGCAACTGAACACCATACGTGAATTCCTAAATCACATCTACAACACACACGCACATATCCCCAAGTGCATATCAATGTATATAATTCCTAACAATTGGAAGAGCCGACGAGAAGATAAATATAGGCTATTTACATGAAATAGTTGAATTAATATGCCCCAGGCAGCGCGGTAAATCCGATTACCAGGGATTGGAAAGGTCCATAATTCTCTCTTCAATCTGGTACTATAGCGACTGTAAAATGACCCATTTCTTTCATGTCATGCTTAGCGCCCAGTCTACACGACGGCTCATAACGGCTCTACGCCTCGTTAAGTCTCACACTGCGTAATTCATTTTGCATTGAAAGTAGTTTTAGAATCAAAACCAATTCACATTTTACTAAGTTGTCACACACCATTTGAAACAGTTACAAAACAAACAAAAGATTGGGTTTATAAAAATTAAATAAAAATAGGTATACTCTTCTGAATCCCGTTTGAAAGGCTAATTAATTTGCCACCAGTAGGCCGTGTGTGCTCTTTCATTTATTTTTACCCCCGCCTTTGCAACTCTCAACCCACATTAAGAGACCCATAAAAATGTCCGCCCGCCCGCCCCCTCAGCGAAGTGAAAGGGCGTGTTCCAACAAACGGGTCACCCCAAAACTAGTCCCATGACCCACTACAATGATATATATGTATATATATATGTGCTCTGCGACCGAACGATTACGAGAAATGTGGATGTCCCTTCGGCCTGCAGAAAAACAATCCAGTATATGCGTCTGGATATTGCAACTATTAAGATCTGTTCTGGTAATGGTTACTTCAGATGTGAAGGGATGGATGATATTATTAACCAGAGCCATGTAGACACGGTCCAACGGGACACAAAATTGCGAATGCTGCAAACCTGAAAATATAGGTCTACAATGTCACAGTTCAGAAGTGTCGAAAAGTCCCGATGAGTAAAGCCAATATTGCGATGGGGAAAGTGTAGGCCCTCAGGGTGTCTATGGTTGTGGCTTTGTTGCTGACTTGAATCACACGAAAAGGTGAGAAAGCGCATTCACGTTACTTGATGAGAAAACTCATTTACAAATCATGCCAACGACTTTGCTGTGAGCAAAGAAGTTGACAAAGTCTTTTTAAAATTCAAAATACTCCCTGAAATTCCCATAATGAGAACGCCTCCCCCTCTAAAAAATATGATAATCATCCAACATGTAGTAATATATCTTTGTGCGCTTCATTAATAAGTAATCGCTCATTGCATGATGTTCCCTCGTCTCTTAAATCCATTACTAAATACAAATTTTCAATTCCAACCACAAAAAATGTGGCAACTTTCGCAGGGAGGATGGCGTTGCACAGGAACTTCATTTATATTTTTATAACCTGTCATAAGAGATATATATATATTTTATAAATGCGGCCAAACCCAGGATATCTGCTCAACCATGCGCGATGTGAACTGGAGCTTTCCATACTCTCCCCCGCAAGGGGCATCAGCATCACCATTCTATTAAACTGCAGAGAGGCAGGTGTCTGGTCATGCACGGAGATGTTTGAAATATGTCACCATCTAGACAGATGGCCCCAAGATAATCTGCATGCTAAAAATATTAACCAAAATGTAGCATATTGCGTCTCCAAGACGTGGCAGAGTAATGGAAATCGCAGGAAATTACTGGGAAAAAATAAATGCTTGAAGTATACTCAATTTTAACTATGTTCAATGCTCTTGCCAGGGTTGAGACATAATTTCTGACGTGCTGAATTGAAGTAAACGAAAACAAAATACCATTTACAATTTGTGTGGTGGTCGGACTTGGTCAAGTCTAGGGTTCTCTCAGGTTTCCATACCACACACTTTCTCACAAACCTTGAGTGTTCCTACTCGTTCAACATAGTCCCGACATAATATTTAAATCGTGTATTTTCTGTGTAAAGTGGCCCCAGCGGTTGTTCATGGTCATAATCATAAATTAACCGAATCCTAATCAATATTAGTCTGCAACAATGGGTTTTCGTCCATTAGTTCTGTGACGGAAAAACTTCAAAGAGAAATTTGCCACTACCGAATCTCTCAACACACCGGACGCATCGGTATAATACATGTACACACATATCACCATCATTTACTCTGCATGTATCTCAACTCAAACGGGTGACGATTTGTTGTCTATATATATGATGACGATGACGATAATGACGATATCGATGATGATGTTGATATTGATGGTTCAAATATGTAAAAGAAAATTAAAATCTAATCACTAAATAAATCTAAACTAAACTTATTAAGCAATAGTTATAGCTATGCATAATTCAAATCGAATTGCTTGTGGCAAGGTGTAAATTCTCATACAACAATTTCCAAATCATTCATTTATTCTCCTTGAAGGGAATAAAGAACACTTACGACATTGAGCTTATCCAAGAACAAAAAGTGGCGAATTCCCTTATTCAACTTTGAAGCTGCAGTAGCTGACGTGGCGAAAGACAAAGTGATCGTAGTAACTAGTATAACATTATACGTGTATATATGAGAGAAAACCTGCCAAACTGAATTATAATATTGAATTTATCAATTAAAGGTATTTGGGTCAACTGGTTAGAGCCACCCGGGTCAGGTCTATATGGAGGACCATACAGAAAGGGTCAAAGGGAGATTTCATACTCGCCAACCACATGTTGGTCGATTCGGTGCAAAGGGTTCTGCATATACAATACATGTACTTGAATTGATTTGACAAGACTTATTTAGATGGAATTATCAAACAACAACAACAACAACCAGGCAATCTAACTTTACAAGTTCGTACCAGACATGAACATATTCTTGTACGCTTATGCGACGTACATTTACTTCGCCGATGCGTACGTGACATGCATAATCTGCCTCTCTCTAGCAGGAGTTTGTTCTGTCAGACCGTAGGCCTAAGTTCACTTTTGTCCTAATCTTTTTGCGACTTTTATCGTTCGTTTATTGTTATGCACAGTTCTAGCCTGCTTGCATTGACATGTTTGTCTCGTAGTACGTGTGGGCCAAGTGTGGGCTCCAAATCAGGTCATTTGGACTGATTTTATTTGTCGCATTGTCGTGAAAGTTTGGCGGAAAGTTTGGCCATATGACTTGTACACATGCACGAAGCATAACGACTGTTTCATGCTTCGACTCAACGACTATTACACGTCTTTGAATTGTTTCAGTGTGGGGTCTTTACACAGCTGAACTCTGTAGAGACAGCAGGTTGCACAGTGCCCTTGTATCCTTGAGCCTATCCTTTCATTATCCCTTTGCCCACTGGCTCTGCTATATCTTATGACTTAATTACCTTTTTATTTTTGTAATAATCACACTCACAGCATAAGCTTTTTTTTCATTACTGGTCAATCAATCCATATCACTGTCAACTCCATTTATTACTATCTGCAATTGTGTAAATTTTCTCAATCTCAATATTGGGACAGTCCTAAATTTCTCGACTTGATTTCAAATAGAAGTAAATCAACTCTAATACACGGTGAGAATAATTCTTTGTGCCAATTCTTGGAGTATCTTAATCGCCGGAGAGGTCCGTACCCTACCACCAGTAGGGTATCACCACCCTGCGTATGAACGTGACATTGGTATCATAATGATAACATTTTGACATAGTTGACTTTGGCAACAGAAAACAAACAGTCCCCTTCATATCCTTGTCGATATGAGGAAATCACTATCCAGATAATTTCTCTACAGCTGCATGTACTGTTCTCTTTAAAAGTGTGATTATAAGGAAAACACGCTGTGGTTAACATTAAGTTTTCTGGTTTGGCAGGTCTGTCTACGGTACATGCCGCTTAAATTGATTGCTTTAAAGGACCCCCATTTTTCACACCTTTCCCTCCTCTAGTCTCTACTAAGACCGAAGACGAGTGCTGATCGTACATAGCCTCCATGTACATGTATTTTCGAAACTGTAGCTGCAATGAATTTTTCTAAGACACAATTTTCAGGAGCTTCTCTTCTTCTACGAACAAAAACTCTCTAACATTCTTACTTTCACTTTTTAAAAAACTTAAAATTATCCATGCTTTCCTGCACAACTGAGGAAGCTGTTGCTGTCACGTCATCTAGTGAAGGCACAGTTCAGTTAATAAATTTTTTTCTATTCAAACTGTGAACCCAGAATTTAATCACTGACAACATTTCAGAGAAAGGGATAAATGTTTGCTTATTGCTATGCACATAAATAACAATGAATCTGCAATGCAGACAAAGTCTAGTACAGCTAAACCTAAAGAAAATAAAAGACATTTTTTACGTACAAACCAACGCAACACTGAGGCTTTCTTACTGGGATGGTGTTACAGTTTTGCTCATGAATATGGAAATACTCATTAGCATAAAACAAAAGAAAGGCAGTAAAATACCCTTTGGAATAGTTGAACGAGAGCTGAAAATAAGGACACACAGCTGCATTTTTTTTATGGTTTGTACAAAAGCAAATTGATTGCAGCTACACCCTGAGCACAGTGGTGTATTTCTAACAAAGGCTCGTAAGCCATAGTTCAAGCTAAATTGCGTGGGGAATGAAAGGCTTAAAGGAGGTTTAGTGATTTGGTCGAGCGTATGAAATAGCCGATGATAAACCAAGTCCAGGCAAGTCTGGTTTAATCAATCAACTAAAAAACTCCAAGCCTTTTGACTGCAGGAATGTCATATTTGATTGATGAACTTCCAACTGAATGCAGGGTGTCGAAATCTTTGACACGAGAGACGGGAATTTGTTCACTCTGGTGTAGCCTCTATAGCAGATCAAACATATAATATGATAAACGACCGAGGTAAAAGAAAACACGCAGACAAAAGATGCCGATAACACCTTTTAATGCAACGTGTCGTGCATGACTGGGAAATCAGAGATCGATGATGTATGGCATCTAATCAGTAATATCATACCCTGTCCGGATATCAGAAACTTATTATTGACCTATTAATTAATATGATCTCTCTTCAGTACAAATAATAAATGACGTTGTGGACAAAATTGCAAAGCAATATTTTACACGTTTTCAGCATTCTAGAGATTCAAACATCTTTAATTACTAAACCTCAGAAGAATACTCTTTCTCCAAAGAGAATTGATCGTGAATAAAGTGATTACCTGCTTACGAAAACACGCAAAAGCCGTCGTGACAGCACGAAAAAGAATTCAAATCCTGGAAACGTTCACTCTAAACCTCGTCGTCATTTGCTCCAATCGTCTCTTGAAAACTCTTTTACACAGCCGAACAATTGACCAAAAATTAATTTTTGACAGTTTTAATTCCTGAAGCTATGCCGCTGCCGAGCAATTATTGGGACTAAATCAAGCATGAAAGCAGTCGTGAATTAATTGAACGTTACACCCGTTGGCCTTTATTTGTCAAGAGTAGTCATATCACGTGAAGTAGGAAGAAAAAGGTGATGCCGATAGGCAGTCATAATTATGCGAAAACTTGATTTAGGTCAACAGTTTAACAACTAAGTTGCGCGCTACATCACAAAAAAGGAGAACATCTTCTGTAGGTTTTTATGATATCGATTGTTTTAAGACAGATATCAATTTAAAGGGTTTAATCTAATTATTTTTTTCATGTATTTAAACCAATTAAATATCATAAACGAGATTATGGCTCCGACATTTTACAGTCTACAGACAACCCTAAAGAAACACATTTATCATTCTGGGGAGATGAATATTTGAAAGCGGAGGCATTACTTAGGTGTTGGTGACAGGTTTGTGCGTCAACTTGGCGAGCTAAGGGCATGGCTGAGTAGCGATGCTAATCCAATATGTCTGATCCTTGTTCGTCATACCACGTCATGTCTTTGAGTCGAGTACGGAACGGTGTGAAATTCAGACTATAGGTTTTAGTCAAATGTTTCAAAATGCAGTAACAGCCCGAGAAAGACGTCCACAAAGGAGCAGTAAAAGTAATGTTTTGGTGGCGGTCGAAGTTACATGCGACGACGGCAAATGTAACTGAAATCAAAACGGATGTACGTCGAATGCTGATCACAATCTCTTTAAAACCAAACTAAAGTCACCGTGAGAAAATATCCGAACAGTGGCCTAGAATTTGTCTGAATATAAAAACTAGAGTAACCGGACAATTTAAAATCGTGACAGTCACTGATGTCATTGATATCATTGTTAGGGTATCACTGAAGTCAAAAAGCGCTCAACGCATCTTGTCACAAAACAACGCAATGACGTAAATCCAAAACAAGGTTTTAATGCATTTCCCAATCGTCATGGAGACGCTTAAAACCAACTTTTCCAGATAAAGACACAAAAGCTCGGTAATACTTGAAATGTTTACTGTTCACACAGCGCGTTTGAACAGGACGGCGTTGAAGTGGGGGTAACGCTGGATGACCTTGGCTTAATTATTGACTCCAAACTTTGTTCGTCCTTCGTTCTGCGGTCGTGTTCAGCCCCAAAAGATCGAAAGATACTACGTAAGAAATGCAATAAAGCGCTCGGTTCGAGGAGAATGCACCTTATGACTGATAGCCAATTTGAGTTGTAATTACACAGTGTATACACCTCTCGCATTACATGTCAGTGTGTCAATCACTAGCATGTCTGGCCAGACGAGACGGTGATCATTCCCAGCGCTCGCTCGGGAATTACTTGGCAGATTTAATTTGCACCCAGGTGCACAAATCACAGACGAACCTGGGGAACTGACAACATCTCTCCAAACGAAAACAGCAGTGATGCGCTGACCTTAAAAAGTATACGAGAGAGAATGGAACGGCGAGCATGGTGAATCGCCGGTACATTCGACCAAAGATGCATATTATGAGCAACAATTTCATTTTTAAATCCAGTCTTACACACAAAATACTGAAACCTTATTTGTAGTCACTACATTATAAATTCTGTAACTCCAATGAATGAGGAATTTAATATTCCCCCACTGTAAATGTGATTGATAAGGAGGTAGGATGGAGGAACGTCCAACCACGACGATGCGCTGGACTTAAACGGCAGATTAGGGCGGCAAATGCCCATCAAAACATGACGAGAACCGATAAGGAGATTGAGCAATGTGTAAGTCAGATGTCACCGCAGGGGGATACCGTGCCAACGGAACCCACGGCATGTACTTGATTGGCGCATAAGCATCGACATATCCACCGACGTTAAAAGCTTCAAAACGAAGAAAATTGAATTACGTGGGATTTATCTTGTCTGTCTTGTTACATGACCAACTCCACCGCATCATTCACATCCGAACAAGGTTAAATCATGTGCGACGTGCCGCGTCAGAATTTAATTGAAGCTGTGGTTACAGTCTGATAATTCTTTTTAGAAGACTTCAACCAGCCTTTGCTGGTCATGTTGTAATAACACTGAGCTTGTTTTCATAATGATCGACCGAATTTCTAAAGCTATAAACTTGACAGTGTGCTCGCACTAAGACAATTGGAAGCCGTGCCTTTTCTTTCTTAAACATTCAAATGAAATTAGACCCCCTTCATGCTAATTAATTCCGTCCAGTGCAAGTGGAAATTGAGACTGAACTTTGAGCCAAAAGTTATGCTTTTTCAGCTAATCATGGAACGTATTTGTTTTCACGAAACACAAACAAACAAAAACTTAAAAAAAAGCTACGGCACATTTTGCAGAAACATCGTAACATAATTCTCAACAGCGATTGTTACAGATGGCTCCTATCACACGATAACAGATTGGCGCAGGTGTTTTTGAAGGTGTGTCCCTGCCCACGTAATGTAGCACACCTGAATTATCCAAATTTGTTTGCAAAAGGTTTGACTGAGGTCTGAGGAATAATAAAATGAATAGTTGGAGGTGTGTTTGAATAGTTCCGTGCATCGTTGAAAACTCGTAATCGGTTGACACGCAAAAGAACTTTGTGTTTACACAATGCAAAGGTTGGATGTAATGAGGTCTATACTAAGATTGAAGGTTAGCTAGTCGTCCTACAAATGGTTTCAACATTTTATTGTACTTCTGCTCTAGGCGAAAGCTGTTTTTTAACAAGCATTTGCCCTGTGCGTACGCTTTCCTAAAGTAATAATCCAAGCTTTCTGTTTATGCCGCAGTGTTCGTTTCGCGTAAGGAATGCAGTTTTTGACTTTGAAGTTTACACTATTTGCGCATATTGATTTCGTTGTAAGGAAGAGGGCCAAGAACTTAAACACAATCAAATTTCCCAGGAATACTCGGTTTCAGAACTTGACACTGATTGGACCAAGTAAGCAAGTTGATATCTTAAGTGCATTCCTTCATTAGTTAGTCTTATATCTCACACCAACCATCACTCGATAAGCAGGAATATCTGTGACAATAAAATGTGACAAATCATTTGAAAATAAACGTGTCTTTTGATTTTGTATTTCAAAGCACACACACGATGCAAGCAATCCAAAATTTGAGAGAAAAAAAACCCGACACCAAGAGGCAACTGAGGTAGGGTGATGGTTCAAATGAACTATTAAAGAAAAGATAAAATGGAATGAACTGACCTCCTCCGATGAGTTGAGCTGAACTCTCGGCTGACCCAGCTGCACTGACAGCCTTGCACGTGTACGTCCCAGCGTCACTCATTCTGGCATTATTAATGACTAGTGACACACCGTGTTCGCCTTCGAACTCGTAGCGGTACTTGGGGTCTGTCTCCCCGATCTCCACTCCGTCACGGTACCAGTAGATGTCCGGTTCAGGCTCGCCCGTGACTCGGCACTCCAGCACGACCGCAGTGCCTTCCACGATCTGTTTGTCGCAAAGCCCTTGAACAAACTGTGGTCGAGTCGGGGGTTCGCTGTCAGCTGTTCCATCGCCGCTCGTGTTTGCTCTCGGCTCAGCGGCTTTGCCAGGCCGCTCGGAATCTGGCTCGTCGAATGAGGGCGCCTTCATGCGCGTCAGGGAAGTCTTTTTGGCGGGAACTGGGGGAGGTTTCTTGGATTTCTTGGGCGATGCTTCGGTGATTGTGATGGCTGGATGGGGAGGAGCGTCTGGATTGTCGGCAACCTCATCATCGTCATCCTCGGATATTGTTAAAGTCCTCTTAAAGACTTCATCAAGATGGTCTCGTGGGCTATCGATAACTTTAGAGGATTCCTGGGACTTGATAAATAATTCATCATCATCGTTTTCATCCTCTTCCCATGCTGCATAGAATTACACAGAAGAAACGTTGATGCAAAAAAAGGATTGTTTCAAATCATAAATAAACAGTTTTTGAACTATTACTGTAAAAAAAAGAAGATAATCCGTAGAAATATAAGATAGGCCCGAGTGCAATACGGACTGAAGCAGAAAAAACAAATCATGATTTCCAAGTATTTTAGAATATTTTGTCTATCACCAAAAGATCATTGGAATCCGGGAACTTACGGATAATCTTGAGATCTGACGTTGTCTTGTCTTGACCAGCTGTATTGGACGCAATGCATGAATATTCACCCTCGTCCTCAGGAAATGCCTCTGTTATCGTAAGTTTCACTAAAGTACCTGGGTAGAGCGTAAAAAAAGATGGCGTACAGTTATTTTACACTACAAATTCCGAACCATTTATGCCGATAAGAAACGATACCAAAAGTTTTTAAAATTCACAGAGGTACTGGTTACCTTGTAATGTAATATATTAATGTTCTCTGTAACTTCTTTACGTGATGTTGGTAATTTGTAAAAGCTATATTCATACTGGTCTTTTTCCTAACTGCAGGTCCTTCAAATACGTTACTGCATGATCTATAATTTCATTCATTACTTGAACGTTTACACGTGCGCTTCTGCAATGAACCAATTAAAAAAGCACCTTCGGTTGTCATTTTAAAGTATTTGGACTCTCGAATTTCCCGGCCATCGACAGTCCAGGCGATGGTCGGTTTGGGAATCCCCTCTATTCGACACTGAAGCACCGCCAGCTCTCCCTCCTTGGTGCGTACGTCTTGCAGCTCCTCCACAAACTTTGGCGCCTTTTTGGTCTGCACGTGACGCGTGAGCACGTGACGAAAGTCTAACTGCTGAGCTTCTGACTCGGGTGAACTTTTGTCAGAGTTGTCCTTGATCGTGTTATTGTTGTTCATGTTCTGAAGTCGGGGTCTGTTCCGAAATGCACATGCACAGCAATTAAAATGAGACGAACGAGGCAAACCAAAACTAAATTTTAACACAATGTTACAAATAAAACTCATATCGCCCTGTCGATAAGGTTAACACATACACTCTGAGGATTACGGCTCGAAAATTTCTCCATACATATTTATGACAAAATAGACAAGAAAGCTTGTAACTTCACTGACTTTGAGTCACGAAACATGAAAGGTCACCACGGCTCCTTTTTAAACTGTTCTAGAACATACAATCTGACTTATTATTTCTTCCTTAAAGAAATTCCCACTGGGTCCTGAGTCATTTTAACTGCCGTGGTCGAAGTACCTCCAATTACATGTTGGCATCAGAAACGTCTAACCGTTGGTGCATCCTGTCGGATTTACCTTGACTTCAACAGCTGTCGAAAATCAGTCTGTTCCCCCTCCAATGGATGCACGACCACGGACACACTGCACTTCTCCTCACCGAAGGCGTTACTGAGCATACAGCTGTAAGACCCAGCATCGGTTGACAAAGCAGCAGGGATCTGTAAGATCCTCAAGCTCCCAATGCCGAGTTTCTTCATGAGGATGCGCTGCCCTGGTGAGATGATGCGACCGTCTTTGGACCAGGTAATAGCAGGTTCGGGGTCGCCTTCTATTTTGTAGGTGATACGAAGGCTACTGCCTTCGTCTACGGTCATCGATCGTGGCTTCTGTGTGAATTTAGGAGGAGTTCCCTGCAACACAGGATCTAAAAAAAAACAGAAAGGTGCATTCCTTGAAGTACGTTGTAGCGTTATGATCATTACTACACCCGAAATAAAAGCAGTTTACCAACTCAAATCAACAACTGCTAGAGCAGTATGACATTTACACCCTAACAGGTTTTTTTTCTCTGCAAGGTGGAAAACGATTCTGGTGAGATCAAAGTGGCAGTTCCTCCCGAGTTTTTACTTTATTTGCACACAGCACTGCAAACATCCAGAAATACGGTTTTATCACAGACGACTGAAGAGAAAGCTCACAGTCAACCTATTAACTGTAAACAGATTCACGAAATATTGCAAGAAATGTAATGAACTAGTTCACCAGCATGGAATAGCGCAAACTAGCATGCTGCAAATGAAACACATTGAGCGCTGTCTGAGGGAGAAAACCCGTACAAGTTACACCAACATGCATGACAACGTTACACATTACATGATTGTATTACATCACAGGAGCCAACGACACAGTCCTAGTTTGAAGTATTATTATTATTATTTTTTTTGGGGGGGGGAGGTTGTGAAATAACATGCGTACAGCCGTTTACCATACAGCTGACATAGAGGATATTGGACGAACAGGCGATCCGAAGAGATAAACTCCTTGGAAGTAAGCTAAAGAAAGGAGAAAGTGATGACAGGTTTGTACGATAAAAGCCAAGTATAAGAAAGTTGAACATGTACTCAGGATTGTCCTACTGTTTTGAAACAAGAACCTTTATGCTCAATGTGAATTATCATTTATTACTACAAATACATTTTCGTTTTGTAATTTAACGAGTAGTTACACTGAAGAACATTTAATGCTCAACAGTCCAGACAGGAATACAGAAGTACTAATTATCACTAATTTAATTTTCCCCTATTGAGTCCTAGTTCTGATTTAGTCAAGTCATCTCACCTTTGACAACAATCTTAGCTGAGCACTGATCCTCACCAGCCGCGTTAAACGCCTTGCAGATGTACACCCCAGCATCTTCCGGGTACACCTCGCGAATGACCAAGGAATGAAGCTCACCGTCGTGAAGAAGTTTGAAGTCATCATCCTCCAAAATCTCGCAGCTGTCAAAGATCCACATTACCTCAGGTTCCGGGATGCCTGAAATCCATTAACAATACAAACAAATGTTACCCTAAAGAACATAATTTTCTATAGCGTGATTCAAATTGAGTGTTTTTCGGTGGGTGAATTCACTGCAATTTATCTAAAGGGCAACTGAAATGCAGTGCAGCAAATACTTTGACCAAAGAACATTGATATATGTCATCCACAAAGCTTGATGATAACGCAGCTAGACAGATCACTTTCAAACAAAGACACTTGGGAGCAAATATGAATAACCAAGTAAACTCAGTATCGATCATCATAATACCTGTGACTTTTACAGTGAGTGCTAAGGGACTACCATCCATGACCTCCACGTCACTCAGTGTCTGTAAGAACTCGGGCTTGCTCTGAGCCTCAGTCGCTGGAGGGGTAGATTCCTCGTCAGTCGTGGTCTCCGCTTCGATTGCCGGCTCTGCCTCAGCATCGCCAAGAAAAACTACGTTTCTGTCATCAGTGATGGATTCCAGATCGTGGCTCTCGGCTACCGAGACGTCGATTTCTGACAGGCCGTCAAGATGCGACTCGGATTGCAACTCGGCGGCTGTGTCCACCCTTTCCAAATCACGACACTCTTCAGGCTGGGCCTTCATGATGTCTTTAGTGGGTTCTACGATCCTCAGACTCGCTTCCAGTTCTGATTCTGACTCTGACTCCAGATCGAGTTTCAGGTCAAAACTCGAAGCTTCTGGCTCGTTTTGGTTAGATTCTATCTGAACAGAAACGGTGTCTGAGTCGGCTAAAGATCTATCGACAGAGAATTCATCGGGCTGCTTCGTCGGCTTCGAATGGACAGCTGGTTCAGAATCTGGAACCAACTCAAGTTCTGCAGGGTTTCCTTCTGCATCTTGATTACCAATGTTATCAACTGTTGGTTTCTTTTTCGCTTCGACGTCTTCCTGAACATCCATTATTTGCATTTCGTGTTCCAAAGTTTCAGCTTTAGGCACGTCCTCCTCCGATTCAGATGACGAAGCCGTTTGCGTGTCTTCTTTGTAATCGAATACCTGTTCTTGCTTGGGTACGTCTGTGGATTTCATTCCCTCCTCTTCCGATTCCGATGGAGTACTCTGTAGGAATATCTCCGTCCGAGAAGTCTTTCTTTCAAAAGGCCAGGGTGTTTTCTTGGTTGGTTCTGTTGGTGCAGCATGTTCGTTTGGAAGGACAGGCTCCGGCGCATCTACCGGCTCAGTGGGGGGTACTGCGAAACAAAAAAGCCACTGGTCAGAGCCGACAGGAAAGAAAACTTGCATAAAAAGCTCAGAACTGTTCTAGAAATAAAGTCAATGATTTTTCCTAAGCAAAAGAATTGCAGAAAAATTCTGAAGTTGAGTAGCAGATTATTATTTTTTTGGCTCAAACGGATCACGGAATTGTAAACTTAAGTATGACGATACAGTATGGGGTGAACACTAAAATCGTGACCAGTGCAGCACAACTACAAAGCTTGAATTCCTTTTTTTTTAATCATTTCTTCTCATCTTCATAAAAATTGTACTCACTCTCCACACTTAGCCTGGCTCTACACGACACCTGACCAGCCCTGTTGCGTGCAATGCACTCATATTCTCCTTCATCCTCCGGTAATACCTCGGGTAGAACCAGCGTGGCCTTCTCCCCGTCGAACGTGATCTCGTAGATATCATCGTCCGGGGAGATCTCTTTACCGAGAAACAGCCACTGGATCGTGGGGGCCGGCTCGCCTGATACCCGGCATGAGAATCGGCCCACACCACCGTCTTTGGTACGGCAGTTTGTCAGACGTTGGATGAATTTCGGCGGGATATCCATTGTAACTTTGCCTGTAAATAAAATTGGCAACATGTATAAAGTAAACACCCATCAAAGGCGATAAGCTTGACTTTCAGGAATAATAAACTGATACTTTATTTTACGATTGTAAGTCCAAGAATTGACACCTCAATAGATGGATGACTTAGGTCTGTATCTTTAACCACTCAGAAAAAAAGCAAAGTTTTGAATCGAAGTTGATATTCTACACCATGACCGTCTTCAATGCTCTCTCAACAACGCATCAAAAAAATCAACCAAAATTTGGTTTGGTAATTGCTTACCTCTTAGGGCAATATTCGCACTCGATGTTGTCTTGCCTAACTCGTTGGCTATGACGCAGGTATACCGCCCAGCGTCTTCATCTACGGTGTCATAAATCTCCAGGAAATGTTCTCCTCCATCCTGATAGATTTCAAACCTTCCCTCATCCTTCAAGATTTTCGTGTTCCTCTTCCAAGTGACCGTGGGTGTCGGGAAGCCCTTCACCATGCAGGTGAAGCGGGCCGTCTCAGGCGGCGTGATGTGAGTGGAGCGTGGACGGAGGATGAACTCGGGAGGTCTGGCTGCCGGGGCGGCGGACTGGAGAGACGAACGGCGGGGTTGATGATGAACAATCTGCGATGGCCTGAAATCGGATCATAAATACGCCGAATTTACTGGCTTATCAACCCCATGAAAACCGTCTTTCTTAGAATTAGAAGGAGCTAAGACAGGATAAGTTTGGAAATTTAAGCTGCTTAACAGGAAAGAAAGAATGAGACTTAAAGATTAAGGACTATATCAGTTACCAATTATCCCATTCACGCACTTGTTTTTTGGGAAGGTTCATTCACAAATCACTCTCAGCGGGTTTCTATTCTTAAACATTATATCCTTACTCAGCGTGAGGTTCCTCATCTTGTTTCTTCATCAAACTGTTGGTGTCATCCTTCAAAGCGCTCTCAACTTTCTCCTCCTTCTTTGGCGCAGGTTTGGGTTCTACTTTTGATGTTTTAGGTTGTGCTTTCGATGAAACCTTTTCAATGACTTCCTCTTTCTTTGGTTCTTTGGGGTTTGGAACAGTATCGAATTCTGCAATTAAAACAGTCAAAACTTTCAAAGTTACAAAAGAAGGCAACCAAATCTGTCTTCGCAAATCTGTCAAATGTTTCGCCGGTTGCAGGATAAACAGGTTAAAACTATCGTTGTGAAAGTGAAGTTGATACGAGACAGGCGCCATATCGGAGATACTTGTTTTGAACACATTCAGCTCTTGAGCGTTTTGCAAAAGTGATGTGCAAAAGCTCTCCCTTTCACTTACCTACGATGAGTTCTGCCGTGCTCGAGACCATGCCCAAGCCGTTCTTAGCAGTGCACGTATACACAGCATCATCTTCTTCCGTGACGTCACTGATGACCAGCGCGCATGTACCGTCAGGTTTGCGCGTGATTTGATGGCGTCTGTCTTCCTGCACCACTTTGCCGTCCATGATCCACGTGATGTCAGGGGAGGGGTCGCCTGCAACTTTGCACTCAAACACGGCTCTGTCGCCTTCGCAAACTTCGCAGTCCGTAATCCTGCGAAGAAAAGATGGAGCTTGTCCCTTTGGAATGACTGGCTTGGGTTTTTCTAGGAGAAAAAAAGCAAACAGAACAAGTGCAGTTAAAAGACCGTCTCCATGACTGATGACGTAGAATGTTAACAATAACAAGCAAAGGAAATTAGGACGAGGCTGGTGTATCCAGAGCAGCCTGCAGTTCGAGCATAAAGCAATCCAAGATGTGGATCGTCAGTACAATTACTGTCATGTCAGCCACACACATCGCTACATTTTGTCCCTGACAATGTTCGATGTCATTGGAATACAGGTCCATGAACGCAACTAACTGTTAAACGCCCGTAAAATACTTGCCTATTTCTGCACGCTCTTGGAAAGATTAACTTTGTGTGATTTCCCCAAATGAAGGAAATAAAATGAAACATCACCGGAGCCTCACTGAACTTCAAACAAAGGTTGAAGTTTGAGTTCAAGGACCTCATTTCAAATTGCTTTTTCTTTCCAAAAAAGATACATAAGGTCACCGAGAAGCTTAATACCCTTGACGCATGTTCAGTGGCGAGATAAAGTAAATGACTGAAATATTATCTACATTTTCAGGGTATCTCTTAACAAAACACCCGAAAAAAAACAAGAAGTAGATGGCAAACACCTGTTTCCTGAAAACCCACCACTGACCGAGAAGGATCCGGTCAATGGATTGTAAGGAGAACGAGCTGGGTTATTGTCTGGTGCCAAATAAGCGTGATATAGAAGACTATTGCATTACAGGGACACTTGACTATACGTAAAAGCCCCCAAATGGCCTCCAAACTTTATGTTTAAAAACGTTGAATTGGCCCGTGCTTTTTAAACAAAATTTGAGCCCTGTCTGTTGGAAAATATGATGTAATCAGACAGAAACGAACCATTGGAATTGCCATTATTATATGCTGATATATAGAGCCTTATAATATGTACTTTCAGAGGTATAAAGAATAACATATTTCCAAAATAACGACAAAAATGTGTGTCTCCGTTCATGGTAGGCCTACATAATTCAAAGAAATTCAAGTCCAACAACTCTCATTTTTAACACTTGAGACAACATTTTTATACGATGGTGTGGTTATAAATCCCCAGATTAAATGGTCCACGATTCATCATTCCGATAGTTATGGTTATGTCTCGGTATTTAGAACATTCGACATCTTCATGAAGATTCGTTGAGGAGTTGTACCTCGCTTAAAACTTTCATTTGTTTGCCAGGCAAAAGGATTTATAAGCAGGTGTATGCAGCTCCAAGGAACGACTTGATTCAATGACAAACAGAAAAAAATGAAAACTTTACAATTATGCATCCATAAACAACACTCTTAATCGAGCAATACATATACATGTATTGATATTCACTTCACACGAACACATATTGGGGGAATAGTCTTTTGTAAAAGTAATGTTATTAAACCTAAACCTCCCAAATGCTCCAAGATCCTTTTCTGTAAAGTGGACGAATTTTGAGGATCCAGGGTGTATGGCAAAAGTACATGGCTGATTTCGAAGGATGCCATACGTGAAGGTCGTGGATTAGACCTTATGTTGTTTGTGCCTAGTCAAGCACAAGTTCGGCCACAGCTCAAGAGTGCCATTCGCACTGCCTCAACATGACAGGAATTGCCGGAGGATTTGAAGGATTTGGGCAGCTAGGCACACCTCCAACTGACATTTTCAAGAACTTAAGGAGGATATTGGACGATTTGGGCTGAATGCCATTTTTTTCATGTTGAAATTTGAAGGATTTCGGAGGACTCGGGATGGTTCCTTGTAAAAAGGCCTGGGGGTTAGGGTTAAATGAGGAACGATTCAGCAGAAATGTGTTCAAAGTTACATTAGTTCACTAATAACGGTATGAAAATATATTACTGCAACGGCATGACTTTAATTATAAGATTGTCTTCCAAGCGGTTTATGAGGTTTATGATACAATGAATTTTGTGAATGTAAACGACACTTGAAAATATGTGGGTTTGGACTTATTCGATTACATCAAGAATTTGACTCCCCACAACCACTCAACTTATCCCTGACAACTGACGCCTTTACTTCCACATCAGGGAGCAATTTGTCGCCCAGGCAACAGGCATTCCGCATCGTTCACGAACTCAGGGGATATGTAAATATTACATGAATTCTGGGCCTCACTTTGGCGGTGGGAAATTCCTCCTGGCATTTTACGCCACAAGGGATTGCTCAGAGAGAGTCTTGAGTATTAAATTCCACAAATTTGATACAACTGGCCGTATAGACTGACTCATTCCACGAGACATCGTTTGGTATTTTGAGATACACGTAATAGGGTAGACGCGTATTGCTACTGAAATTACAGAACGCATTTAAAGACGTCTTATCGTTGAACTTTCGAATGAATATAATGGACATTTCTTTAAGATAATGCTCTCGTATGGGTTATCTTCGATTTTTTTCCCACACTTGAGTTATCATACAGAGCACATTTGATATACACATGGCAAATTACACATGTAGAATGTTAAATTATTGAAGCTTCTTATGACACTTATCTTTTGAACAGTAGTTAAGATAAACACAGAACTACCGTAATAAAAGTCTAACGGGTTAAAATAATTCGTTTGCTTTACAATGATTTTTTAGTGTGAATTACCTTGACTGCCGTAAAATGATTCTAAAGTGTATATAACTGATGAAAGGATAAAGAATTCCAGCAAGATCGAATAATTCGATTGTAGGGATGACTACCGGTATCTAAAAAGGAAATATGCCCTTTAACAGAGAGGAATACACACAACACTGAATACAAGAAGTACATTCCTTTTTTGTATCTTTTGCCTTGTCTACCATATTAACATCCAACATTTAAATTTGAATGAAATGTATTATAACAGCCAATTAAAAAAATTGTCGCTTACCTGTGACCTTGAGCTCTGCAGTGGCTGAGACTCGTCCAACTTTGTTCACAAGACGACAGGTGTACACTCCAGCGTCTTTGGGCTCCAAGTCAAAAATCTCCAAGAAGAAAAGGTCCTTCTCAGTATACAGTTCATACCTCCCCTCGTCTTTAAGGGTACGCCCCTTGTAGTGCCAAGACAGATCTGGTTTGGGATTTCCCTCGACAGAGACGGCAAAGTATATGGAACCCCCCTCGGTACCTGTTTGGTCGCGGGGTTTTTGGACGAAAGTCGGCGGTTTCTCATCTGCTGTAGACCTCACCTGATAACGGGAAGCAAGGGCAGAGGGTGACTTTGCTTTCACTTCGACCAGGGATTTGGCAATTTTCACGGAGGGCTTGCCAGCGCTTGAGACGGTGGTGCTTTTCATTTTCCCCGCTGATGACGAAGACAGAACATCCCTGTAATCGACGCTACTTCCGTTAGTTTTTGCCTTGCCAGTGCCGTCAAACAATTGTTTCTTATCGCTCAGCCGTGACATGACTACCGGTTCTATCTTGGCCATTGATTTGCTTGGAGTGTCCACCGCCTTGCCGTTCTCAAATTTGGCCGTGATTTTGCCGATGCCTCCCGGTAACACCCCTCGACGATTCATTGTGATGCTGGCTTGCGGTTTGGCCTCTGATGTATTTTCCTTGGACCCGTTTCCCAGGGACGAGGTTTTACTGCTTGACATTGAAGTTATCAAAGCAGACGATCCAGCAGATAAATCATTCGCTGAAGACTTCAAAACTACTTCCACTTTGGCTGGCTTTAAACTCTCAGAGGACGCATCACCATTCGTTTTCCCCATTGGTATTTGATGTTTCTTTTCCGGAGGGGGAGTATAAACCACACTCGCTTTACTAACTTCAATTGCCTTCTCGTTATTACCCACTGGGATGGCAATGTCGATCGTGCCTTTACTGCCCTTCGTTATATTTATGACAGCATCCGATGTCTGCTTTGTTCTTGGCACTTGATTGGCGTCCTTTGTAAGTTTAACGTTTTCAATATTCAGCAATTTATCGCTGGTACCCTGGAACTTTTGTCGCGTGGACGTAGGTTCGGTTTTCTTTGCATAGTTTATATCTGGTCTCCTTTGATCTTTATTTGGTTCCTTATCGGCCACCTTAGCTTGGCTATATTCGTACTTCTTTGAGATCACAGGGTCGTGTGTTTCCGATCTCAGTTTCACATCTTGGGTGTTTGTTGTATTGCTGGAGAACTTCTCAATTCTTGCAGCGAGAGAGCCGCCGCCTTGTCCTGGGTACAACGGCCGCTCCACCGACTGCGATCTTCGCTGTTGAGCCCCATTCGAGGGACTCCACTTCCTGACAGGTGCTTGCATGGTTGGCTGTTGTGTTTCCTCCTCCAGGTCCCGTGGACTTTTTAGAGGGCTCCCCTTGGCAAACTTCTCGATTTTCCAGGCAAGAACGGCACCTGGTTTCCGAGAGTTGAAAGCCCGGTCTCCCAGAAGCTCGAAATTTTTCTCCGTCCGATAAACGGGCTTCTTTGGTTCAGGATACCCCGAGGATGTGCTGGACCGCTCACTGTCCGTAAGGGAATCGTCGCTTGACAGTCGGCCGTTTGTCCGATCGTGGTTCACCCTAATCGACTCGATTGGTCGACCTTTCAAGTGGGACTCTTCTCTCGAGACAACCACTTTGGGCAGAGATTTCACTTTGATCTCCCTGCCAGCGTAGATTTTCTTATCTGGCTTTGATTCAGAGCCGGATTTTTTGTCCGTTTTCCCGTTCGACCCAGTGCCTGAGAATACAGAGATCTTTGTTGCAAGCTGCGGCTTTGGTGATCGAGAAGCCGAGCCCTCGTCGGCGGAAGGAACTCGAGAACTCCGCAACAGTTGTTCGTAAGTTTCCCTGCTAGTGTAATTCTTGCCGGCTTTGGATTGTTCTGGTTTGGAATGACGCGTGAGAATCTGTTCTCGTTTGTGCTGGAACTCCGGGGGAGGCTCGCTGGACGAACGAATCTTCCGTTTGGATTCAAGCTCTGCGAGGCGCAGTCTAGAAGGCCTCTCAACATTGGAAACGTAAGGAGTGTTTCCTGCTGTTTTAGAAAACCTACTACCTTCTGGTGATGCTGCTCGCCCTGAACGCGTTCCCGTCGACCGTAAATTTGCCCGGGCGCTGTTCACAGTCTGTTTGGGTCCTTTTAGTCTCTCGTCGTATCTCGAGATACGTTCAGTGACTTTGCCGGTGCTACTGCCGCTCTGACGCGAGGCCTGGTGATGAATGTCAAAATTACTGGCTCGTCCACGTTTGTACCACGAATCCAATTCCAGCAGAGACGAGCTGGGACTCACGCCGGTGCTGGTACACGGAGATGACCTCGGTGTCCAGTCACTCGAACTTTTGTCTCCTCCAGAGAGATAATCCAAATCGGATCGGTTTGAAGTCGTCTGGATTTCCTTGCTTTGGGGTGCAGTAACAAAATCATTAGCAAGGGTAACTTTTTCTTGTTTCTGCCTGTTTGAGGATGTAGTCACATCCGTAGAGCTACTCGGGTCGAGTTGGTCTGACTGTATCCTCTCCTGTGGTCCGACTTGCTCCTCAATGACTCGTTTCTCGACCAAGCTATGTACGGAATGCAAGCAAACAGAAAACAGTCAGGCAACAACAACATACAATCTTTCAATCTCAGTCAAGACACTGCAGCCTCGACAAGGACTTGCCGAGGTCATTTCAACTTGTTAGGGTTCTGCTGAATAGTAAATTGTCGGGCCATTTCACAAGGCCCAGTTTAGCCTCTTCCAAAATAGGAAAGCTTTTTCAATCTCTTTATGTAGCTTTTTTTCCTGCCAGACAAGGGTTAGAATATTCTGCAGCGATAAACAGTCAAATTTTGTGAGCCCAACAAGCGATAGCACTAGCTGCACATCTGGACTTAAGAATGAATCGATAGTTTATGTTTATTATATTTCTTTTTCTGAAATTTGACACTTAACAAGAAAAAGGGGCATAAACGTGCTGTATATGCATTACTCCGCCCTTTGTAGTTGTATATTTAATGGTTGAATCCTGCAGAGATATAATTATCCTGCAACGATTATTAGAAAGATTTAAGTCTACATAATGAGCACCATTATATAAGCAAACTGAGTTCAAAACATAACCTCACAGAATTCTTTACTCAAGGTAATTCTTAAACCAAAACTGGGCATTTAGTATACAAATATGTCATAGGAAACGGCAAAAGGTCAGTAAAAACGTATCCTTGATGTAAATGAAGTAGGCTTAATTAATGAACCCGTGAACGTTATATTTAGAACAGGAAGACAAATCGGCCTTGATCGAAAAGAACATTTATTGTTCCAACAAAACTTTTGACTGAATGCAAAGTTTTTAGTGTGCCGACTACAATACACTTTAATGCAATCAATGTCTATGTATATGTAAGTGCTCTAGTGCTTATCTTCCACTGTATATTTTTCCTTGACAAGATATACAAGTTTGCAAACCAGTAAACATGACCTGCACGTTAAGTTCGCCTCTAAAGGAATAAAGGTCAAAGGTTAAACCCTCTTCAGTCATGGCGAATACGTGTTTGTCTACAGGAAGTGGCAAATAGTTTCTGTGCCATTAAACTATTTAAAGTCGTGGTGTGACAAAAACAGTGCGAAGTATACATGTATACTATTCTGTTGGACCCTGGTTGGACAGACAACCATCTGCGCCGTAGTACTGCGCTCACACAGAGCTTCAACGTTTGAGTAAAATTGATCCTGAGAAACAATTTTGCAAAGAGTTTCATGTACCCCCCCCCATGGATAACCTTAGGAATGCTGAGCCAGGATCAGGAGAGGTTGTGGAATGTCCAGAGAGATCAAAATCAGAATAACAAAAAGCCTTAACTGGCCTCGCAGTGTCACAAATTTGGCAGTGAAAATAGGCTTTTGTATGAAATATTATAGGCCTAATTGGCAAAAATATTGAATATGCCTACAGAAATACATAAAAAAGAGCATTTAATGGACGTTGCCAAGACTTCTTCGTGGGGGGAAACCACTTCTTCCTGGGGAGGGAAGTTCTTGGGGTGGCAAAGCGAGTTATCAGCTTAAAAAGGTAAATAATTAACAGTGGGAGGGGACACTGTTTTGTTTTGTTAGTTTGTTAGTTTTTAAGCAAATCGGTGCGTTTCATCCCTTTTAATCTCTTTTTTCTCTCATTTTCTGAAACAAAAGCAAAAAACGACAAAACTGACCTTGATGAAACATGAACCAGAATACTCAATTTTACCACTGGAAATTTAAACACTGATACCTACACACCCAGACAAACAGAAACAGAAAGAACAGGCTAACCTTTGTACAGACAAAATTTCACATAAATCATTCCTCATACACATCCAAACCGATGCTGGAACGAGTGCAACATGTGATGTCCCTGGTAAGCTATCGGATCAATTTTATGACGCGCCTTGTGTTATCATATTACATTCCCTCGTCAGAAAAGTACCCCCTTTCAAGCCAATGCAGCCATTATTATCTCGTATGATCATTTTGGTAAAAAGGGAAAATATGCAACTTTTCTATACAGGAAGAGCGTTGGATTTGAACAAGACTGTTATGCGTTGAAGGAATTTGAATGCTCGGTTGGAGCATCCTGAACAAAAGACAATCAATGGAATTTGGAAGGAATTCTAGAATTCAAATCGCTGGAATTAAAACATCAACTAGGAGAAATATGTCTTGTAAAAGCTTTGGGTGTTCTCGTGCCTGTCTATCAAGTAAATCTGTGGACCAACAGGCCTACAAACATCGAAACAACACGCTTCAGCAACAACTAGCATCAATATAACTACTAAATAAGACATGAGCTTTCAGCAACTTACAGGAACAAGCAGAGTGGATTACGAGTTCATTGTTAAGTGATTAAGGGCAGCTTTAACAGTCAACCGATAATTGGGGATGAAATCCGTCCTCAAATCAAACCACTTAACTCGGGTCGTTAAAACCCACTTGATGACAAGCTGCCCTCAGGCGACAATTTTCAACTTCTAAAGATCTTCGATTCCCTGAAACGTCCCCCCCTTTCGCTCAGTGTCTCTCTTCAAAGTTGAAAATAACCACGACCACATCTTAAGCGGAATAGAACCCCCCCAACTTCCAAGGTGTTTCTGGCTTCAATCCGTTTTTGTTTCAGTCCAGCAAGAATTCATGTTGAATAATGAACTCTGGGGTTCTCTGATGCCAATGGCAGTCCCCCTTCATTGGACCCCGTGTTTACTTCCCGAGGAAAATATAAAATGGCCGGCCTTCGTGCAAGATAGTAGTTGACTTTAAAGATTCAGGGGCTGTTTTTGAATGGCTAAGCTGGGTTAATTTGTTGTTTTCCCCCACTTCAAAAATAAGCCCACACGCATCTGCGGGTTCTGGGAGCGCCCACTGCCACCGAGACTCCTTACGTCTAACCACCTCCATGGTCTTGCTCTCATGAAACCTATTTTTAGGTCGGGTTTCCATTAAATTAATCGGCATCAGTCAAATACCGAGTAACTGATGAAACTCAAACTGATCCCAGAATACGGGATGCAGTGTTACTAGTCCACCTTTGCATGGTAACGGAGAGAATAAGTGGACAAATAGGCCTATAATACATTTCTTTTACATCAGGTGCAATAAAGTGTTGTTTAATTTCTGTTAATGGGAACTTGATAATACTACACTACAAATGAGTTTAATGTCCACCAATTGACGCTGACGTTGGCGGCGGTTAAGTAAAAACATCGACAAATCGACATACCTCTGTTCAGAAGGAGCCCGATCCTCCTCGCCAAATCCGTCTCCTCCAAGAACTGAGTAGAGAACAATGAAAATGTCACAACATTAGCGAATGAGGAGAGCAATCACATGCTGAATATTTCATGCAGTCGCTGAGGACCAGCCTAGTCGTCTCGTGCAACTCAGAAGGGGGTAGGGAACCAGTTTGAGGGGACCTCTACGGTGTATTGTGGTCCGTGTTTGGCAGCCGCTGTGATTTGACCTCGATCGCGGGCAACTCTCGTCTGATGCCCAGACTAAGACCCCATCCGGTAGAGCCATCAAGATGACCTGCCGCGGAATTTGTTTTTCCATTTCGAGGACGACTGTGACCTCCAGTTTGTTAAACTGTTTGGTCTAGGTGAGAAGTCAAGAGGCTGTCACTCTGCCAAAAAAGACCATGAGTTCTCTGAAATGAAGGACGAGCAACAAAAAATGTAGCGAAAAAACTAAGACAAGGAAATAATAACGTTCTAGCCCTTGCTAAGGGTCATTAACTGCCTGATTTCTGAATGTTCTGAGAGCGACGTTAACAAGACAATGAATGACATGACCTGATCCCGGTGAAGAAAGTGAATACTACAAGGAAAGTGATTTAAATGTGTGAAAGGTCTGGAAAGCAGTCTATTTATTATCGCATTGGTCACACTATACTTTAAAGGGTAGCTGCAATCAATTTGTTTCAATACAAACCTTCAAAATGCACCTCTGTGTATCGGTTAACTTTATTTTCAACTTTTATTTCATTATTTAAAAAGATATTTTACTGCCCCTTGGTTGTCATGGTAACAAGTTTTTCCATATTTATGAGCAAAACTGTGATGTCACCCAGGTAAAAAGTCTCAATGTTACATTGGTTTGTACATAAAAAAAATCTTGCATCATCATGGTAGATTTTTTTAACTAGATTTTCTCTGCTGACCCATTTTTATTTATGAGCATAGCAATAAGCAAACACCAATACCTGTCTCCGATTTTTTTCAGCGAGTATATAAATTCCGAACTCACAATTTGAACAGAAGAACCAGTGCACTGAAAGAACATTCTTTACTTAATTTCGCCATATAGAAATGTTAAGAGTTTTCATACATTGAAGATGAGTACCACAAAGTTGTTGAAAAAGTGTGTCTGAGGAAAATTTCATGCAGTCACACTTTAAGCAATGGGTAAATTTTTCCACCAAACTACAAAATTGGCATCTGTGTACGAATAAAATATAATGTAATGTGACACAAAACTTCAAAGTTTTGAAGGCTCAGGTGTAAACTGTCGAAAGTTCGTATGTACTGTTTACGCAAAGTGCTCAAATTTGTGAAATTGAAACCTGCACTAATTCCGGAAACACTTCGGTGTTGAACTCTATCGTTGTTTATTTTCTAACCAGGCAAAGGCTAATAGTTATTCACTCCAAACTAGGGTTCAGTTGCATTTGTTTGAGTAAATTCAATCACACTTTTGTCGTGTGGCTTAATGAATCGGTAACTCAACTACTTCTCGGTGTTACTACGGAAGCAAAACTGCATCGTTTCCCCAAGGACTTGTCCGATTAGTTTGTGAGCTACTGAAGTGAACGATCAGATTTCATACTTTTATTTTTTTGGTCAGTACTGTATTTGCCAGCGGCTCAATGTAACAAGCTAGGACAACAACAAATAAGATTATATCTGAATAGTATTCTTCCTGCAACAGTTAAATTTTTAACTGGTCTAAAGTCGATTGATTATTCACCGATATTTACTGGCAGGGTAATTATCAAAGACCGCATTCCATTCAAGATAATACGAGATTATGCGAGATAAAGTTGCGATGTGATCGCACACCTGTACGTTAAACCTTCAATCGATCACTGGTGACAAGTGGGTCAATCCCAACCGGAACGTACTCTTTGACCTCCGCAAGGCCATTCTGCGGCCACAAAGCTTAGAAGCTCTAGCCAGCAGAGGGCGCACTTCAATACGCGGGGTGTGACCTTGCACAGGCGCATTATAGGGAGTTTACGAAACGAAAGTTGTCGTATGGTACGCCTGATTCGGAGTTGATTCATGTCAATAGTCAGATATTCACCTTGCAATAAAACGGTTTGGAAAGGAAAGACTTTCCTTGGTAGAAGAGAAGTCCCGAGTAACACAGTGCGAAGACGATTCGTTATACGAGACACTGTAGGCCTATCCTATGAGTGAGCCTTAAAGTTTCCTGGGAATTACAAAGTGACACGTTATTATAGAAGTCAAACCAACTCATCCAACGAAAAGCAACTATGCAGAACGGTCGTTCGGGTTTTCTGGAATTGCAATTCTGATATTCTTAAAGAAAAAAAATAGAACATGAATTAAGGCTGATATTTTCTGCGAGGTTCAGACGCTGTGTCACCACCATCGTAATGGCCAACTACAGTGCCGACTTTTTGTCTGGAACGTCGACAAGAAGGCACAGGTTTGGACTCTTTGAGGGTGATAAGAGGTCCTTGAGGTTACCACTTCTGTCAAAAAAGAACGATTGCCCAGCTAGCATCTTTTCATGTAAGATTTGAAAGGATAGAACATAGCCAGACAAACGTCACTTCAGCATTCATCAACCACCTACAGCCAAGAAACCCATGCGGAGAATTGATTTCAGGAAGAAAAAAATGCCGGGAAAGCTTCAAAGCAGACTAAGTAGGCATTTTCCCTTGTTTTCCACCGTCAGGAATTGTGGCTGTTAAGGTGCTTGGCATACACGACAAAACCTGCAAAATGCCGCAGGAATGTCGGCGTGTTCTTTATCTTATTTGCTGCAAGAACCGGCCGATCTGGCGCGAGCTCTTTCGAGTAAACGACGAGAAGCTGAAAGTGTCGTTAGCAAAATAGGGTTTTCCATTGTCAACACGAGACGTACACGTGTTTCATGGGGACACCTGACTAGATCAACATGCCACCTCCAATTTCCTTCCCAATTAAGTCAACTTGAGCGATGCTACAAGGGGGGACGCTGGAGTGTCTTGGCACCATTGTTGTGCAACCTCGCGTATTGATTTCTGGCACCGTGTGTGTGTATGCCATCACTGGACGAACAATACCTAGCTGTTGCAAGACTCTGGGAACCGTGGCTACCATAAGCCACACCACGGGCATCAAGTTGTTTACTCGGAGTTAGATAGCGCAGGCATTTTATGATCAATTGTTTTCAGCCAAGTGCAGTAAACACAGAATTCACAAAGCCAGCGGTACACTGTTTTACAACCTGTATGTAAATGTTTGCGGTAGGGAAGGTGTAACAGAACGCAAATGTCAGAACTGTAAATCATTCAACAGGCGTAATAATACATACAAATCTTTCGCCATTTTGATTGAAAGTCAGATGGGCGTATATTTTTAATGTTCAGGTATATAGATGCTGCGAAAACCCCAAAACGAGAACAGGGGAAACACAAAGGAGTAAAACGGTCCTGTCTTTAAGTGTTGCTTTCAAGGACAAAATTTGTTCTAATTTTGTTCAGTACTCTCTAAAAGTCTTCAGCCTGCAGGATTAGTGTCTGGAAGCTGTCAGGGGGGTGATTAGGAAGCCAGAAGTTTATTTTACTGATTGTAGCTCACTCAAAGGGTTTCTGCGGTTTTCTTTAGTCACAAGAAGTCAGTGCAGCCTCTGGAAGAACACCAAACGCGTGGCTGTCAAATTTGTCACCAGAGAGGGGGTTAAGATAATGGACTTCATTCACCCCAGAACTATGGGGTTCGATGGCGGACGTCGGACCCCCCAGTTTTGAGGGTATTCAATGTGAATTTCCTTATTCAGAATACAGAGGAGCATATACTTGCTTTATTTTAGTCTTTTTCTGGGTGGACACATCTTGTTGGGGTAAAGGCGAGCAGTTTTATCAATTAAGTAAACAACTAAGTAACCATAATCCATATCAATCAGAGATGACAGAAACTGCCTTACCTTCTACAAGGAGTTCAGCCTCGCTGCAGGCAACTCCCGCAGGATTCCTCGCCTCACACTTATACACCCCCTCATCATCAGGCCCCGCCTCCCGAATAATCAACGAGCAAAGATCCTCTCCTTCGAATTCTATCCTGAAGTGGCGGCTTTCCTTGATCTCCCTCCCGTCTTTGTACCAGTACACCTGCGGTTCAGGGAAGCCCGAGATCCGGCAGTCAAAGCGCGCGGCACTGCCTTCAAAGACCTCACAATCGCGGAGGTCTTGGTGAATTGCCGGGTGTTGATAAGTTCTCTTACGGGTCCTGTGGCCCCGATACACGGCCTGGATTGTGGTGGCAGCATCGGTCACTTCTCTGGCCGGATTATCCACGTCGATATTCATGTCCTCCGAGTCCGAAGTGTGACTGTTGAAATCAGCTAGACCGTGATCAGAAGCTCGATCGTTCTCAGCCAAGTCCGAAGTGCGGTCTGAACTGGTCAGATCGCTGGCGTAGTTTGAGAAGGGTGCTTCAGTGTCAGCAGTCAGCGTGTCCCGTGCAGTGATCTGGCGGGTGACGGTCGGTGTCGACTCATCCGCGTTATCTCCTACCCCACCTGTATCGGTATCAATAGCTCTGCGGGGAGGCAACTCGTCTATTTGATAACTTTCCAAGGGTTGTGCTTGCACTATTATATCGCTGGACGACTGGCGCTCTACAGCCTCATTCCGATCGTTCAAATCGATATTTGAACCGTCACCAGGCGTTGGTTCGATCTGCTGGTATGCTTCCTGCGCTAGTCTTAAGGCGTCTTCCTCTCGCTTTGCCTTCAGCAACTCTGCCAGAGAAGCTGAATCGTTACTTGCCAAGGGATCTTGTCCAGTCGTCTTTTTGTGGTTACTGAAAAGCCTCAATGCTGTCATACGCCCGATAGCTCTCACTGCAGTTGCCGTTTTCTGTAGGGAGAGAATTCAAGAATACAGCTAAATCTGAGGCGTGAACGGGACACTGAATACATAACTGTTACGAACCATTTTCTTGAGGAAGACTTACACGGACGGCAGGCAATAATGGGAAAAGGCAGGAGCTGCCCGGGGGGAGAAACTAATTTGGGGATTTATAGGCCGAGGGGGTTTCGGTCAAGAGGATTACTAGCATTGGTTATTCCTCCAGTTTCCCACACAGCACGCTACGCCACAACTCCACCACCATGTTCGCCCTGTGTTGTGGTATGCATCCTTGGTCAACCGGTACACACAATAGGTTTAACATTACTGCCGAGAGAACGGCAGGTATATGTAAATATCCCCACGCCAAGCACTACTGCAACAGTACAATTAGCAAGTGTGTACAAAGGCTATCTAGTTTCTAAAAGGGGCCACTGGGCTCAACCACGACTGATAATACAAGATTCGGTGTGGTCGTATCGCCTTGCAGACGGGAGGCGTTGACACGAACAATAGAGGCGGCAGATTTTTTTTTAACTCGTTCCAAAAACCACGACAAAACTCTCAATGACTTTTCTCACCACACACTTTCTGACGCCAGGGATGTTACAGAACTATTCTCACTTGTAAGAGTAACAGTCGAAGTCTTTAACAGTTTTTTCCAAAAATGATAAAAGGCTTCAAGGATATCATCAACAAATAAAAAGTATTACGATGCCATGGACAGATCTTCATGCAATGTTTTCCTTTTTCTGGCAAACCCTCTTCATTTTTCGGATAAGCATACAACGCCCATTTTCCGACGCCACAAATGCCACGTAGGTCCTGGAATAATCCTCCTCTAATTTGATAATAATAACAACCCATTGATAAGTTTGTGCCGATCACTGCTCAGACCTCACAGATTTTCATCAAGTGGGACTCGAACCCACGACACAGGCACTGGCATCCTAAGGGGCATGTTTATCGCATAGCCTACAATTTGTATACAGCGCCCAAAGCATAACGACCAGCCCCTCCCTAGTCAACTGTCAACAGCTGGTTTAATGCCTTTTGACAGCCCCCCACCGAAATTCCTGGCAATGCTCACAAACAAGCGTTACTATAATGCAAATTTTGAGGAGATTAAGGTATATAAACCTAACTGTAACAGCATATTTCAAACACTGATATGACAAAATTAAGTCAAAATTCAGAAGGTTTGAGTATTTCCCGGTGATTTGTGAAAAGTATGTAAGACACTAGAATTCAGGATTCACTATTTAAAAGTGGCTTCAACATAGTATAAATTCCAACGTTGTGCAAAATTTTCATTACTTCCTTTAACGTAGACTGAACGGCACTAGCTTTATCATGACTCAAATCAAACAGAAACACAATCTGGCGGCGGGAAAATATTACACTTTATAGCTCGGCACCACAACAATGGCAAGGTCTGTGGTCTAGATAATCTCCGTACTTTCGAGTCACAAAACGACCTAAGTAAGAGCAAATTGCCCCCCTTATATGTGCTCCAAAACGGAGGTCAAAGTATTAAAGAAAAACGACAAAAAGCCGGCCCCGATAGTCGGCCAAAAAGGCACGAATTCTGCGATCCTTAATAGTTTAAACCAAACAATACAGGAGGGAAGCGCCGCTCTGACAAATCCAGACAAGAAACTTCAAAGCTAACCGGCACATTCCGTGGCTAACGCGGGTCGAATCACTTCCCTATTCTGAGTTTCACACCACGGAGACGTGGAGATAGAGGATTAATTGAGGGCACGGGGGAGGGTATGTACGAGCCCGTCCCCGTTTAAAATACACATAATGACGTCGGGGTTAAAGACAGAAATTCGGATGGAGAAAACAGAGGGCTACATGAGTATTGCATACATCAACACTACTCGGTAAGGAAACCGAACTCACAGCACGTACAGTACTTGATATGGTGCACGTTTTGAAGCTTTAATGATATTGTAAAATGCTTAAACAAGTCTATCGACATGCAATAAAACTCGGAATCATTTAAGAAAAGCTCTTACCAGTACAGACTGCAGTGAACAGATCGTTCAGTTGTGACCGTTATGAACATGATCAACCCAAAATTCCACACACGACGGACTTGACCTCGCACACGAACAAAGACTGCCATATTTTATTCCCTTTTTTTTTCAAAATCCATCCGAGCAAAACGGTTGGGATGGAATCGATTTGTCACGATGACAGGTCAGCCCGTGTAGACCAGGTCCTTTTTTAGACTCAACCCTTCACAAATTCAGAACGCTTTCCGCTATACTAAGATAATTTATTGCTCGCTAATTGTGTCCAGATTTGCAAGAACAGTAAATCACTTTCAGAGCGCCAGCACAAATAGAAAGCCAAAATGAGCGGAACTAAATATTTCTCCTGCGGGGGAAATTTGTTTATTTGGGTAAAGACTAGACAAAGAATGATGGAGTAAAAGACTCAGCGCTGTGCTCCGATAAACATCACATTATGGAGCGTTTGTGAGACTGAAGCGAAAAACAACATTTCGCTGAAACGGGAAAAATTTCACTGAAGTCAGTAACCACGAAGGCCTTGGGGAGGCAAAGCAAGGGGGAGTGCGCACGCCTGAGTGAGCCGATGAGAGTGGTCAGCTAAACCCGACATCAACAAGAATTTCAGAACATCGGATAAAGCAAAACGTTTCCTAGAAGACTGGGTTATCTGTTTTCAAATCATTCACCGGTTTCCGCTAACATCTTTATAATGTCTGCTGTCGAAGTGTTGATGTCAAATGAAGAGTGTATGATTAATCGGTCCCAGGGGCGTTTTTGCAAGGAATGGTGACTGGGGCAATCATTTTCAGGGAAAAAACACGACTTGGCAAAGCTCCCCATTTCTCCATAATCTTGGAGACGAGCACAAGACAGGTACGGGCCTCTGCTCCACTACAGGGGCGGGCTGTTACCCAGTCGTCCCGCTTACGCGAGTATTACAATGTACACTGTAGTTATAACAATGTGTGCAGTAATACAGGACAGTTTCTCTGTTCGGTCTGTCTTTCGGCTTTGAAGTCCCTTCTCAACTATTTAGGATACAAAATAAGCAAAACCAAGCTTGAAATTTGAAATTCGAAGCACAAATCTTAGAATCAGCGACAAGAAGAAACATATCATATCAATTCATTTCATACCGGTATCATGCAATTACTTGAGACGGTGTGTGTTCAATCGTCTGTAACATCCCGAAGTCGATGTGGGAGCGGCACTGGCTGCCCCACGAAAACGCAAAAGTGTTCCAGGTTTGGGTCTCTATTCTTTGCAATGGACGGTAGGAGCTTGCATATCTGCATATGCTCTCTTTTTTAATGTGGGGGGGGGAATGATGCAAAGAATCCCATCCATCCCTTCCCTGACGCCATAAGGAGACACCTTCTCAAAAGAGACATTATATCATAATGTACAAGTCACTCACAACAGAAAAAAAAGACATGGGGGGGGGAACTGTAACAATGCCAATGCAATACAGCCGTCAAGACACCAGACCTTTGCATCTTCTTGCCCCTGGGCAAGCACCTTTTCTTTACATCCTCTCCGTTGACTCTTCTTTTGCCTCCCATGATGTATGCTTGCTGACGGGTAAATAACAGCCATGATTTCTGTTAGTTCTTGGGCTTCGTTGTGCATTCGTGCTGTCCTCACAAGCCGACGCATATTCTTGTTTCGTGGGTAAACAATACTTTCCATGCCTACTCTCATTCGGGGTAACACTATCAAGATGGATCTGCTTATTTATTCTGTGGATTTCTACCGTCACGCATCACTATATGCTACTTCTGTGCCGACAGAAGGCGGTGTATTCCCCCAATGAATTACAAATGGATGACACCCGCTTCCGTCACGTAGAATTGATTTACACTGGAACAGTTTATATTCCGAAAGAAATGATCAAGACAACTCTGTATAAAGCACGACAATGTTGGAACGGCTCCAGAAAATGACTATAATACACCGTGCTGGTTATTGTTCAGAACAAAAATCAAGGGAAAATGACTTGAAAAGTTGTCAGCATAGTGCTTCAGTTATTCTGTTTTAGCGATTCTTGATCCTGTGTTCAGGCTAATTCTCAGCTCCAACCAGTTCCACATCATCCTCACAGGATTTGGTTCCTAAACACACATCCATCACTCAATTGATACAATGGTCCAAGAATGGAAACCCAGAGGAGTCTCTCTCGTGAACTAGCTTGGGCCGTTTTCCAATACTCAACTTCGGCTCCGTCTCAGGCTGCAACTGTTTTTAACTAGCTGACTTTGAAGCTGTAAACGCAGTAATTAGTTTAATAGTGCCACAAAACATCAAGTAAGATGCAAGAGAGCCAGAAATTACAGTAATCCAATTTAATTTAAACGCTTCAGGCCCACAATCGGGGATTGGTTTTGGGAACGAAGCCTGAGACGGAGCCCAAGTCGAGTATTGGAAAAGGGCCATGGAAGAGCTAACTACTGCCCAACTGAACTTGAGTCTACAACTGAAGTTGAATTTCACGGCGAACCAATAGGATAAATCTTTTGTCTCTGAAGCATTCCTTAGAAGTCAACGTGGGCGTCCACTCATTTTGGGGGACTTATCCTACGCCATGCTTGGTAAAAATGATTCTGACATCACTAGTAACATCTATCAGGGGTTTAGAGTGAAATGGTTGAAAAAGGCGATTTGGCAATGTCCAACATTGGTGTCTCACATCGACTTTTGCAAAAATATCTGCAAGGAAGGCTAGTGTACATTTGATAAAAATAAGTAAACTGTGAATTTCCACAGAATTTCTTCATTTCGTCCGAGGCGCACAGTTTCCTGATAACAGTGACATTTTGTGAGAAAAATTCTTCTGCAGAAAAGCAGCGAGAGAAACAAAGGAAACATTACATGATAATTTAATCAAATATGGAACAACTTTGTACCTGCATAACATGACGACACAACTGTTTTACGGCGAAACCTTGGTGCCTTTGCAATGTCGCTGCTTAATTACCTGAAACATTATCTCAATAACTAGTTCATAACTGTTACCCGAGGGTGATCATACCAAATGAGGGAATTGAGGTAATAGTACAAGCTGGCAACTTACCCGTGAAAACAAAGTTCTACTCTTCTGGGGTTGGGGATTCTTGGCCTCCATGGTGCAAAATGTCACTGAGTAAAATGAGAACGTTGCAGGTAGGTTGTCTTTGTGAAGTCGCTGTGAGACTGGCAGTCTACAGCAGGAACAATCTCCAATGACCTGATTTCAAACCTCTGCTTTTTACATTCTTTGATCCCGCGATTTTATTCAAGGTTTGATGGTTCCAATACAACAAGGCGCGCGATTGTTCAGTGTTACCCGCGCAAGTGACCCCTTTCATTTCAATCACTACGCCAAAGCAGTTTTCCAAGAGCTGATGACGTCATTTTTTCTCAGATCACGGACATTGTACTGCCTTGCCCTAGAAGCAAAACTGTCCTCCAAGATCTCATCTCACAGCAGTGGTCTCTTGTGCTGTCTTTCTCACTCCTCGGAAGATCTTCTGAGAAGACGTGCAAGTGAGGCTACCTCATAACGAAACAATGCTCACCAACACCATCTGACTTCGTCAATGAGTGCCTTTGTGCTGGGCCAAAACCTTTGGCAAACACGACAACAACAAAAAAGAAGAGTCGCCAGGAGATCCAATTTTGAACAAAGCTGCACAACTTATACTGGGAGAGCTCACAGAACACCGTCGCTTATTCCTCAAAATCCCTATGGGCAGGAACCCTTGAGTGCAACGACCGTGTATTTGCTTTCCAGTGTCGACTGCTAGGAGTCTGGGAACAAGGACACTTGATTGACATGAAGTTCAATAGAATTTTCAACAACTAATAGGTCATTAGCTGGTATTTATCGGCCAGGAAAAGAATGGTGTTTGCATTTTAGTCAAAGTCTTTTGTGTTGATGATCGAGAATGGGACAATTAGCCAATCAGATCAGCCATCGGACCTTCTCCATGTTTTTCTGGCCAGACGCCCTCTCATCATAGTGCCTTGCTCTCTCGACGATTCTACCCAGCAGACGCCCTCTCATAGCACCTTTGCACAGACGATTCCCCGGTAATCCTTCAGGGAGACTTTTGTTGAGTGAGTTGACTGACCTACATCAGATTATTTCTCTTATTCAAGAGTTAAATCCTGCACGGACAACATTCCCCCTGCAAAGTTTGGGAACCCAGGGTGGAACAATTCAATAGCGACGGGTTACTGTAGGTAGGAATAACATCGGTGGCATGGGTTAGGAAAATCTCGAGTCGGCAACTGCATCTACTCGTGTGTCCGACTACAATTCATCTACTGCACATCAAGTGCCATGCAACAGAAGTGTTCCATTTTGGAACCAATGAGACACCTGAAAGTTTACTGTTTCAAATTTACCTCTAGGAGCTGACGAAAATACAGGCTAGAATGAATCTCACCATTTGACTTTTAAGATGTCACTTTTCAGTGACATATTGGTGCGGTGGAATGTCTCGAGGCAGGACTGAGGGGTAAACTCAGATCGTGCATAAACACGGCTTTGCCACAAACAAGTCTTGATTAGGTGGTTTATTCAGATGTACAGTACCCGTTGGAATGTCTGAATGGACAGTACTCTTCCTTAGTTTTCTTGATGGGAGATCTCTGTGTCTTCCCCCCTTCCCTGATGTAACTTCCCGAAGTAAACATTCCTGCCTACTTGATAAATGTTATCAGGGAAATGTAATTACAAAAAGACGCACAGAACTCGGTAAACCTCACACCAAAAGTGTTATTCGTTTGATCAAGGCGCCGTACTACCTACAAGCAAGCAGACGCGACGTCTACAAAGCTTGACAATGAAATGAATGGAAAGGACTTTACCGATCCTGATGAAATATCCCTCGAAATGTTCATAATTTGTTGGTGGTTATATAGTTCAAAGCGTTGATGGGATCCCGTAGGTGCGATAATACCACCGTGACTGCGTAAACACCAGGAGGGCAGGTCAGAAAACACGGATATCAACAAGCTTTGAAGTTTTACCGCTCGACTAAGCCTCAAAAGAAAGTAAGTCACAATGACGTGCAAGAGGTTTAATCTAGTCTCGTTATGAGCCCAGCTCGCCGTCTTAAGACACCTCTGAGAAGCCACTATTTGTAAGCAGTGGCGTAACTAGGGTGCTACAGCTGAGGGGGCACTTGGGGGTGCACAATTTTTGCCAGGGGGCACTGAAAATAATCGAACTAGGTACAGTATATATATTTTTTGTCCATTTCAAAATTTCAAATGGGGGGCACCGGGGGGGGGGGCACGGGCCTCCGTTTGGGGGAGGGGCACGTGCCCTCCGGTAGCTACGCCACTGTTTGTAAGTGACCAAACACAGGGGGTCCACTATTTGGAAGAGGACTTTATCAGTGCCGAAACCTTTGCGGGAAATTCAGTGGGTCGTAATGAGTTGAACCGATCATATCTTCAAAATATGCAGAGATGTCCAGCAAATGGGAACGTAATCAAAAGTGCGAACTAGCAGAACCAACAAAAAGTGTTCGTTTCACTTGGTCCGATCTCAAATGCTTTGTGCCATCATTTTAACGGACAAATTTATAATCGAAAGGCGAAGATACAAGTAAACGTACGCTAATTTTCTCTTGAATCAGGTAAGAACGCGCTTCTTGTCTTTGTTGGGCACTGACTTAAGGGGGCCTTTTTATTTCAAGGCGAAATTCTGTTATGAAGGGATTACATGGCTTTTTCAAAATGTCCTTTGTTCGTCAGCGTCATCTGTGAATGCGATACGTGGACCTTTTACCATTCGGGCAAAAAAATCGTTATTTTCACACGGCCTACAAGATTGGTCTTCAAAAGAAGCGAAGCACTATTCCAAAGATTATCATAACAAGCCAGAGTCTAAAATACAGCTCCACATTTTCATGGCAACCGGTTGTTAAATGTTCAACTTCGAAAATCAAATCTAACCACCGAAATATTTTTTGAAGTAAAATATGCGAGGAATTCTAAGTCGATTTGCAAACAGCGTAAACTACACAGTATTGCTGCTGCAGTCACGAACTCCATATCGATTACTTAATACCTCCAAAGTTAAACTCATTAAATATTTAATATTGGTCTTTTCTGCTGCGCAGTTTACAAGCAACATTAAGGAACGACGTCCGAACAGCAACATTACGATAAGGTCGATGAAGATTAGTCGACACGTTGTGATGCCCTGCCATACACTTTAGACATAGTTCTAAAATTATGGGGATTCAGTGAATCTCATGGAAACCACATTAGGAAGTTACAACCCGAAAAGCCGAAAAGGGTTAAAATGTTTACGTTTCACAGGCTCTTCATAATAGTCATAATTTCTTGATAAACAGGTCCGCTGGAAAGTTTGTGGCATCATATAGTCGATTACAAGATAAAAGGATTTTTTGTTATTAAAGACGCCAATCAGGAATGGAGAGTGAATCCAGGCTTTGACTTTCTGGCCCTCACAAAAAGCTTCATTGGTATCCTGAAGAATTTCCTGTCACTTGTGCATTTACAAAGCAGGGGGACTATCCCCAGACTGATTTCTGAAACCTGTACATTTATGTAAAGATCAATACACACAAACCAAAGAGGCTCGGTGGTCTCGCATCATGGTCTTGAAGAGGCAAGAGATCATTGAGGAAACACTGTCATCGTCATTACAGGGCGTTGCAAGTCGAAAAGTATCCGTTGACTACGAGTACTTCGCTCGGAATGATGAGATCACTCGACATGACTATAGAGGGCGCTGTGGCTGTTACGGCAGCGATGAAGAATTTGAATAATAGGAATACAGTCCACTAACTCAAGCCCCATTGAAAACAGTGTAATGTCAGCACTGTTCAAGGCCCAGTAACATGCATACCAACATCCCTGAGATTTCAGAAACACAAATGAAATTATTGTCTAGTCCCTAATTTTCCAATTTATTTTCAAGTTTTTTGTGGGTTAACCCAGTACATTTTTAATTATTCCCACAAAACAAAATCACCCCCCGAAAAGTGATTTTTTCCGAAGTCCGATTGCAACCATTTTCAAGCAGCAACCCTCAACTTTCTCGGGCCCTTACGACCATATTTCAACCGTAGTTTTTAGACATTCTGTATGAAAACTCAAAGACCCAGGGGGTTCATCCTGGCAATGATATACACAATCTCACCATTTTGGGGGCCAAACAATCTCTTTTTTCAAAAGATACTGTGGGGGGCACTTTTAATGCTAATGAGCTGGTCAAAAATTCTCACTTGAATTAGTGGTCTGCACCCCTAGGGCTACTTTGGTGGGTATACAATCTAACCAGACAAACAGGCACAGTTAATAAAATTCTAGGAAAGCAACATTAAAAAATTGACATTACATCAAACATGTGAACGGAGAGTCCCAAAGGCCTTATTACACCTGTAGTTCAAGCATGCCTTATGATGCGTACACTTGATTGAAAAAAAGACATTTCAATATATGTGACCCGCTCTGTAAAAATTAGCCACAAGTCTCCGGAGCTACTTTGGCGTTTTACTTTGTATTAGGATTGAGGAATTTGAGCTTTTTCTTGTGTCACTCAGTTTGGTAAAATGAAAGTGGACGTTCTATACATGTTAAAATGTTAAGGATTAGTATTGCTTAAACGCTGTGCAAGATTCTTTCAAAGGCCTTTAACTCAAACGTGCCTCTTGAGACATGTAACTCATTTTCACAGAGCGGGTCACGCATTTTCGGTAATCTATACAGTATCTCTTCGTGGTGCAGCTGTAACCTGCAAATATGACACGCCACACCAGAAACGATACTAACACAACTGTTCCAGTACTTTGGGGTTTGTCATAATGAAACAGAATGTCCAAAAGGAATGAAAACACAATCATGGCCTTTAAACGTCTTCTACGTAACTTCGGGGGACAAAACTTGGGCGAAAGATACACCAAACTGTTCCCAGTAATCGCTAAACTCACCTGCCATCTCCGCCTTGCCATGTAGCCCTTGAGTCTCAACGAAGCATTCCGTAACTTGTTACCCTGCCGGTGCGTGAGGGTCTTTCTGACTAGCCATGGATGCTCCAAACACTGCGCGATTGTGCGCCGATGCCTGCGTGTCAAAAGGGTGGAAATTCGAGGGCTTCAGATCAAATCAGGTTTCAAGGGAGCTAGCAGCATAAGGAGGTCCACTCTTCTTTCCTCAAGGATTTTTATTTCTGCACAAAGGCAGCTGAAGTGGGGGAAGTTACGTAAATCCAGCGACGGGTAAACATTGCAGGATAATAGAATACGAAGCTAGAGGGCGTTCTCGAGCGGAAAATGACTCTTGATTACAATTACAAATCTCTCCAGAACGGTTGATGAAACTGGACGAGAACATAATCTGCAAACTGTGAGTAGGTTTCGGTACAATGGGGCGACTGTTTAGAAGGAGCTGGGAAAAATCCTTTGCTGGGTTAAGCAGCGAGGAAACCGGGGTGGAAGAACTTTCGAGCAGGTTGACACGACAGTACAGAGGGCAATAGCACTGAACCCTAAGTAAGGAATAGGCAAAACACGCGGGCCACGATGAATAGACCACCACAGTATAAAGGTTGACGGAAAAGGAGGCTATTTAGAACGACGTGCGTCATATGCAGATTATGCTCAGAAAGTGTACAGTACGTGTACATATTTTATGCGCCCTTAGCATCATAAGCATATGACGCACGTCCCTCTACGGTGGCCTTCTTTCCCCTCAACCCAGCATAAAGAATGATTTGTTATTCAAGTGTATGCCATAACTGCAGAGCTTTTGGGCTACTTGTATAATTTCCATTATCTTTAAACCGTATTCCCATGGTCTTGAAATAAACCACAAGTAATGACCACAGCATGGCCTAAGACTTCAATGGCAACTTCATCCAACGTGCAATTCACTCCCGGACGGACAGAAAAACTGGTGACATAAAAAACAGAGGGGCAGGCGAATGGTGATTGTGACAACAGTTGTATAACATGATCGAATCGTTAAAACGATCATAAAACAAAGAAAACCTTAAATACCCGCTCCTTGAACATTTTTCGATTATCATGCAAACACAGATTTCCAGAATTACTGACATGATTTTTGGGGGTCCAACAAATACTGTGGACATCTCTTCTTTTTACTTACTCCTTATCTTTGACTAATAATCGTATAATGAAATCCTTGGCGTCAGTCGAGACGTCATCAAACGCCTCATCCTCAAAGTCCCATTCTGCTGCCGTGACGTTGTTGAACGTCTCTGCGTCTGTGTCACCCATGAAAGGAGATAAACCGCTTAACCTGAAAGATTGATTTACCAAAGATATTTTAGTGGATGTGTTCTGGGAAGGGTTTAAATTTGGGGATCTAGCAAAAGAAGAATAAAACATGCCGTGGGGGCCCTTGGGCAAATGATACAACAGGTGTGCACGCAAAGTTGAGAGATGAAAGTATTCAGTGCAAAAGGTAAAGTCGAAGTTCAGTAAAGTTTTTCTGCTTTGATTGAATCGTGTGCATTATTAAAGGTAGCACGATTTTCAACGCTAGGAACTAGGAACACAAAGTAATGTTGGTATTAAAGTTGGTCCCGTCATAGAGCAAGGAACACCTCAACCAACGGTGAGCAACGCAAAATGAAGCGATGAGGGCGCTGTTCCACTTGAATGGATCAAGACAGTAGTTCCGCTCAATTTCTGTGTACATGTGAACCAATCAATTGGTAATCGAGATCCCGTTGTATAGGCGTTTATCATTGCCTTGCTATGAAAGTCATTTGTAAGAGAGCATTTTTAACAACATTGAAATTGCAGTTGTCTGTCTCCCATAAAAAAGCATGTCACATTAAAATAACGAATCGCCCTCTTTCATAAGGAAATAACCGTGGCTGTTTTTTAAAAAAGCGGTGAGAAGAACAGGCCGTCAGTCTTTTATCCAAATTGTGTGTTGGAATCAAATAGCTTGTGACATCAAGATGAGACATATACTATGAATTATGGTAATATACACTCTATCCTTGTAGTACGAGACAGCATTTATGGTCGAGTTCAGAGGGCCTGTTCTGGATTGGAGCTTCTTGTTCTCGCCATGTTGCATGTTGCTTGCCACTCACAACCAGCGATAACCGGTTGTACGTTCCTGGCATTCAAGCGACCGACTCACGAACAACAAATCGAGCTGTTCGTGAACATACGAGAACAAGCCGCCCAAACTCAGCCATAAAGTAAAGAGGTATGGCTTAGAAAATGATCCCAGCTCTCATGTACGCGTATTCGACGAAGCAGCGAAGATAACATTGAGTTCTATACACCAGAAGACAAAAGATTCATGTTGAGGTTATATTGCGCTGGATGCAGAGAAAATGGAGGTCATTTTGTATAACGAAACCAAATATTTTTTTTTTGTTCTTGACGATTGTACTGATGAAAATGACGATAAAGGAATTGAAAGATTGAAACTTTGGAGTTCTATTTTGTTGGATTATACAGTGACCCACGAATTAACACACGGGGAGCGTGGGTGAATGCTACAGGAACAACTGCTACACGATCACCTAATTTCCCTAGGATTTACGACTTCATATTGCGTGCACTGCCACGGCTGAGCACTTACCGGTACCGACCTAGATTGGATGTTACCCTTTACTGAAAATTTACATTGAAAAAAAAATATCCTTATTGGAATCGTTTATGTTGATTTACAGAGGCAACTAATCCACAAACCATCGTCTCCAGTGAAGCTCTTATACAGAGGGGATCACTGTTTTGTTTTTGTCTATTGTTTGTTGTTTTTCACAGAATAAACAGCGAGGTGCGACTGCTTTCTTTGCACTGAGCTGTTATTTAGTTGGATTTGGTTTGGACGACCCATTATGCTTGTTTACCGACGAATCTTCAAATCTTCCTTTTGCAGGTTGCGTTTTGCTCAATACAACGAGACACCCTCTGAATACTTGATATAGCAAATTATGAGTCAAAATTGTAAACGAAATGAGGAATCAGATATCCACACAATCCCTTCAACACGTTCTTGTGTTGCAATTTGCGATGCGCGTGGGAAAAATAGAGGTCCTAAAACACGAGCTGAAAAAGGATAAAACATCATCGCATATTTCTGCTGATGGGTCAAACTATGACCTCTTATGAAAACGCAGGTGTTCCAGACGCGCGCCCAAATCCAGGGTATCTTTTTTATTTTTTTGGCTCTAGGGAGTTATTACTCACAAGACATAGCAGATGACTCCGAGACTCCACATGTCTGTCGGGAAACCGATGCGCTCATAGTTGACTACTTCTGGAGCGACAAACTCCGGCGTGCCGAATAACACTTTGACATTCTCATCCGGCTCTAACTTCCGCGCCATCCCAAAATCGATCAGTTTGATGCTGTTTGATAAATAAGAAAAAACTCCGAATGGATGGCGTGTTCGTGATAAATATCTGACCATGCGGGCCAACTTTCTCAGCAAGATTTGGCCCATGTTGACCTTCAAAACATGCAATTTCATATTTACATGAATAATTTATATTTTACATGCATAAATAATTGTGTGCTCCTGTGGATAAGTAAACGTGAAACTTTTAAGTAAACAGAAATTCCCTATGATCTCTGATCCACGTTGCCAATATACAAACGAACAGGAGATTAAAACTTGGATCAACTTTGAAACCACAACCTCTGTTTACGTAGTGACTAATACCTTGGCAATTGTGTCAAACTAGTTTTTCCACAAAACTTCAGCCCACAAATTAAAACAATCAGGGGCAGACGGACAGTTTGATTTTGTTTTTCAAACTGTCTAATGTTATTGATGTCTCTTGTAACAAATCAGACGCTTTATTATTTGTACTGCTCCTGTGGAAAAGCCCACTAATCTGGCAGGTTGACTTGACAGCTATGGATACAAACATGGTCATCAGACCCAGGGGTATCCTGAGCCTGTTCTGTGCCTGGGAAGACGGCAGACAGGAAAGATCGAATTAATTGATCACCAGGCCATTATCTCGGTCTCACTTGGGTTCAATTCCGACAAAACCTACTCAGCTCCATTTGATGAGTCTTTCCTTGGAGAAAGATCCGTCCAGGTCCTTAATTTTTTTTTCAAATTTGATATTTCAAGTCATTGATGTTTATGTAGAAGCATTTGCGGTAGCGTATTATTTTCAAGCAAGATTAGGGAGCAACAGATAAATCGAAGATGGAAATCTTAAATGAAGGAAATTGACATGAAACCCATGCAGTAATGGAGAGTCTGATGTAGCTTGGGGGTACAGCATCTCACCTTGTTCCTATCTTGTCCACACACATGATATTCTCTGGTTTGAGATCGAGGTGTAGGAAGTTATTCTGGTGCATGTGCTGAACTCCCTCGCACACCTGACGCATGTACATGATGACCTCTCGCTCCGTCAGGTCAAAATCGTCGTCGACGACGCGTTCAAAGAGTTCACCACCTGAAATGCTGTAGAAAGTAGAAAGAGCCGAACTGCATCAAAATTGAAGACAAAACTAGAAAAGACAACAAAGTTTAGACAATAAGGCGTAGAAACTTTTAGAGATTTAGAGAGTGGAGCTTTTACAAAATGTCCCACTCTCCTAAACCGATTCATATTTACAGATTCCAGGGGCAAACTACCTCTTCAATGGTGAAAAATGAAAAATAACAAACATTTAAAGATCATCAGTAAGTAAAACGCGCCTTGCGCTCATGCAGTGCCGTTTTGAGAAGATGGACATTTACAAGACTTACACAAATCAGTACGCGCATGCGTAGTCTCACTCAACCCAAAGGAGTTCACAGTTCTCAACATTTCGGAAAGTGTGGTACCCCTCCAGCCAAGTTGTTTAGCCTTAAAAATTAAAGAGGGTTGCGCACGAAGAGGGTTTCTAAATTAGGGGGGGTGCCATCTGCCAAAGGAGGGTGCTATGAATGATGAATGGATCATGTCAGTATTTGCTCTCCAGTGGAATGAGTCAATGTTTTCAACCAGTGAGTGCTTTTCCCTTTCTCGGGGCATAGAAACAGCTATCAATCAAGACGAGAGTGATCCAACTCTCGATAAAGAACAGGTAGTGGTGCCTGGTGGAAAACTACTATGTGATTCTGAAACTAGTTTTTGAACTTCGCTTTTATTTCAACCTTAGCAAACTTAGCAGTGTCCTGAAGATACCCGCTGACCAACAAACTATTGTTGTTTCCTGACTCCTGAGGATTCGAACTATCTACACTCAATAAAAACAGACTCAGTCTAATTAATGCATGGGGGAGATCGCGCTACTTATACCATGCACTGTTACCAGACAGAATTATTTCCCATCAATCTGACCACGGAAGTCTCTTCCCCAGGATGGGTATTCCAAACAAACACGCGTCAATTTCCTCCATTATTGTACACTCTCGTGAATGTACGATAATCTCGTGGGAAATGGCGATAGCAAGCAATCACACGGGCGTGTTAACATCTACAGTAGCAGGGAGCTTCTGTGCTTTTGTCTGCTTGTGATCTGAGGCAATCCTACCGCAACGGGGCAACGGCATTCAAAAAAACAAACAAACCCAAGCCCCAGAAAACCCGGCAGACGAGGAAGACATGATAAATATCACTCATCCCTCCTTGTCCCTCCCCCAAGCAAGTCAAGGCATGATCATACAAAACCTGTCATTTGCAACTGTCATGGAAACTGATGATAAATTCAAGGTTTCCCCAGCCCGTGTCCAAACCTTTAAAACACTCGGGTAACAGTGCCCGAGAGGAAATGAGACAGCGATTTTGGGGGGCTTCCGTTTCCGGGGGCGGGGACTAAATCCACGAGTGAATACAATCTCTTCCAGTGTGGGCGACGCTGCTGCGTGAATCACTGGTCCCCAAGCCTTCTGATCAAATAATAGGCTTCTTGAAGTAGATTTTGGTCTATGTGAAAGGTTAGACTTGTCCAAGTCATCGACTCTCTTTCCTTTACACCCTCCTTTATTTTAAACCAGGTTCTTTACTTTCCATCCCAAACCTCTCAACTCTCTAGTTTTCTTGTTTTGCGTTCAGTGCTGTTGTGGGTTTGCTCGCTTGATCTTAAAAAATAAATACCACGGCTATGTGTTTGACAAGTCAACTATGCTAAAATCAAAGAGAAAGATCATGAATATGGTCCATGTTTAGGCAATTCAACAATTATGATAAAATAATCGGAACAACCATCACTCGGTTAAACTTACACCCTTGAGGAACTTTTTGTTATTATCTGATTTTTCAAATCAGAGTTGAGAAAGGCTTTGTTATTTGCATTAACATTCAAGTGGCTCGCACCGTCCTTACTGGTTTAAGTGCTTTGCACGATCCGACGATAAGTTTTTGGAGGAAAGTTCTTTTGAAGGAATAAAGTCTATTGAAAGGCCAAACCACAGGGGACTTCCTTGGGATTAAGAAGTCTGTGTTTGGTGTTTTGTCGTCCAGGTGCCACAGGTCTGCGATCGCCCGGGTATTCATCAGAGGTGACCCACCTGTCACCTCTGAGAATTCTTGGAGATAGCAAACAGTAGTCATCACTGAATCTCCACAACTGAGAAGAGTTTTGCCCGTGTCCCTGGCGGCACTTTGCCTACCGAATGGACCGCACATTCACCTCCCTGATAAGTCGACTAGGGAAAAAAAAGGACTAAAATACCCAAACAAGCAGCCCAACCGAAAAATAAAACAAACATCCGAGCTCTTCAAAGTCTTCCCATGCAGTTATTTATTCATTTACGAAGGACAAAACAGTTGTAAAGATAAGTAGCCAAATGGTGTGACGTGATTATGGGTGCCTTGCAAATCAGTGGTGCTGGTCAAGAAAACAACGCCTTAAAAGTGCTTCATTTGGCAGCCCAGTCTTGCAGAAGATGGCTCTGAATTTCACCTTTTAATATGTCTCAACAGTTCAACTTCCCATAACAGCCCTACATAGCTTAAGGATATACATCTATTGGTTTCAATGATGGCGGGAATAAACGGGCTTCCGAGCTTCATGAAAGTCAAAGAAATCTGAAGTTGTTTTGTTCTAAAACCAACGCCACGTGGGGGTAGGCTGCCTCCTTGAACAATTCCACTCAGCTCAGTCAATTCACTCTAAACCAGTTTCAAATTATGAAGCTATGCATTCGCGTTCTATCTTGCGCATTAATAGAAGTTGGATATGACATCTAAATGTAAGAGTTCCTACAAAATGCATAAAATTGACATTATCATAAACACGTAGGCTACTTACTATTCTGTTATCATGACGACCCTGTTAGAAGTTTCGAACGCATCGACACACTGCAGCAATTTGGGATGTTTGAGTAGGTTCATGGTGTTGATCTCGTTTCGCGCCATATCCTTGTCTTTGGACTTGAGAGCTTTGATGTATTTGGCCGCCCATACCTTTCCTGTCGTCTTCTCGATGCATCGGTAAACGGTGCCATAGCGACCCCTGAGAAAAAAAAACCCGCTGAAATCAAATAACTGCCAAAAGGACAAAGAACAGTTGCTTTAAGTTCAAATTTCAGATTTCCCAACATCAACACGACACAGTCAAAGATCACAGTTTCAGTTAGGAAGTGCAATAGCTAATTGTAATTTATTTTTAGCATTTGTGAGCATGGGATTGTGAGGATGTAGGGATCATTCGGGTTAACAACCATACAGCTCCATGGTCCAACGATCATTTTTAGCAATAAAAAACATGTTGTGAGAGTATCTACGAAGGACCACACCGATCTTGCCATTTATACACCTCTTTATTTATTAGCAAGACAACCACTGATTTGGGTCATTGGCCGGGATTTCCAAGCATCTTGACTCCCAGTCAACCAGAGAGAGATTTACTGGAGAACCAATGCACAAAACAATGGAATTAATATGGCCAAAAAGAAACTGCAGGTTTCAACGAAAATCTCTGGAAGCTTCTAGTAATCACCGGCGTTTCCACAAATTCGCGATAAATCGTCACGGAAAGACGAAATGTTAATGTTGGCACACTTGCACGTTGCCTCGGAAAAGTTTCCTTTCCACAATGCCCTAAAAAGTGTTTGCCTTAACAAGTTTTAGCTATAACAGAAGAGAATTGAAACTTCTTCGTCATCAGGTCCATTTATTGCCACGTCATTTTTACCATCGTGCGTTTGTGACCTTTTAAGTCATGACACTAATGATTTCATTTTGGGCGCTAAAGTGTAAAGAAAACTCCTTGGTAGCCCAAGCCAAATCAACCGCTTGAATAAATCATTCTCCGGTTGCCTTGCTAGGCTTGATAAAAGAGTTCATTCTCGTTCAAACAAATTATTGTAGTTGCTTTTAATGAGATGATTAATTGCATGCATTTAGCTTTAACATTTAGAGTGCATAAAACAAGAAAATAAATCAGTTCACTAAAAGGCAACTTTTGCTTGTTAGCCTTTCGAACGGAACAAAATAAATGTACTCTGGTCAGGAAAGGTGGTGGCCGGCCACATTTTACAGTCCCGGTTTATCCCCAACAATATCAGTAAACCTACACTCTACTGAATTCCTTCACCATTTAGTGTCTTTTAGTATCTTTTTTCCAGTTGTTGCCGGAAGTTCCTCACGGACGACTAAGGGCGATGAGAACGGTACAAAAAGTGTCCTTCCAACTTACAAAAGGGGTGGTCATTCTTCGATTCCGAAGAATTCTTCTAAATTGATCTCTTGTGCTTTCACTAAATCGGCACACCTTGTTTGGTGACATGAAGAACATCACGGCTCAACAGAGCGCGTAACAGGGTCTGAAGTTGGAAAGATTTTACATCAGACTACCTTGAGTCAGTTTCTACTAGTGTCCAGGCAGAACAAAACATGTTTTCTGTTGCGTCTGATTTGAAGTTTTCTATATGCTCAATCAAAACATTCCTAAACTCTAATTGATCGGTTGTACAATTCTTTCCGCTGAGTGGGCGTATCAAGGAAAGACACGTGCTGATCTCCCTTAAGATTCTGACGTTAAGCAACATTGTGACCATTTCAAAAGATTTTTTTCAAGGGATTTAGATCAACTCGTTGAATGTTGTCGGCCAGTATCTAATGAAGGATTATGAACTAATCTGAACCAAGAAAAATGAGCGACGACCAGCAGCCATTTATATTACACCACAAAGGAATACGCCCCACTGAACTCTACTTAAGGCAATAATAAGTGACTCGGCATTTCTCTTTCAAATAACTTAGAGCTAACAGTTAGTCTTCTTTGATTAAGACTCTACTATATCGCCACCTATGGCGAAGACCAGAAATCCCCTTTGTGCCAATTTTAAACCTTCACACATTGAGTGTTCATATCTAACCAGCGCCCAACCGCTCGTGACAGAAATTCAACGAGTTCTTTTAAAAAAACACAGTCTGTCGGCGCGAGTCTGGTATTGACTTTTTGTGTCCATCAAAAGCAAAACTCGCCCCAGGTCATAGACTCGTAAAAAACCTGAATACATGTACCTACCTGGGACAACTTGAATAAAGGTTAGAAGCAGTTCAAGACAAGGTGTTAAAGGAAAGTCTTCCAGTCAATTAAATGCAGCACACATGAACGTATGCAACCATTTCGTGAAGTATAAGTAGACAGTCGGTGGACACATATGACAGTTACAGGAGCATTTTGGCCCAAGATGTAGAAACAACATGTACTTTTAAAACGCCCGTTTTGCAGTCTCGATTTTCCACACCTGTCCCTCGAAAAAACCTCATGAGATCAACCCTTGATCTGGTTATCATCAGTCAGAGTAACACACGTCTCTGTTCTCTTATAAGCCTCTTGCGCATGGTCGAATCACGTAAGCTAAGGTCCTTGTCAAGGGAAAATGACAAAGCACAAACGACAGGCAAAGGGCAATTTTACGCGACATTTATTCTGGGAAATTCGGAATTTAACACAATACTTATTAACCAGCACAATCTGATTGATTAATATTCAACAATGCACCCATCTTTAAATAGCAAGTAAAGGAAATGGAGGAAGAAAGAACCACTCTCTCGCACGTCACTGATACCCACTACAAGCTGAAGAGAATTTGTGAGGAGGAAGGCACAAAAAAGCTGGAGCAATAAAAAGGTTCAGAAAGGCCCACCAACAAAATGTTGGTAGTCTTTTTAGTCACCTTGAAAGGGTTCTTTTGAATTTGTGTAAGGCAGTGGGTGTAATCATGGTGCAACAGAGACCGTTGTGGATCCCCTGCATGAATATCAAGGACAATCTAGCATAAACTCTGTTATTATTAAGACCCCTTAGCTGCGCCGTACAGTATCAAGAGGCCTCTTTTTTAAACAAGAACTAGAACATATAACTGACTCCTATATTGTTGCCACCGCGTGGCAAGTGGGTTCGGTTTGCACGGATGAAACGCCCATTGTCTTGGAAGTAAAAACTTCATCAGAATGTGCTTCTTCTGTTCAGAAAACTTAACCACAAGACTGAGCTCAAGTCAAGGGGTGTCTAATATGTTTGCGGGGAACGGCGTATTAATGATCAAGTTTAAATTTGGTCATGGCTCGTATTTCTTTTTAGACAGTAAAGTTATCGTCTTAAAAGGTGCCTATTAACTCGTTCAGTAACTTAGATTTCAAACTAAGAGAGATGGTTGATGAAAATAAAGTCGTTAAAGGTGAACCTCGAATCTCAAAAGCATCTGCAAAACTTCATGTAGCCGGTTTTTTGAACGCGAACCTGTCGCGTCTGGTGAATTAGTCAGAGTTTATTACATTCCATCAATTCTCAAATCTGTCAATTGGAAATTAATGACCAAAATATGTACAAGACGCATCTCCATTACTTGCATTATACTTATCAATGACCCTATCAATTGTTACATTCCTCTAGTGGTAGTCTATTTGTTTTCTTCACCCCGTTGACCTTGTGTTTTTAAATTCAATGCACCCCTTGACTGGTCTGTATGAGCAGAAATCCTGAATGTAAACAAACAGGTATCAAGGTAGAGTCTAAATATGGACAACGTAGACAGGCATGTACAACAAAATGGTACGACGGACTCGCATTATCACGCGTGTGGTATGCGAGATGATGTATTAATGATACTTTGTTGTGTCAGCAGAGAAATCCAAATATTCGAATTTTCTGTCAACATCTTTGTATTCTTGAATGATAGGTGTATTTATTTTGACAGAGGGAGCGGGGTCTTCGATAATAGGAGGAGATGTGCGTGTATGGCATGTTTGAAGATGGTTTGGCAGAACAGACCGCGGATTACAATACAAAGTACAATATCGTTTTAGCCACTCTGATAGAGCAAACGTGAAGGACGTTTTTTTCTCAGACTTTACAACTTACAAGGGGCCATTTTTTGTCATCTTTGATTGATATCGGCGATGGGAAACCAATGAGATATTACTTAAAAGCCTTCTACAGACGAAAGGTAACATATTTACACACAAATGTCTCCCCAGTCTTCTTGGCATGAGGGGAATTAAAAGTAAATTTTCCCCCGAAAGATATCATGCAGCCGCATCTTTTTCCCTGATATATAAAATACATGACCGCAGCACGAAGAACACTAAGGACATGAGAAATACTCTATCAAAAAAACAAGTGAAACTCATGTGCAAAATTTAGAAAAGCGGCAACTCGATCGTTTTCTGCCTTGTAAAACTGAAGAAAAATAAGTCACAGACGGACATCAAAATAGGTGTTTGGTATACAGTCAAACGATAGATACGCCAGGACTACTGGGGACAGGAGAATCTATAAATACACCAGGTTTGATAACTTACTTTCCAAGTTGCTCCTTGATGTCGTAGAAGTCTTCAACTTTTTCCTTCTTCCTGATGGTCGCAATTTTTGGCTCAAATGGTTCACCGTCTGCAAAGGGGGCCAAAGAAACTTGTTTATGCATATTTCCCACAGTTCCTGCAAAGTCTTGAAAAGGGAACAACAAGCACTTCTGAGATCGGAGGTGCACGAGGGATGCGTCCTCCTCATCTACGACTGCCAACCCATTCGATTCAGCGAACAATTTTTGATGTTCAACGGCTTCCTATTGAACCACGTGTATTCCCTAGCCACCTCATCTGTCAGAGATTCAAGCTCAACTTGGTCGAAAGTACATCCAACGAGTGCCCACTGACCAGCAACTGCCCAGCTTGGTGCAAGGTGTCTCCTTTCACTGGTTGTCTATCGATCTGTCTGCATTGTCAAAACCTATGACATGCTCAGTCAATCATGGGCAGTTTACAAGAGAACCAGTGAGGCAAATCACCAAATCTTATAGGCGATTAGTAAGAGCTGTTTCTCAACCTAAGAATGAGAGCGGTTAACGGGAATAAGTGGCAGGAATTCAGCCGGATTACAAATACAATTGTCTCAAATAAAATCACGTCATCTCTCCATTCTCGTTAAAAGGAAACATCCGTCAAATTCACACACAATTATTTGAAGTTGACAGATCCAGTTATAATACCCGATTAAATACATGTATTGTTGCTATGACGACAGTACGAAAAGAACAGGGTAGAAGTTGGTACTCGACAAATGTCCCTTTCAATCATGGCCGGTGGGGGGGGGGGGCTTAAAATCGAGCATTATGATCTTGAATACGCCAGGCTAAACAAGCTCGGGTAAATGTGAGAATGCCAGCTGACGTCAGCTGAAGACGTCACTAGTGCTTATGCGGGCACATACTGTATACCCTAGTCTTTAACTTTCCCATTTGATGAAAACAAGTCAATGACGCCACGCTTGCCTGAAATATTATTATGCTCCTGTATGTTAGTGTCACTATCACCAGATGGAGGTTACTGACCGAAATCGTGAGGATGGCACAACCGTCTTTGATGGGTGGAGGTTTTATGCTGGCAGCAGGTTGAATAAATCTTCCCCAGTACTGTGTCTAAGAAGAGGGACAAATGAGTCATTCTGTCCTGTGTCTAGCATTAAGCTAAATACACAACTCAGTGTCACGCTGCGCTTGTAGACTGTATAGTGGTTTGCATGACTAGTTCCGGCAGGTAATGATATTGAGGCCACCATGCTTTATTAAAGATAAAACGCTGATGCCACTAAGTATGTGGAAAGGTTGGAACAACGACGGTATAAGGTCTCGATCTAAAACAATAGGTTCAATTTCTGACAGAAGAAGTGGTTTATACGCGTAAAAAGGCCACTGTGTTAAAATAACACGTCCACTTTTCGGTTCGAAGTGTTATTTTGGTATACCCTATACAGATCGACCGCGATATTTTCAGCAAAGTTCATGACAGCGAGGGTAACATTACCCCACGGCTGGACCGGACACAGAGGGGGAGGCTAGGGTTACTAGCTTGGCTTTGTCCGCTCCTGATTGACGGAACCGTGGTATGTATGGGGTCCTACTCAAATGCTATGGCGTGACACAACAAAGTCTTAACAAAAAGGCTCCTTCTGCTTGGTATTCAAAGTATAACTTGATGGGGTGTCAAAGGCGAAACATGCAATATTGTCCCCAAGGTCAAAAGTGCGCAAGTGTAGATTGGGTTTGAAGTTGGGACGGGATTTTGGAAAGTTATGTCGATAGATCCAGGTCACAAGTTTGAAAACGTATTCAGGTTTTAACAAACCATTAACATTCCTATTTCTACACCACTGTATAAAATTCTTCGAAGGAAATGACATGAATATACGGGCAAACAAAGCGTGGGAATCGTTCTGACAGGTATTCCCAATTCCGACCTTTATGTACCGGGCTCAAAAACATTCATGCCACGACTCCTTTGTCAACTGAGTCAATATCAACTCCATGTATTTCAGACACGGGTGGGAAGCCAAACAATTTATGCACATTGTGAGTATAAAGGTGGCATTCCGAAGTCCATAATGCAGGCCCCCTAAAGGTAGATGACAGCCAAACCGACGGACTCAACAACCAAATTTACTCTGGTCCTGGTAACTCTGAAGTACCCGTTGGTGGGTTGTTGCTTGGTGCTCCCAGATCCGATACGCTAGACTTTCCCAGCTGATCATTTCATTCTCTGAGCATTTCTGGGAGATTTCTTTTTGTTGCTATGTGGGATACTAGTTCGTGCTCGTGCGTGATCCATCGAACTTAGCTGCTCGATAGGGGGCCTACGTAGCTTAAGGGTGTCAACCTCACACGCCGCATTATGCCTCAAAACTATGCCATTTTGTTATACTACGGCCGTATAATTAAAGAGCAATGCAAGAAAAGCTCGCAGAATGATAACATTGTCCAAAAACATATTTCGCCGTTTGAACCAATTTTTTCAACGTAAAAGGCTTGCTCGGTCAGAGTAAATTTAAGACCGTGTCCCGTGCTTTTAATGAATTCTAAAGTCTAAGAAATTCAGGCTTACTTGTTCGAATTAAATCCATTTAATCCCGAGCAAATCCCAATCTGTGCATGGTCTCTAATTAGGAATAAGATCCGATATGAACCGCGTTGTGGAGACAGCCCTACATTGTTGGGGGTCTTAAATTTAAGGGGTTGATGCTTTCCAGTAGGGATTAAAGGAACGTTTTGAAGGACCCGATGAAGTCTACTGAAAGACCTGAGGAAATGTTTCAGACCATGTAGAAATGGCCGAATGTAGATTGAAAGGCAATGTGCCGCCCACATGGTGAACACCACTGCGCACATCTACACGGATCACGAACTCCGTTAGAATTTTCGTTGGACACACCTATACGATCAGATCAAATGATTTTTCCGTTGTTAGTTTCATTTCTGTTTATTGGGAATTTTGCTAACTCTCGATAAAAGATCATGTTTCCTGACACAAATGCATTATCTAATATTTCCGAGGTAAATGAAATTAGGCCTACATGTACCTGCATTTCTTTCTGAGCGATGAGACTAGGTTGTCCCAAAAGAGAGTGTATTCGGCATGGTTTAAAACAAGGCGTCAAAATCAAAAGCGTATAAACAGTCTGTGGGAATTTAAATAAACTGTCTGCAGCGTGCAAAATGTGTCCAGGCAGGGCATGACGCCATAACACATTTCAAATCTCAAAAACCTGAAGTTAATACAACTTTGACACACAGCACATTCTGCTCTAAATTAAACAACGGGGTGAATGATAAGCGAAGTATAACTTACTGGTCGCCGAATGTAACCACACGAGCCAAAACGGAGGTTAATTAAACACTGGTTAGATTAACCGCAAAAGTTTGGCTGTGGAACATGTGTCCTGTCCTTACATGTGTCCAGCGTGTACCAACTCCACTCAATTCACTCGACTTGGCGTCTGCGCAAATCCTCTCTATCTCTACAATGCAACTTCACAAAAATGACACAACACAAAAACAAACGACCGCAACATTCGACAGTTTTACAGATTGACAGATTTGTACTTGTTTAGCATGTCGGCCGGAATATTATCACTTGCTCACGATTCTGGAAATCGAACAGGGAATAGAATGTAATTGAATAAAAATCAAAACACTGGAACTTTTTAAAGCTCGTTTATAGGTCACAGGATATTTAAAACATCTTGAAAGATTATCACAGACCCCGGTGCTGATCTGAATTGCAGAATAGCGCCTGTACACATCTAATAAAACCAGCAGAGCTTTGGTTGCCTTTACGTAGTGACTGAGTATACTTTAAATCCAGCTAAATCTTTTCGCTTTTTAAGGAGGAAAAGAGACCAAAGCAACACTAAAGTGTTGAAAAATTGGTTGTTAAAGTCATGGAGACATATAAACAAGGACGTAAATCAAATCTATACATAAAATCGTACGAATGGCGAAAAAAGAATCAACTTGTTGCAGAGCTAAATTTGGCACTTCTGGGGTCAGAAATGTCACAGCAGCGGTATGGGCCCACTGTAACCTTCACTATACAAAGGCATCTGAAACAGTGTTGTTTTTCTATGACCTCATAATTGTACCGACACCCTTTGTGACAGATCGCGAAATAGGCAGGGAAAGGCCGACACTGTAAAAGAAGAAGAAGAAGGGAAAAGAAAAAAGAAGAAAAAACCGGCACGGTGCGCTGAATTACGAGCAGGCGGGCAATATGTCGAACCCGTGTCACCGAATCATATAAGAAATAGGAACACACTATGTACACCCAATCTCCTCCATGCCACTGCCCCCTGTGATGGGACTGATGACGTTTGTAAATCTGAGGAGAGGAAACGGCATTGAGCCGAATGATTCCAAAACAAATGAAATTTCACAAATCTATTACGATGGTACAACAGCACTGTATACATTTGGGTCTTGACGTAAAAGTTTACGATAATTCACTTAGTCCAAGGTCCAAAAAAGTTCTACAGTTTTATAATCATACCCTCTTTCTATCAAACATAAAACTTGATTCTGCATTGATAATTCAGGTATACTGTGTGGGGTAAAGAGAGACGACGCGCTGCTTTTTCAAGCATTCACGACAAAGAGTTCGGCGTCACGTAATGACAGCATACCTGAGCGGGAAGCTGAGAAGAATGTCTTTTGTGAGAAGTCATTCGACATACAAATATGATCGCTCCCAATAATAAACCATAACCTATGGAAAACGCATGAAAAATGCACAGTAAATGTGTGACAGCCCCGGGCCAAAGACATTTTGGCGATGTGGAATTCTTCATAAATGCACTGGAATGTACAGCAGTGAATTTCAAACCTTTACAACATCAATGATAAATTTGGAAGGAGAAACATTTTGGCACCCAGTAATAGTACCCTTGCAATAGAAATTCAATTCGCGAAACTCGCTGTCAAGCAGTAGGAGTCCAGGAACGTGACATGTGAAAAGACGCCGAACTGACTTTTGCACCCGAAATAAAAACATAGATATAGGGAAAAAACACCAAGGCGATAACAACAACAACAACAGGCCAAATAACATGGTGAAGGTGGAGTGTGAAATATACGGAGAATCAACATGAAGAGCCCAATGTCCCCTTCAACGACGCCAGACAACCCCTTTCAACAAACCACCTGCTAGTCGATTTAATAGTATATTTGAACTTTTCGATAAGTATGTTTGCGGAACCTATATTATGGCGGGGCTTGTGTTGATAGCGCAAGTCAGGAGTTATACAGAATTTTTAATACACGTATAGAGACTATTGCTGACCAAATGCCTTCTAAACTATCATCTACAAAATTAAACATTTACGGAGTATAAGAGCAAGCAAACAGTAATATTTTAGAAAATAGCCTTTGCCACAGTCGTTCGTCCTTATAAAAAGAATCACATTCCCTGTCAGTTGTAAAACTGAAACAAAGAACTAGATACCATAATTAAGAAGACCTACATCTCTACATTGATAGTGATAAATAAAGTTAACATCGCATACGATCAAACACTTCAATGTGCTAATTTTAGTTCAGAGATAATTGATATTGAAACACAGCACAACAAAAACACATAGCGGAAGCTTTCTGACAGTCTGGTCTACGATTACACCTAGGCTAATTCATGTGGAGAAGTGGTGAGCTGGTCTGTGAAAACAAACACAACTCGTCTAACCTCAGCCACACTGCCCACTCCGTCCGCCAACTTGGTGACAAAGCGGGGAATTGGAAGGACAATGCCGATTTATCTCCAACATTCTCTTATGCCAAAAATATATAACCAGCAAACGTATTTTTGATGGGCTGGAAACCTGTCAAGTAAACTGTCAACAACTGTTTGAAATAATACCAGGTTTAATTAATTTCTTGATGTCCATTTTGTTTTGGTTTTTGTGATTTTATTAAGTTGATATCAGTAAATTTTTAACCCTAACCCCTAGGGTGTATGTAAAAATCATTAGGAAATCAGAGGATTTGTGACTGTTAAGGATTATCCATTACACATGACAAAATCGCTCATTTCAAGTTATGAATAATAAAATTCTGACTCATTAACAACCAGAAAATTGTTTTTAAGGTTTTAGTTTCATATATACCTTCTTCCTCCTCTGTGTCGTCGTAATCGTCCCAGTCACTAGCACTGTCCATAATATCCATGTTGCCCCTACGTCTCGTTGTGCAATCCACCGACGAATGGTAATGGTATTTCCATCCAAGTCATCACGGCCACACCAATTCTTTAATTAAACAACCCGAAACAAAACTCCACGACCTCGAGAGAAACACATTGACCTTGATTCAAAGGAATTCCAGTAATAAACATCAAACCGCAGCACTATAGATAAATTCGACATTGAAAAAAAAATCAGTATTTACATATTCTACAATCTGGTGACAGACAGTCCCTGCTCACGAAGAGCGTACAGCACATGTTCATGTACATGTACATGTACTGTACATGTATATACCGTTGACCATACAATCCACAATCCGCCAGTACGTATGGTGAGAATCTGTGCGCTTTCAAATTTCGCAGGAGTGACTTCACGTGGTATTTCCAACACACATCAGTGACGAGGCCTTGGTTATTGACAAGCACAGTCCGTGGGTTGACGGTATAAACCATCACATCGGAAGCAGCCTTGCTGATCACTGTGTGAAATGCTAGGGCCTACTGGGATTCCATGACGAATTTATTAACAAACTCACTAAAGTAAAACACGGCCAGAACACGGAAGACTATTTTATAAATGAAATCCACTCTATAGTCTATTGACCGATGTCATATACAGACTCACTCAATTCATGGAGCTGTAAGATTGAAAGGACCGAATAATGGAATTTGCCACAATCAGTCTACATGTATGCCCATGACACACCGCCATGAAGCGTGACGACAAAGACCAAAACTTGAATGGGGACATTCGTCAAAGTTTAACTTAGGGTCAAACCGCGCACAAGACGAGTAACCCTTCTGGCATTCAATATCAAGCTAAACGGAGTGAGATTTTTTTTTAAAGTAAACAACAACAAACCGGATTCAGATCAACGATGAATCCACCCTCGAAAGGAATGTATTGTTCTTTGTTTTTCTTTCCAATGATCTATTTTTATATACATTGGGACAGTCCATTTTTCAACACAGGTAAGAGAATGTATATGCGTTCCACAACCAATTTCCCAAAGCTTGTTGAAAGAGAAATTGGTTAACCGTAATGATACTTTGCAGCCAGCAATCCTTAACCGCAAACACTTGATCTTAAAATGATGTTCTGCTTAAGTACCGTGCAATGAATCATGTACAGAGAAATGTGAAGTTAACCAGAAAACTGCCAACGTAACATTTCCAAACATTTATTGAACATAAATCGCGACTGCAAATATGCGCTCAAGGAGATCCGACAGAGATTGTATTCTCACCAAAACAGTGACGAGACATTTTCAATATCTTGTCCTGTACCATTAATAACAAGTCATGAATGATCTTTCTTCCATTTTGCCGCAAACCACCTATTGAAAGTACATGTATGCGTGGGAAATACAAGGAGTCAACCCATGGCCCAGCGAGTTCTCGCTGAGAGAGGGCGGCAGATTACCTCGGCGCAGCGATGAAATTACTTTTGTAGGCCCTGCTGGCTTCAAACGGTATAGACCTATGGAACATGTACGTTTGTGAAATTTCAACCCCGTACGCCATGATCACGGTGATGTGGCTACATTATTTGGTCGATAATTTTGACTATTCCATCAATTTCCCATTCACGGAGCGTTCACGCAAACGACCTTTAGGAGTCCGAGCAGACAAATACATAAATCAGTTCGACTTGAAAAGTGTACAGTCCTTGACGATATCATATACCACGTTAACATATCAACGATTCTTTTTAGAACATTCTTAACATTACTGCGACCGAATTGAGCTTCGGAAACCATATGGGAATTTTCCTGAATTTCATTTTTTTGCATTTGGAACGTGAACCATAAACAAAACTGAAGCAGATAAACATTGACATTCTTCTCATGCATGTGCGTCCAAAAGTAACTCAACTATTAGTATGATTGAAATCATGTTGATTGATGACTCGCATACCAATATTCGACTTCTCTGACCTCCGACCTTCTTACCTAATTAAAATGACAAAGGTTGAGTAGCTTAAAGATGGCCATGGGCTCTGAGTTTTCATCTGAGCATCGGCTGATAGTAACGGTTACTAGACGTTTATTTCTGTAAGGCCATTAACGAAAACATTACGCATGCACTTGTGATAATGCACGGTTTCTTTTGGAATACCGAATATCTTTCAACAGAGCTAGGGCCGTTTTCCAATACTCAATTTCGTCTCCGTGTCAGGCTTCGTGTAGGAAACCAATCCTCAATTGTGTGCCTGAAGCGTTTAACTTTAATTGAAACACTGTAATGTTTTGCTCTTTTGCATCTTACTTGATGATTTGTGGCAGTATCAGACTTACTATTGCGCTTATAACCTCAAAGTCAGGAAGTTAAAAAAAAGAAAACGGCCTAAAATTAAAGTAGCAAGTACTGAAATGACTACCCTAAAAGGAAGCTTTTGCGCCGATCACAAAATGAAAAGGACTCTTTGGCCATGATTATGCTGTAAACTTGCCCTACAGGTCTATTCATCAAATATTGTTGTAGGCCTTGTTTCACAGTTGAACGGTAGTTCATTCATCTGTCTCTTGGCCCTCGGTCACTTTTTGTATCCTTTGCTTTACATTATACGTCCACGTGCTTATTGCTGAATACGGGCGATTCACAACAGTGCGCCTCCAAGAGTTAACAACGTGTTTCCAAATCACAATGCGAGAAATCTGTCGACCCTTTCCAAACGCGCATTAGGTCGACAGATTTTGTGAATCGCCCGTATTGTTCGTCTCTCTCCACATTGCATCGTCCTCGCCAAACACGTTTTGGCCCGCTAAACGGGCTCCAATTTGGGACGTTACGATTTTTACTTCATATTACCTTCTAACATGCCGAGGAGATGCCGTTATTTCCGCGGCACCACACTCACGTGCACGGCACGTGCATTTCATTCTCGCCTTGAGACGCGCCCGTTTGGTACGTTGTAGACATTCTATTGGTCGAAGAGACATTTCACGCGCGTGCACGACGCGCGCGCGTTAAGCACTTTACCTGTGGTCGGTCACTGGAAAGGACATTCACGAGTCAATTTTCAACCCAAGCTTCTTATACCAAACCGTCTTTCCTCTAGAAACGAATATTAAAAGCCTTTCAAAAGATGAGCAGAATTTTTTAACTGATCAGAGCAGAGCAGGGCCTTCAGTAAACAAGAAGAACACGTCACAATCCATTACATTAGGCATCAAGCCAATCAATGAAGGTTAAAATTTAACACTTACCATCAAAATTTTGTTCCTGTTCCATTTTTCGGTCACTTATTGCCTATACTAATCCTTGCACGCGTGATGCTGAGATAGTTCACAGCTTTAAGTCAGTGTCTATATATCTCGATACCGCCGCTGTACTTCGAGCGGCAAGCATCGAGTAAATGGCAATTATACTGCTTTTTTAACGGAAACTGCCGGGAAGCAGGAAACAAGTCGATGCACAAACCACGCGTAGGCCTACTCGATCGAGGACATCAATGATGCACTTAGCACACACACACACACATGTCACTCACTGCCCCAATTTCACGTTATTAACCGTAAAACAAACTAACAAAGAGCAGTGATGTGAAACAGGAACGCGACATTGTAATTACACACTCCTATTTCATTTTGCACGAACCATGATTGTGGGCACAGAATGGAACTACCCACGGCTAACTGATGGCATGATTTGCTGAAGGTCTCCTCACTGCCTTGAACTATATAATATGCAAACGATTGGGTCAACTGCAAATATCTGTCTTGTAATTTCACATGGGAAGGGTGGCCTACATACAGGAACAAACAGCAGACGTTTAATCCTATAGATTCAGTTGCTCCAGGAAGCATTTAAGACTGAGATGATTCAAAATCATGTTCGTCGGTTTCTGTGATGATTACTTTCGTTTTCTGTCTCAAAATTAGAAGCAGTCATAAAAGCCGGATTGTACCGACGTAAATTACACCAAAAAAAAATAAAGTTTAAGGAAGTGCAACCTCCTGTTCTCCGACGAAATTCGTGCAATGCATTTTTAGAACGTTTCTTTTTGATTTCATTTTCGTTACTTTTGAACAAAGTTTCGATTTTTAAATTATTATTAATGACATTACAACGCACACATCGACCTATTGTTTCTTGAACTCAGTGATGGTATTGAAGCAAAGACAACAATGAACAGTCGACAATGCCGACTGTCAATATCACAGTAAAAACCTTCAGGAGCAACTCAGAACAAACACACAGATTAAAAATACTTAATTTTTCAAGAGCATTGCACGTTTAATAACGAAGTGCACTAGAGGGGTATACGGCAGTTCTATGAAATAAGAAGATACTATAAATAAACTTTAAATAAATAAATAGATAAAATCTATGTGCAATGCTTTAACAAAACAATAGTGAAACATTAAATAGACCCTGATTCAAAAACGTGCTTTTGAAATAAATAAGTACTGGTCTATCTAAAAAACAACTGCATTATCAAATAAAAATTCGATAATCCTTTTTTGTTACGGGCAGTACTTTCAGTGCATTGATTCGTTTTTGGTTACTTTGATAATTCCATTTCAATCTTAAAGTCGTGAATCTGGGCTCATTAAATAGGCACGAATACATCTAAGAAAGTACTCGACGAACAGAATGCAAGTGCAAGTGCGGAAACCAACAAATCAGGGTCTTCATTCATTAACGGTTAAATATTCAAGAACTGATCAGAATAAAGGGTTATAAGTTCAATTCAAGGATTTCTGATATTAATTTAAAGTTGATGAGGAGGTTTTTCAATTTTCTAGTCGAAAAAATGTCGATGAATAGGTTTCGCAGGAGTGATCCTGACTTCTACCCAACGTGAACGCTGTGCGATAAAAATAATTTTATCTAGATTTCAAACAGTGTCTGGATACATTGTTAGCTGCTGTTTTTTTTTTTGTTAGATCAAAGGACACTCACGAGTGATGACATTTTGAATTCCTTGTCTGACTGGATCATATTTTTGGTTGTCTTTTTCCATTCCTGTCAGAGGATGAACAGGATTTTGAAAAAAAGTACGACTAAAGATTATGGAAGTTCAATATAATATTGCCCCTGGTCAGTTTTAGAATATTACTTTTCTTTCAATAAATAGAACTATTACTTGGGAGAAACACGAAGCTGAGGGATGCAAGGAAAGATCTGACCACCATTACCATTCAAGATGTTAACGCCCACAAGATTCACCCAGATGACGTTCAATGATACAGAGAATCACAAGATTACCACCACGAAATCAGGTGATTCAATCTAGACTTAAACGTCCTGTGACCATGTGGAGGCCAGACCAAGAATATTATAATTATTATTTTTTTCAAATCACTGCAGTACACATACGTTTAACCAAACTAAGCGAGTAAATATCATTACCAAGGAGATAATGAAGATTTAATTAACAAAACAGAGAGGAAAGCCTTCACTGCTGCCTTTTCTGGGAGATTTCTGAAAGGAACAAGTGATCAAAAACTGACGTCTGCAAATAGACGATGAAAGTGAGAAAGATAAAACAGAATTTCAAAAAAACAAAAGCAGGAAAGGAAATAAAATGGTGTTTTAATCCGGTCAGAGAGCTTTCCCCAAAAGAATCCAAATAAAAAGTGAACGTGAAGTTTGTTCGGGGAGGGCTGAGGATTTTTTAGGACATGCACCACCACACTGCTGTCCAATTTCCTTCAAAGCCTTCCCCAGATCATGCAGCCCAACCTCTGCATGAATTGTGTTCAATCAAGTGTGTTTTTTTCTCTTTCGTGAATGTTTATTTGATTTTGACGTCTTCCGAGTTTGTCCTCGTGCATCAAAATCTGTTAAAAAGGCACTGATACAAAAAGTCATCTCTTTTTATAGTCGGTGACAGCGGAATGTTTCAGTGAAGCACAGCTTCCTTTTCGACACTGTCATCCATTGGAGGATAGAGGGCGCCCTCCTCCTCTCCTCCTGAAGTACTATTACAATCAAGCCCTTCCAGTTCCCTTAAGAACGAGAGCCAGTTTATTGGGAGGACTTCACACATTTCTGTGGAGATCCTTGGTCATTGTAAAAATGCCTGCGTTACTCTCACAGACGTCGGGAAAAAGTCGAGTCGTGGGAACGCGGCATATCAACGTCATCCATTTTACAAAAAACGTTCCGCAGTAAACAAAATTTTACAGACGCAAAATTTCACAAGTGACTGTTCAAGAACAATCACTTTTTTTACATCCAGGTTACTGCCGGGAACATATTCAAACAAGTTTCACATTGGTTTACAATATAAACTTTCACCGTCAGTTCAGGTTCAAAAAAATTATTTACATCTTGTTTCATGTTTTGGAATAAGAAACATATAGTTTTCCTATAGTACACTGTCAAGTTTAAAAATCGTTGTGCTTACTGCACGATTTCACCTGATTATTTCTTATAAAAGATCACTTTTGCTACAAATCCATTCAAAGGTCTAAATCTAAATACATTGTATAACCATAACTGAGCATGAACATTTCAACAAGACATACAGTTAAACAAAAAATAAAAAGTGAAACCACATACATGAATAAGTTAAGTCCGATCGGGAAGACGGTCTGGAGCCAAATCTTGGCAAGATAAGAGGCTGATTGAGTTCAGGAGGCTGGTGATTGAAATACAGGAGCTTTTAAAGAGTTATAAAAATCATGAAAGTGTTTGTCACAGAGAATGTTGCATTGATTATTTACCTATTCCAACATAATAACTACGCATTCTCACTTGTCTATCCAAGCAAGAGTTCAAATGTTGAACCAATGAGTGAAACCGTCTTTTACTTAGTGGTGCAACTTGGTTTGAACCGGTCTGTCAGAAGTCACCAGCCTTGACTGTTTTGTCCATTTCCGCCTGATCTACTTGCCAAACATCTGTGCTCTTGCCATGACACTGCTCCCTCGGCTGGGACCTGTGGGGCCCTTCTTGCCACCTGGCCCACTACCGGATGATGAGCTGTCTTGCTGAAACTTGTTCAAGAAGGGGAGCTTCTTTGAAGCTGAAAAAAAATAAACACTTTTTTTTCAATTGAGAGTTCCAAATTTGATTACTTCAGACTTTTACCTCCAATGAACACTGGGTGTAAAAAGACATCTATTTTGTATGATAAGATGACAATATTCCTTTGAGGCTGACCAAAACTAATGAGAAAAGTTTTAATATTACAAAAAGACCCTAAATGTAAAGTCAATTTCCACAAAAGAACTACTTTATCATGTTCATACGCTACACAGCATTCTCAATTCCCTGATTAATGAACTTCATCATGTGTAATGTCTAACACTGAGATCTAGGGCAGGTTCATCTACTCACATTTCACGCTGAGCTTGGCTATGCATGAAGCACCGCCATTGGCATTCTGTGCATTGCATTCATAGTCGCCACTATCCTCAATTTGTGCTCTGGGGATGACAAGTGAGCAGACTCCGTCTGCTCCTTGGGATAGCTTGTGACGAATGCCTTCCTTCAAGGGTTTCCCATTCTTGAACCTTAGGGGATACAGAAAGTATGCTTCTGGAGTGACTTGGAATTTCTCTTAAAGAAATAACACGTTGCTTTGGAAACCAATATGCAAAGAGTTATCATTTACTCAAAGGTTATGCACTTGTTTGTACACGGTCAAGTTTATTAAAAAATTAATTTCGAAAAAAAAAGAACTTTAAGGCATGGATCTAGACAGAAAATATGGGCTTTTGGGAATATGGCCCTTTCATTAAAAATCTGTTTAAATTTGTCTGAAAAGGCTAAAGGAATGCCACAGAATAAACAGGTAGCTTCCCACAAAAGAGAAATACCGCTCCCATTGGAACTAAAATTGGGATTCAACCAGAAAGATTGCATCCTTCAGACTTTCAACATGAAATGGAAGAATCTATTATTCTTACCATTTGGTTTCAGGAATGGGCGTCCCTTTGACAGTGCATTCAAATCTAGCCTCGCTATTGGCTTGTGCTTCACAGTCCTGGATTTTCTTGTCAAAAGAGGGCGCTTGTTGGCTGATTGATTCAGCTGCAGGGGATGGTGTGATGTCAGCTGGTGGGGCAGGTTCTGAATGTTGGATGGAAAAGGAAATATGAAGCTTGTTACTACCACAGAATTCTTGTATTTAAAACGGCTGAATCACATACCGATGTCCGCTGTTGTTTTTTCCTTTCATATTCCAAAAACGTCAAGATTTCCGTCACTATTAACAGTGATGCAGCAGAGTCCATCACAAGTACTTTCATGTGTTTAGTCAGGAGTCCTTTGTTAACACCAATCACAAGTAATATTGAACAATGTGAATGGATATGATTTGACATACAACTTGATGGCTTTAGACTTACAGGGGCTTATGACATAATCGACTGTAATACTGATTTTTATAAGACAACGATCCTTTTGGCTCATGAACGTTAGAATGATGTGACTGATATCAACGAGTTCCTTACCATGCACCACCAACATGGCTGATGTCACTGCCTCCCCTGCCTCATTGTTGGCATGGCAACTATATTTCCCAGCATCCTCGGTGTATGCCTCTGCTATGGTCAGGATGCACATGTCATCCTCCTCGCTCATCTGGAAGTACTTGGAGGATTTGATTGGTCGGCCTTCAAAGAACCAGGTGATGTCAGGCAGGGGTTTGCCCGTGACTCGACACTGGAAGTTTGTCCCACTTTCCTCAACAACCACCTGCATTAAAATCACCATATTAAAAACACTTCCATGAAGCTCTTGGACCAACACTTGAGTATACAGTGTTTTATATATATAAGGTGGTGTGAAGGCAAAACCTGTTATTAAAAATTAACCTTCCACATTTTTGCCAGTAATGAAATAATGTGAATAGAAAGGTAATTTTCAAATGAAATTAATTTAGGTGTGGTGCAGTGTAAGTGTTTCAAGTAAATTGCCAGAAGTCATTCACAAGTCATGCTGCAAATGTGTTCTTGAAAAACATTTTCTTTCAATAAACTACAACAAATGCTTTCCTGAGTCGACATTCTTTTCTTGCAAATTGCACTTGATTTGTGAATTGACATGGATATCCCCCCCGAGCTGAAGTGCAAATACTTGCACTCCACATGGCACACCTATTCAATGAGTACCAAAAAAGCCCTTTTGTCCCATTCAGAGCAGATACCTCTAAGAATAAGTATCTGCCGACAAAGATTTATCAAATTTCTTATCAGCTAAATAAACTCTCATGCAGCAGTGACATCACAGAAGCACTGAAGATATCTTATGAAATTCTTACTAAATATTTAGTTGAAAACCTATCTATTAAGAGTTTGTCAGCATATGGCTTTTCTGATGATAATGAAAATAGTTTCTAAGTGTCAAAAATATTCTTGACCTTTGGTCATGATACCAAACATATCATTTTGGCAGAGATAAAAGAGTAATTACCAAACTGAAACTAGTTCAACAGCAAAATAAATAAAAAAAGATTACCACTCAGAGTATCACATCCACTGACAAAAGAACAATGCTTCTGGATAGACACTAATATAAAAAAAATCAAACCTAAAAAGAAAACTTGCAGCAAGATGCCCTCAGAAATCTGTGATTGTCAAGATGACTTTTTATACAGATTTATTACAAATGCCAAGATGGTAATTTATGGCATAACTTTGTGGAATAACAAGGTTCATAAACTGGTGTTATTAATTTGCTCAAGAATTCTATACCTGGTCTTGGAGTTCTTCTACAAAGACGGGTGCTTCTGAATCGGAGGAGAATCGAACTGGTTCACCGATAGCATCCATGGTGTCATCAAACTGAGCAATCACCTCACTGTACGGGGCAAAATGTTGAAGGTTCAGACAAATAATGCTAGGAATCAACTCGTTTGATTGCATGGTGCATAAATATTTGTTCAGAGGTGGTCCTGTCTTGCAGAGGCTGAGCAAAAGTTTAAGTGCTTATCAATTTGGTTGAAAATTGAAAAGTATGAAATTAATGTATTAAGAGGAGTGCTTGCTGCACCGACCCAAATAAAAGACCATGCCAAAGTTCCTGAACAAAGAACAGTAGAATAAAACTAGAGATGAAATAAAGCATTAAAATTCCATAACCTGACAAAATCAAAGCACTATTTAATTAAATTTGGGGGCATAAAAATCGAACTTCACTTGAAACTTTTTGTAAAGGTAGTAAAACTAAGTATCATGAGAACAGACATAATATGTTATTAAGGGAATAATTACGTGATTGGCTGGTCTTAAACGTGCATTTAAGACTGGCTCAGGAGAATGGATGTGACTAGTATGCCTGAGCTGTGGGCAAGGGCATTATCGGCGTCCGTTCTCCTGAGCAAGATCTTAAACATTATCTTAAGACTGGCCAAGCACATAATTATTCCCATTCATAAATACCTTTTTATCTAGAGTCAAACAAGGTCAATATATGATGAATTTCCAACGATTTTGTTCTACACTTTCCTTGTATTTTCCCAAACACCCCCATCCATTTTATGATACATTCCTTTTGGAAGTTGTCCAATAGAATCCCCTTCAATGAACTTGGTGCACGTATGGTGAGCCGTGTGCACAGCACATGGACTCTTGACCAACCAGAATTGATTAAACTGTCTCGTATTCATGTGCCAGTGCATGATTTATGCACTTCTCAGTGGGCATTATCAAATGTTCATACGCGGTCATGTGATGCATTTCGACCAACATGAATAGAAAAACTGTCCTAGGTATTTATAAATGTCTTTTAACTGACACAGATAACAGAGCTATAATCAGTGTTTGTAACCCAAAACATGCAAACTGAAAAAAGAAAATGTGCCCAATATTTATTGAACATACAGCTGATAAAGGAATGTCTAACCTGTCCTGATCAGGAGCAGATTGTGCAACAGGTGCAAAGATTGCAATGGGTTCAGATGAAGTGACAGGTGGAGTGGACTGTGGTCCAGTCGCACTGTAAGTGAAAGGAGAGCGAGGTGAATGAGTGAAGACAAAAAGAATGTGGTGAAGAGGAATGGGGGGGGGGTGGTGCTGCATAAAAAAACTGGTTCAAAGTGCACAGATAAATACAAGGGAGGTGAGATGGAAGAGAAATAGGACGATAGACACAGAGACATACACAGAGATATGATGACAGCAAAAGCAAATAATTCAGTGGTGAAGATTGTGACTGTGACCTGGGCCTCATCTCAGGAGCTTATATACATGGAAATTTACAAAGCCTGGAAAAAAATTTACTGTACCAACGGAGGTTGCGAGCTGAAATGCTTTGTAACGTATGCAAAAGGTCATCAATTTCAAGCTGAGTTTTTTTCTAACATACCGCTGAACAATAGATTCTACTAACCAGCTCCAAAGATTTCAATCTGTGGCACCGGACTGGACATTTTGGCCTCTAATAATTTTTTTGGAAGGATGAAATAGTTCTAAGGATCTCCTTAGAAGGTGATGAATTTTCAGAAAATCATGGGTCAGTTCAGAGCAGTTGACCAAAGAGATGGGCTAAGCAAGGAAACTTTGTACTAAGCAAAAATAGGATACCAACCAAGCTATACAGTATTCCATATATCCTCTGACTGGTAAACAGCTCATTTTTGCTGAGCACGTGAATTTGTTAAGCAATATCTGGCAGGTAGACCTGTGAAACTGAATCTTATTGTCCAAAAGAACAGACAGACAATGACTGTGAATTTGAAGCTATACTTACTCAATGATTTGCTTGTCTGCAACAGCAGCTGTCTGATCCTGGATAACTCTCAGACTGAATCCGCATTCGGTCTGGCCCTCCTTATTGGTGGCTGTACACACATATTCTCCCTCATCTGTTGCCAGGGCAACAGGAATTTCAAAAGTGTGGGAGAACTTGTCCGAGTACACCCGGAAGCGGCCTCCATCTCTGATTGGTACGTCGTCTTTTGACCATGTAACTATTTCAGGAAAAACAAAATCAAAACTTGTTAACTGAAAAGAACATTTCCGATATGCACAAAAGTATTTAAATGCAGCTAACCCCATACAGCATTTGACTTAAGTGAGAAGGAGCAATATGTCGAATTTTAGGAAATAACAGTTGGATCAAAATGAATCACTATCAAATGCTTAGATGAAGTTTACTTTCACTGAACAACAAAAAGATCATAATATAAGACCAAATTTGCATCTGCACAAGACATGCTACATACACTCCCTAGATGTCATCCTGCATAATTAGACATTTTAGCAGATATTTTGACAGATTGGCAACCATGCACAGACAAGAGGAAAAGACGGAGGAGTGACGACATTTATTGAAACAGGAGTAACCTGGACACGGATGGCTAGAAACAGAGAGGACTAGAAAGCACATGAGGAGGGCTACATTCTACCAAAGAATGGACACGGCCCTGAAAATTTGATATTTTGCAAAGTGTTAACATCAACTGCTTATAATTTTGAAGGCAATCAGTGGCAATTAAACCAGGGTAAAATTTCCAAAGGGCACCTGGGGTGGATACATTTTTTTCAAGGAGCATACGGGCTGTCCACTCCTGCTGTGTCTATCATAGTTACACCACTGAAGGCAAAACGATGACAAAGATTCCAGGTACCTGTTGGGATGGGTTCCCCATCCACGTCGCACACAAAGCGTGCCATCCCTCCTTCCTCCACAGTCTGAGACTGGGGTTCCTCAAAGAACTCTGGAGGGATGTTCTCATCATCCATGATGGCTTGATGGTCGGTGGTTGTCGCTGTGATGTCTTGACTCACGTTGATACTTATACTCACACTAGGCTCCTCTGTCAAATCAAACAAGTGACTTTAAGTCCCCACAGGTGCAATGAAAACAAGTGACTTTAAATCCCCACAGGTGTAGTTGTATAAATCTTGTTATACTAGGCACTGAAATCTATTTGAACATTTATAACCAAACGAAGACTTTCAAGGTTCATGAGAATTAATCTTAAATCTAGAAAAATCAGCCAAGAAAGTTCTTCCCACTTAAGTCCACCATTAGTACTCATCATTTGTGGTATCACAAAGTTGTCTTTTTACTACTCAAGTTTAAACTGAATTCTTTCTCCGGGGCAGGCTATGGGGAAACTAGCTCCTGACTCAATCCTGCTACAACTTCTGTTGAGGTTTCCTCACCTATGACATTCAGTGTGCATTGGCAGTCTGCCTCGCCATGATCATTCAGAGCTTCACAAGTGTATTTGCCAGAGTCTTCAGGGAAGACCTCGGCGATCACCAGCTGGTGAATGTTGCCCCGGCTGACATAGTGGAACTCATCACTGTCTGGTATGTCTTGTCCATTACGAAGCCAGCCAACATCCATTGGCCGTGCACCTGAGGTATCACAATGCAAACCAAGAGGTTTTTTTTCTAATTTGCAACTAATTAGATTGAAAGAAAAAACAGATCAATAGTCAACTAATAAACTCAAATTAAAATGATGACATTCCTTAAATTATCAATTAGGGAAAAATCCATGTAAAGTCTCATTCATATCATTAAACTTGAACTACTCAATTTATTACTTAATTTCATTCCATTAGGGGAATATGCAACATAATTCCAAACAAATAGCTATTCATGGTATAATTTTCAAAAAAGTGGTACAGTCAGATGCCAACTTACCAGTTATTTGGACTTCCAAGACAACTCGAGCTCCATCATTTACTGTCATGTCCCGCAGGCGCTGGACAAACTCTGGTGGTCCATCTCCTTCAGTGTCATCAATCTTCTGATCTGTTTCAATCATTGCCTGCTTCTTCTTAGCAAGCAAGCGTTCTGAGTCTTCATCCTTCTCATCTTCTACATCCTCCTTTTCCTTTGGCTCAGCATCTTCTTCGGTTGGTTTGGAATCTATGGGTACTTCATCTTTTGTTACAGCTTCAGGCTTATCTGGCGCCTTTTCGAGTGTGTCCAGACGGATTGCCTCAACTCCTTCTTCATCAGCAAGAGGGATGAATCGAGCTGGGCTGGAGTGATCTGAACCCGATTCCTCCAACAAATCAGATTCCAATTTGAAAGGCAGTTCAGCTTTTGGAGCAGAACCTGGCTTTCCCACTCCAACTGGGGCAAAGGCACCACCTTTGGAGCTCTTCTGTTTGGAAGATCGGGCATACGAATCAAAGCTTCTCTCATATCGGTCTTCAGCTGAAGTTGGAGACAGTCTTGATGCAGACGTTGTTGTTCTAAATGAATCTTCAGTGAATGATCTGTCAGTGTCATATCTCCTACCAGCTGAGGTGTAGTCACGGTCATAATCAGTTGTGATGACTTTAGGTGATGGTGATCTTTGTCGGTGGCTACGACTCGACTCGTAGCTATCACGGTATGACTTCTTGCTAGATGATGAATACAAATCCCTTTCCTGAACACCCAAAGAGATTGGTGAGACTGAGCGTTTCACTGGGGACGATGATCTCTGTCTGTACAAATGCTGAGGTTCAAATCTATCATAAGATCTGGTTGATGAGGCATATGAAGAAGACTGGTAATCTCTACGTTCAGGCTTCGAATAGGCTGATGTGCTCTGACTTGATGGCAAGCTGTAATCCCTTTGCTTGGATCGTGTAGTTGGTGAAGTCGTTCTGTCTCTTGTGGATATCCTATCCACAATGCGGATTTCTCTTGCTGTACGTAGAGACTGTGTAGCAACCGGAGTAACTGGACGCTCTGGGAGTAATGATGTTGGCTGAGGTGTAAGCTGGGTCTCAGAAGATTCACCCTCTGATAACAGCTGCCTGTAACTGGCGCGCTCTCGCCGAGAATCTCGGTGTGAGACATCTCTGGGAGAGGCAGGTCGAGGAGATGTGTAAGATTTTCTTGTGGTAACATCAGACATTGATGCCAAGGTACCCCTTGGAGCTGAGGGTGTGCTTGATTCCTGGGCAGAAGCATAGGTCTTGGGAGTAACAGGTCTCTTCACATCACTTGGCCGTCGCTGGTAAGTTGGTGTCACACTTCGCCTTGTGCCCAAAACTGGTGACATGGCACTCTCTCTTGGTGTATCGTAAGATGACAACTTGCTAATGATCTTGATTTCTCTGGCAGTACGTAGTGAATCAGTAGCAACTGGAGTGACGGGTCTTCCAGAATGAGGTGATGTAGGCCGACCACTGTATGATTCATGTGAGTCTGTTGACAACAATCGGGAGTCTCTGTGCCTGCGCTCAGTGTCAGATGATGTTGGTGTAACACTTCGTCTGTGGTGTCTTGTCACCTCTGGTGAGGCAGGTCTTCTTGCACGTGTCTCAACAGATTTTCTGTCTGAAGGTATGGGGTAATCCCTATGATATTGCTCTGATGATGTCATACTCCTCTTCTGATCAGAATAAACTGCAGATGAAGAAGGCATCCTTGGAGAGACTGGTCTCCTGGCATCTCTCTGCAGTTGCTCCTGAGATGGAGTTACACTGCGTCGGGTGCCAGGAACCGGTGATATGCCACTCTGCCTCACTGAATCGTAGGATGACAACCTTTCAATAATGCGGATCTCTCTTGGAGTGCGCAAAGAATCGGTGCCAACTGGTGTGACTGGACGGCCATGAAGAGGTGATGGGGATCGTCCACTGTATGACTCAATAGAGTCAGTTGACAGCAACTGGTAATCTCTCTGCTGCTGTTCTGCATCATCGGATGGCTTGGTACTTTGTCTGTGATGTGGAGTAACTCTAGGTGATGCAGGCCTTAGTCTAGGTGCTTCAAAGGATTCTATGTCTGAAGACGACAAGGAATATTCTCTACGCCGATAATCTGGGTAGGTTGGAGTACTGTCACGTCTGGGAGCAGAGACTGTGGGTGAAGCAGAGGACTTCTTCACGGATGATTTCGGGAATTCTCTGTGTCTCTTTTCAGGAGTTGGTGAGATAGATCTTCCACTGGTGGAATCATAGGATGACATTCTCTCAATGATCATGATCTCCCGTGGTGTGCGTTCAGAGTCAGTTCCAACGGGTGTCACAGAGCGTCTTAGACCTGGGGAACGAGATCTTGAGTCAAAGGATTCAACTGAATCGGTTGACAGTAGTCTCATGTCCCTTGGCCTGTGCTGTGTGTCAGAGAAAGTTGGTGTCATGTCTCGTCTCTGAGCGGCATCGTAAGAATGCTTGTGTACCGATGATGGTGGCTTAGCACCTCTCTCTAAGACCACTGCAGCTCTCGGCGAAATGGATCTTGGTCTGAAGGAGTCAAATGATCTCTCATACTCGGGTGTTGTTGGAGTGCGACTTCGCTTTGGGACAGTTGACATACTTGGTGATTTGGACCTCTGCCTGAAGCTCTGAGGAGTTGGTCTGTCCAGTGAGGTACGACGGTAGTCTTTGTCTCCATAATCAGATGCTGGAGTTACACTCCTCCCACCATACCTAGCTGTTGGAGTTGTTGATCTACCTCTGTAGGAGCTTGTAGAACTCTGGGAGTCATATCGAGGCCTTCTCTCATGTGGCACAGAGTGATCTTCGAATTCAGAGGTGCTTGACATTCTGCTAGGTGTTGGTGCTGTAGTGACAGACTTCTCTCTTGGCATGAAAGGATGCGGCCTATTACCAATGAACTCCCGCAAAGATGGAAGGTGATAACGCTCAATATCTGTTTTCTTGACAGGCCGGCCTTCCTTTGGAGGAACAGATTTAGCTCTGACAGGTTGAGGATACCTCTTGGGCACTGGACGAATTCTTTCCTCATCATCAAACACTGGTGTAAATATCTCTGGCAGTTGTCTCGCAGGGACAGAACTTGGTCTGAAAGCTTGAGGCTGCTTCTGTATGGCTTTCATTTTTTTCATGTAAGCATCATAATCAGGGGCAGACGGTGTTATATACCCGGCTCTGGTTGGTGTAATACTTCGAGTTCTCTTCCCTTCATAGCTTGGCCGTCTTCCGTATAGATCTTCATAGTCAGATGACAAGGTTCTTCGTCTTCGTGTTGGTGTTATGCTCCTTGTCCTCGATACACTCGGTGTTCTGGACCTTGGGAAAGATGGTGTCCTCTCTCTCTGTTGAAACTCATACTCTGAGGCGCTCAGGATATCCTCAAACAGGGCAGCAAAGTAGCGGTCGTCATGGGGCGTTGGTGTGACTGCTTTAGCAGGGAGTGCATGATGAGGCACGTAGGATGGTGTTGGACATTTGTGCTCTCCATGTCTGCCCTTCTTTGGGATCTCATAATGAGGGATGTAAGTCGGTCCATACCCATCATCAACAACAGGATGCGGGATGGTGCGTGCGACAACAGGTACAGGTACTGACTGAGCACGAGCCAGTGGTGGGGTTCTGGCATAGGGTACTGGTTTGTATCCTGGTACAGGCTTCTGCTTTCTCATATCAATGGTTGGACTGTACAAAGGAGGAGGTCCAAATGCTGGCATGTAGGAAGGACTGTAGGATCGTCTGTGACTTCTCACGGGTACAGATGATGGCCGGTAGAGAAGAGGCTGTTCCTTCCTTTGTTGGATTCTTCTTGCCTTTCGCTCCTCGAAAGTCTCTGGGACTGGACGCACCTTTTGTGGTTTGCGGTGCGGTTTAGGCTCTTTGGGCTCTTCCTTGGGTTTACGACGAGTCCGGCGTCTTCCTCTGCCTCGTCCCAATTCACCCTCATCTTCAGATTCCACATCAGCTTCAACTACAAATGTGAAAGGATAAAACACAAATAAAACAAAGTTTTAACTTCTAAATATATTTATTTGTCTGAAACAGTATTAAGTAGAAATAAATGACGGCAATAATATATTTTTTGTGGATGGATTTTTGTTACAAAGCAATAAGTATTTGCAGGGAAAAAAATGAAAAGGTTGCAATTCAGAGCAACAGTGCTAAAAACTAACATTAAGAAAATAATTAACCTAGCCTGACTAAATCTTGACATTACAGAGGCATTTTCAATATGTTCACCTAACACAATTACATTTTTTCCAAATGATCATACCTTCCAGAACGATAAGGTCTGCAGCACAAGAAGCCTTGCCAGCAGGTGAACTGGCTGCAGCCTTGTATCGTCCAGCATCTGTTGGTGTCACTCCAGTGATAACCAGGGTCTGAGCTCCCCCGGGATGTTTCTCAATAGAAATGTGCTCGTCCTCATCAATGCGGACATTGTCTTTGTACCTACACCCCAAAAGAAATAGGACTTCATTTAAAATTTGTTTTAATAATTATAAGTATTTTTGTCTAAAATTGGATTAATATAAATAAATAACCTTCACTGGTCGTTTTGAGTACTGTTTTAATTAAAAATATCCCATTTACCCATTACTTCCTAAATAATCTGACTAAAAATCCTAATTGTAATTTCTCTTATAATTTAAATTCTGAATACAATGAAATGGCCAAAAATCATTTAACAGACTTGAACACGCTGTAAACCTTTCTCAAAGAATAAAATGACAACAAAATTCACAAAATGGGGGGGAGGGGGAGAAAAGGAGATGAATTGTTTCAAATATACCAGATAATTTGTGGCTCTGGGAATCCAGAAACTTGTATGTCAAGATGAGCTGTCTTTCCTTCCTTAACGCGTTTGCCTCTTACAGGTTTGTGGAAGGATGGACGGATGTAGTCCAGGGTTTCATCTGGTTCCATTCCTGAATTGTAAAAATGAAATAAGAGATGTAGCCTGGTCAACAACTGAAAGGAAATTCATTTGAATTAGATGAAATCTAAAATTTAGATTTGTTATCTCAAGGCAAGCCCACTGAATCACTTGTGGTGGTTAAGAAACAAGAATGTTAAGGCGATATGTTCAGTGATGTGATTTGAAACTAAACTGTTGACACCTTCACCAAATAATGTTTTCTCATTGTTTTGGTTAATTTGAAACTTCAGAATGAAGAGACTGGACTGACTTAACCATGGACAGGTTTCTAACCAGCCATATTTGAGTTGACTTGAAAGCACCATACTGTATCTATAACATCAACCCCATTTTAATAAACTATGTGCTCCGCAACAGCATTTACCAAAATGTGATTTAACTTTTCCACTGTATTAATTTTTCCTTCCACATTACTCACTTTCTTCCACAACCAACTCGCAGGCCGAGCTATCCTGACCCTCTTCGCTGGTAGCCGTGCATCGGTAGGTTCCTGTATCACTCAGTCTGGCACTATGCACCTCCAATGAACATACACCCCACCTGTTGGTGATGCTGTAGTAGTAGCCATCGAATATTGGGTTCCCATCCTTTGTCCATGCTACTTTAGGAGCAGGGTAGCCCTGCACAGCGCAAGTAAGGCGGACACTGTCGTTCTCTGCAACTTTCTTGCGACGGAGTGGCAGACTGAAGAATGGAGCACAGTTCAGACGGCGGCGGGCGGGTATGTGTTTGGAGATTGTCGTGAGATCTTCAAGACTTGACTCTCTGCAGTGGAAAGGATTTATAACCCACATGGACAAATAATTTAACTCATAACTGACAGTGACTAAATTTAAAAAATAAACAAAGACTATCTCTATAGAGGTATCTGACTATCTTTATCCAATGGTGAGAGCAATAACGCTTTATGTGTGAATTAAGTTCAAGTACCAAATTAATTCTATTCAAATTATTCAACTATGACTAATATAATTTCATTTAATATATATTTTTAAAACTCAACAGAAGCTCCATCATTGCATATTAAAAACATAGCAATGTAACAAGTACAGAAATTTAAACTGGATTAAAGTTAAAGAAAAAAGTAAGAAAATTTAAAATCATTTAAATTCAAAGTCCAAAGAGGTGGCTACGACATTCTTATCTCTCAAATAATTATTAGTTCTTGAAGCCGCTATTTGTACACTAAAAAGTGCAAGGGCAATTCATTCCTGGCTTAGTGGCATGGATGTGTAGGCTTAAAGGTTATGAAAACATAACACAGGAATATTGGGACAGACAAACAAGGTAATATATACATAATAATAAAACATGATAAGATTGATGGCAATATCATGACAACTTGAAATCAAAACAGGATACTTTACCATTCAATGATTATTACTTTTACTTTAAAGGTCTTCAAAAACTACCAATGAAAAGTTTAACAAAAAGTAAGCACAAATATCAAAGAGAAAATACCAAATGTTTATTGGGGGAAAAATTAAAATAGGGCTAGTTGCTTGGATGAAAATTCGACCACCAGTTAATGCCTTCATTTTGTCAAAGCATGTCAAATGGAACATCCAAAGAGGCTATTTACTATGGTAGCTGTGTAACCGATGCTACTACACTACTCTATCATCAGCACACTGTTCAGACGAACCTATTTTTTAATAACAGTTTATACTTATTTTCCACATTGAGTTTTCATCTTCACAGAAACCTAAAGTTAATTTTGGTCATTAACAAATTATTTAAAAGATGAAACAAATCAAATTAGGATTTCAAACTTACCGTGATGGTTCTGAGGCTGGTTCGCTCTCTGCTCCACAACCTGTGTAGTGACAGCAGGAGTCAGCCATGTCAGAGTAATACACTCCACGGTTAGTTGTTAGCCCCTCAGGAATTAGTACCTCAACGGATAGCGCATGCACACATCGCATCATGACAAACCGGACAGGAGTTGCTTTCGTTTTAACTCCACTTGGGTTACTCGCGAACTTTCCATGGTTCAAGTTCTAAATTTGGTAGTACATGTACTTTTGGGGGGTCCACATCCACAGAGACGTGCATGTTAGTCACGGCTTGCAATGCTACTAATTTCCATTAGCACATGCACAACTAGTTCGACAGTCATGCAAGTAAAGACTATGGTACAGTACAGACTAGACTATTGAGACTGTAGACTACGGCCATGCAAGTGTGGTATATTAGTTGGACAGACGATGCTGCACGTACCATCAGGTGGTAGTCGTGTTGTAAGGAGGTCATAATCAAACGTGACAATAACCTCTGGTATACGATTGACAACATCTCTTGGTGTATTGCTAGAATGTGGAAGTTTGGATTGTGAACTTGGCAACACATCCAAAAACCCTTCCAGGTCATCCAGGTCACCTAAGTCAAAGAATTCTGTCGTTAGAGAGGTCACGCAAGATTCGGCATCATCTTCCGAACTTTCAGAAGCGCTTGGATGAGAGACAGCGGCTACAGCTGAATCCATGATGTGAGTTTGTCTCTCTAGTTTCCAGGACTGACTCAATGATTCCTAACTTGTGAGGTTTTGTGTCAATGTTGAACTCTGCAGTAGTGATGGATGGCACTGAGTTAGTTTATCCTAGCCTGTGCCATCATCCATTCTTTATTGATTCAAGGTCACTGAGCATCTAAATTAAGACAAGAATCCTCAACTGGAGTTTGTTCGTTAATATCTATGTCTTTTTCCCCAACCTAGTAAAATTTATGGGATGCATCCCGAAGGTGAGAATAAACTGTAGCCTGACATGCCCTCAACTGGGACTATTTTTAATGCTGCTGCATTACAATTGTCAATAAACATGCGACAGTAAAACCAAGAGAAAGGTAAAATCACAAACGTCAAGTGATGCAGGGCCAACTGTCACATAAATGTGATATCTGCTTTGATATGACAACTAACGTTGATAAACTACTTCAGGTGATAAGCCTACACAAAGAATAAAACCAAAGCCATGACAAAATATCCTAGATTCCTACTGTGCAAGTATTTCAGATCTAAAAAAATAACAACACCAGGCCCTAAGAATTGTTCAGTGAAACCTTGGTACTGTTTTTCAAGGTTAAATTCAAACTTAGGGAATTTAGAGCACCCGAGAATATGCACTTCTCTACACAAGACCATTACACAATGGACGAGCCTACCTACCACTGTTCATCGTCATATCCTTTCTCTGACCTGTCAAACACTACCATTCAACCCCACAACTAACTCAGTTCAATATAAATCTAGCTCGCATCGTTTACAAAAGGAGTAAGTGCTATTTAATACTGGCAAGCACTCAGTTTATGCATGGGAAAAATGTGACCTGTTAGAGTCCGGTTTACTCACAACAATGCATTCTGTTTGTTTACACTAGTCTAACTTTTCAAACACGTGGTCCAGACTGCACTGAGAAATTTAGTTGATGGAAACCAGGGTAGGATCTGTTACACAAAATGGGACTCAGCAACATAAGGCTTATGTATCCATAAGTAGCAAGTAGAGAACAGGGGCCTACATATTTACAGAGGACACGGTCATGATCTAGAGTGATCAACAAGATCAGTTAGTCTGTAGTTCTGATCCAAATTATTCCAGTGAGCTGAGACATCCTGGATAATCAAATTACACTCACAAGTAAACCCGACAAACTTTATGTCCCTAGTGTGAGCACTCTCTGGGTGGAATTGTAGAAAGGTCTGTCATGGCTGCTTGAGATTTCTTAAACATTTTTTAATTTACCAGGACTGTTAATCCAAAGCAACAAGGACTTCCTCACTCAAAGCACTGTTGAATTCAATGATGCTAACAGGCCAAGTACAAACTTGTCAATGCTGGCATTTTGTTAGTAGAAAACAAGACAAACACTGGGTTATCAGAATAAATTAGTGACATTTCAAGCTAAGAACGGTGTTAAATTTGAAAGTGTTAATTTGTTCAGTATCAATTATCAATCAATTATTTGCAGTCTGACAATATCTGAAAGGGACAGAACGTTCTGCAATTATTTCATTGCCAGTTAACATATTTGCAGATGAAATTTATTTCTATGATTGTAATCTTTTCTGAAAATTAAAATCTATGCCAACGGATTTCTCATCTCATCTACTGTCACTTGATGACTGGATATAATTTTTTAATAATTTCATAATATTATTAACAAATTCAGATGGATGTGAACAAGAATGAGAATGGAATAAGAATATGCAATAAAAATGAAAATCAAACAAGAACTTACGTTCAACTTTGACACGTGAGTCGCAGGAGATGCGACCAAGGAGGTTAGACGCTTGGCAAGTGTAGGTCCCAGCATCAGTCAAGAACACATCCTGTAGGATGAGGGCGCATGTATCATCATCCTCAAACTCCATAGAGTAGTGGACACCATCCTCAATCTCTTTGTGGTCCTTGAACCTGTGTTGAATGTGATTTAAGTCCATCAGAGATGTTTTCTCATAAGTTTTGAAGTTGTTACCACTTTAAATTTGAAATTCTTTGGCATTCAAGTTGTATTTCAATTAGTGTTATAAATATTTCCATACACGGACATCAGTTAACACCTTGTGCACGAAACCTATGAAAGTGGTCTAAAAATGTAAGTATTTTCTCACTAAATGCTTTTAAAAAATATTTTCCTTGCAAAATTTGACTTTTTAAAACATGTTATATCTTTTTGGTGACCTATGCATCACTATAGGGAAAACTGAGTGATTTGCATATTTGGAATTCTTCCCTTGGTGTTACCTGTATGATGTCTCACTCTTCAAATAATAAATAATTTCACTGAGAAAAATCAACTAACCCATACTTTATGCAAACTCATACACAACTCAAAAAAAGTTAAGGACCACTTTTGTCTTAACTTGTAATTTCAGGGTGTGCAGAGATGCAAGAAACACTATGCAACAACTGAAAACAACCACATGTAAAATAACAGTGTGTTTGAGGTCATACAGGACAGTTGTACTGGGGTATTTTCAGCAGTAAAATATATTCTTATAAAAAAGTACACACAAAATTAAAAGTGGTGCTCAACTTTTTTTGAGAAGTATATTTCTTAGAATCAATGTGACAAAATAATGTTCATTTTCTTTTGGTACATTTTGTGCTCCATAGACCTTACGTTTTTACCAAGGTGTTTCAGAACAAATGGCATTCCATACCATTTTAACTGGCTTTTTAAATTAGGAACGTACCATTTTGTATTCAGTTTTGGTAAAATGGAACAGTCTAACTGGGCTTGCAGAAGTTAATTAGCATCTTTATGCGAGGTCTAGCCTTGTTTGAAATCCCCTTTTTTTAACAGTGTTGGGATCAGGGAGTGAATGTCAATGGTCTTTTGTTGAGTATCTATTGTTACATGAGGGAGGTTAGTGGTGTGTGCTCATTCCAAATGGATTTACATTCTTTTTAGGCATTCACATAAAACCAGCGTGCAGAGAATTCAGCAGGGGTATTTGTGACAGGACACACCCAGAGGACAGACAGGGCTCCAGATACTCTACACTTTACATTTGCTGTGGATGTAAGTTCTGTATTTTCTTAAACCTTGGGTCAATCTAGCCATTCCTCTTTCTCTGATCTGTGTTCTGTTGCACATGAAACCAGATAATTTTGCCTTTTTTTTTCTCTAAAGGAAAGAGTTGCCTTGTTCTGTGAAGAGTGTCGCCCTGAGGGGGGGTTGATATTTGTAGTGTACATGAAATCAAAATGTATGCCACAGTTAGACTTGTTGCATGCAGTATGTCGGCAGATGAAACCAGACCTTACCTGCTCTAACTCCTTATTGCCAATTTTTCAAGTTGAAAAGATAAATGAAGTGATAAATTTGTTCTGATTTTAGAAGTTAAATACGTTACTTTTAGTGTCCTTCTTTGGACCCAGTCTGGAAAGAGTTCCATATATGGACACAACCCCGTGCACAAACCCAATGAAACTGGTCTGAAAATTCCAAGTGTTTTCCTGGTAAATGACTTGGTTTTCTCCCTCCTAAATTGAACTTTCCTGGACATGTATTTGCTTTCTGACGGCTAATAGGTCACTGTAGTCACTGTAGGGAATAATTACTGGCTTCCTATATGGAGCCCTCCCCCCGTTTTCATGCGCAGGATTCTTCGGGAAGTTTGTTCTATTACAAGCGTATAATTCTGAACTTTTATGTGCGGATAAGAAATGTGACCAGCGGCTAGAGTAATTTTTACAATGCAGACTTAAAATACAATAATTTGAATGATTTGAAATAAGGATCTTACCATCTGATATCTGGATCCGGCATGCCATTGACCTTACATTCCAGTCTTGCTGCACTCCCCTCAACAATGAGAATGTCTCGAAGGCGCTGAACAAAATGTGGTCTGACATATCCAGCATACTTGTCCATGAAGTTTTCTGCAAAAAAAAAAACCAAAAAATCTCATCAAAAGAAGCTATCCACTTGAATCAATAACAGCAAATTCAGTCTTGAATCATAGATGTAGATAGTCAAAATGCAGGAAAGAAGTTTTCCAAGAGAGCAAAAACTATGATTTTCCAACATGCCAAAAAATGCTCATATTTAATCCTTAAATACAAGTATCATGTGAAACTTGATCTCAAGCTTACCATCCACGGCTACTTGGCACTTTGTAACTGACGTCCCTGTTTGATTGGTCACTTCGGCGCAGTATTCACCCATGTCATCCAGCGTGGTCTCCTGAACCTCTAGCGTGTAGGTGCCATTATCCACGTAGAACTTGTAGCGCGGTCCTTCCTTGAGTTGCTTGCCATTGAGGTACCAGATGACCTTGGTGGGCTCTGGTGGAACAGTTACTGTAGGAAAATAAAAACATTGTACACCATGTGGTCCGCATACATCTTGAAGCATAGACTAGGGGTCAAAAACGCTTGTCAAGCTGTGCGTAAAGAGCAGAAAACTCTCGGTAAAAGTACTGAGCTTTCAGCCCAAATATCCCAAAAGAAGATGCAGCGCGACAAATGCCCCATTGGCATTGTGCACCTGCATTTTTGACCTGCTTTGAATGATTGTTCTTATGCATATTTACCGAAGTCAGTAGCTTGTGAAGTTATTTAAAAACCGTGAGAAATTGACTTTGGCAAAATAGACGTACATTAACCCAACACCTTACATTTTTCATTCATATGATAAGGCTCTTCCGTACTATACCCCAAAAAATCTCTATTGCCAAAGATAAGAGATAACATATGTTAACTTATTTTCAAGTGGACCAAAGGTAGGTTTGCACGTGCAAATGAGCGTTTGCAGAAAATAAATTGAAAATTGTACTAATCGGGAATTGTAAAAATATTCAAAAATCTAAGCAAGTCATTTAAAGGTCACAATATTCCTTTGGCAGACTACAATGTTTCAAAAAAAATGGATCAGTGTAAATGCTCAAAAGAATTCAGGAGTTGAAAGTTTGACACCTTCACAAGAAAGATTATATGATCAGGTCAAAATGAACATTGAACTTTGCTTATAAAGGTAAGGGTTGTCTTCCAACCTTCAAACGAGAGTGGTAGAATGAATCCGAGACCGCATTCCTTGTCTTGCAAAGTCTTGACAAACTGTGGTGGTTGGTCAGCTCCCATCTCGGCCTGCATGGCACGCAGACGACGAGCTCGTTCTCCCAGAGGGATTCTAGAAAATATAAATTAATGTATTACTTGGAAATGTGTGACCATGCTCAGATTTTTTTTTATATTGTGTGCAGTATTTATATTTTGGTCTGTCTGGGTTATGTGTCCGAGACTAGACACTGTTCCGTAAAAATGCATCGACAGGATTGTGCAACAGGTTAATTCAGAGCAAGATAATTCACTGAATTTTTTATTTTCTAAGATTTGAATTACTTTTTCAAGTTTGTTTTTAGATTGCTATGCAGCCAGGCTAGGAAATACTTTGAGACAAAAATAATCCATCGAACAAACTGCGGGAGAAAATCGCTAGCAATTTTCAAATTTGATTGGTAGATTCAAGATTGCATCTACTACAACTGAAACCTACTTTTGTCTCTTCATTTCCAGAGTCCGTCTTTCTCCACGTCTCTCCAACTCCTCTTCATCAAGCACTGCGAGGACATAAGGGTAATGACTAATTTACTTCAAAGAAGGGAAAAAAATCACAAGAAATTTGGCTTTCAAAATCTGGCTGTGTGATGCATCAATTCTGGAAGAACTTCAGAACTCCAACATCCAACTTACGTTCAATGTCCAGAGACGCCGATGATGTTGCTGACCCGTACGAGTTGACTGCCTTACAGGTGTACTCCCCTACATCATCAATATTGGTGTCCTGAACGACCAGCGTGTACTTGCGATCATCGTACAGCATCTTGTACTTGATTCCTATCTGTAGGGGAGTCTTCCCCTTGTACCAGGTGATGAGGGGTTCAGTGAGGGCAGAGACTTCACACTCGAAGCGAGCGGCATTACCCTCAATGGCGGTGGTCGTCTCGAGAGGAACTACAAACTTGGGAGCGGCATCACGGACATCTAGAAATAAAAATCAAATCAGGACTCGCAATGTAATTATTGATAATGCAGGTCTTGTACATGCTCCTTTGTGTCCCATTCAACCTAATTTTCCATTTTTGCACCATCTTCAGGGCATTTTGAGGCCTATTTGAGTTTAACGCTAATATAAATACATGTATGCCCATCTGAGCAAAAGTGTCATTCAAGGCAGGAACTATTTGCAAGAATTTTGGTTGTTGAATAGTCAAAATTTTATTTAATTTGGTGATTAATCATTTCAGTTCATGACAGGAGGTCAGGAAGCAAAGATAAGAGGCATACATCAAGTTCATGATTCGAACAGACTTCCTTTGAATAGTTTTAAAGTGTATAAAAATGGTGCACTTTTCAATGAGAAAGAAAGGTTTCAGAGTTTTCTTGCATTAACAGTAGAAAGTTGTGCAAAAACTTTTAAGGTGCTTCAACTAAAACAAAACTTGTGCGGTAAATCTCCTTAGACAGTGTATTCTGCTTTCTCGGGTTTTCAAAATTTTGTAAATTGTCAAAATTAGATCTTTAGAGATTTACAGTATTCCCTAAAACAGAGGTGATGATTCCCTAACTTGACCACGCTTTGGGCAAAAGTGGTCTATGAATTTTTACAATTGTAAAAAACTCAGTTTTGGTCAAAGTGCAATGACATACCCATATAGACGAGCCTTTCATGTAGTGGCATGCCACGGTAGACCTTGTGTATCTCTCGAAGAGCGCCCCCATGAGCAAGACGGCCGAGGGCGTTGATGGTTTCGCCAGCCCCCTGAAAAAAAGAAAGAAAATTGGATGATTTTTTTTTTAATAAAAATAATCAAAGCAATGTACATGTATTCAAGTAAAATTCAATAAAATTGAAGGGGTGATGTTTCACCTCTGGTTTGCGTTTCTCGTGTAGTTTTCTGAGACGCCTGGTGTTGAGTCGTCGAGCGCGTCTCCGAGCAAGGGTATCAGTCTCCATCTGAAATAGAAGAAAATAAATCAAACTAGTCTTGGAATAATGTGCCAAATACTTAGATTTTAGACATTAATCTGGGAAGGGTTCTTGGTCTGGGAAGGCTTTAGTTTAGTTGAAAATTTGGTTTTCATCTGTGGGAAAACTGCTCTGGCTAGAAAAACACAAAGACCAAATGGCACAAATTCAAAAAGTAATCAATATACGTGTACTTACGTTGAGCCACGGGTGGGCAAGTGCTTCTTGGATTGTCATCCGTTTGCTTAAAGAAAAATGAAATCGTCCAATTCAGTAAGGAACTATATAAAATGTAATTCACCTATACACGTATATTGGGTTATTTTGCCGATAGAATCCAGTTGAACCGCATTAATGAGAAATCCTTAAGGACTTGGCAAGTTACCTTGTTACAACAGCAACCTTGTATTATCAGGAATACAAACAAAGGGTTGGGACCTAAACATTTCTTGGTTATAAGCAGAATCTTGTACTAATAGTGCTCAACGAAGTTACAATATAAATGAATATGTAGTTTGACCTTCGGAAGTCCTTTGAAACTAATAAGTTAGAATTTGGAAAATAGCCAATTTTTATTCGACATAAACTGAAGTGTAAGATGCATAAGGGAACGTTTCATAATTACAGAAGGCGGTATTTACTGCGGTACTGCTGTATTTTTGCGGTACCAGCATTAAGCCCTTTCGGGTAACTAGTGCAGTGCCGCTAAATAAACAGCGGTACCACAGTAAATACCGCCTTCAACAATTATGAAACGCTCCCTAAACTTACTCCTTGTCCTGAATTAGAATCTTCTCAATCCAATCCAGTCCTTCATCGGACACATCAGCAAATGCTTCCTCGTCGAAGTCCCATTCCCCCCGACTCACGCCCTTCAAGGTGTCAATGTCGGATTCTCCCATGAATGGCGAGATGCCACTCAACCTGGTAAGAAACATATGTACAATGCAGTTCCAATTGAACAATATCAAGATGGAAATTACTGATCTGAAAGCAGGCTGTTTGCAAAGTTCCATTCATTATGAACATTGTCCCCCTGTGTTGGATGACGTCAAATCTCTAGCAGTAGACATTTTTCTAACTATAATGGCCAATTTAAACAGTGGTCACCCATTATAATTGGTCTAGTTACAACATGTGCATAAATCTCATTACAAATTTGAAAGAAAACTCACATGACGTATGCCAGCACTCCGAGTGACCACATGTCGGATGGCAGTCCAATGGGTTCAAAGTTCACGACTTCTGGTGCCACAAACTCTGGAGTGCCAAACATGACGCGCACTTGTTCATGTGGGTCGAGTTCCCTGGCTAGACCAAAGTCAATGAGTTTCACATCGTTGCCAGTGCGAGTACGTAGCATGATGTTCTCCGGCTAGGTCAACAAAAAACATGCTTTTATTTAAAAAAGCCGCGTCTTCAAATTGGTTTTGTAAAAAATCACTGATAAATTCGAGACAACAACCTTGAACTTTTAAACATTTTTCTTTATTAAAATAGAAATCTCACAAAATAATTAACATAAATTCAAATGAATGGAGGTTTATTCAACAATTTATCTTCTGTTCATATCCAAAGAAGCACAGCAAATGTTGATTGAAATTCTTTTTGCAGTGATGGGAGTTTGCCCTGAATCTTAATTTCATTGAAGACAAGAGTGATTCTTGTGAAGACAGTTGTTGGCCGTCACTTTACCTTGAGATCAAGATGAAGGATGTGCTTCTCGTGCATGTGTCTGATGCCTTCACAGATCTGCTTCATGTAGTCGACAACCTCGGGCTCAGTCAAGATGTGGCTTTCGTCAACGAGACGATCAAACAACTCCCCGCCAGACAAGCTGCAGAATGCACGAAAATGACAGGAATGATTGCTTCATTCTCTAATTCACATTTTGTACAAATGTCAAATCTTAACTTCATTATCAAAGAAAGAGTGAATTTTAATCTTGACTTACAATTCTATAATCATGATTATTTCTTCGTCGTTCTCAAACACCTCATGGAGAGACAGCAATGCTGGGTGATGCAGTCGCTTCATGATATCGATTTCTCGTTTGACAACTTCTCTCTCGTGACCCTGGCAGCGTAGGAACTTGGCAGCGAAGGTTTTGCCTGTCTTCTTCTCCACAGCTCTGTAGACCACACCATAGGATCCTCTGTGGATTGAAAGAGGACAAATCTGATGAAAAACTTTTAAAAAGATGGAGATAATACAGAAATTTAAATGCCCTTTGTGCGTACAGAACTCAAAGAGGCTATAAATTTGTGCTCATTCTGGTGAAAGTTGGTGTGTATAGCAATACTATGGCTAACAGTCAAACTTCCAAGAGTCAGATAGGGACCAGTATTAGACCTAAATAGGTACTTACCTTCCAAGTTCTTCATAGATGTTATAGTAGTCATAGACAGAGCCAAATCGCTTGATGTAGTCAAACCTGGACGGAATCCAGCTCAAATCAACCAGTGAATCATAGAATCGTCGCTTGGCTTCATAATCTTCAAGCTCTGGGCGGGTCAATGCCGAAGCTGTTGAATTATAGAAAGTTACACGAGTGATGCTACCGTCAACCAGCCTTCAACCAATGTTTGGACACAACTAATTTAAGATATATGTAGTTAACCACTTGCTGCTGCGTCCCTTTGGAAATGCAGTGTCTAATGCTGAGTGATTTTTTCAATATCTTCGGTTTTCAAAAATCTTCAAAAATTGATATCTTTTTTTCCTGAACGCCTAAACCCCATCGAGTGACTGTCTGGAGGCTACTCTAATCTGACAGACAACATCTATTGATGCCCGAGTATTTCAGCTAGGCCTGCCCCTTGTAAAAAGAGCCCTGATTGGGTGGTGTTATGTAATTACTGGCACAGTGTGCTGCTGGCGTCTTTTCAATAGCGGCCAGATTAGTGTGCGGTGGTTTTGTATCCCTCAGCACTGGAGCACTTTTGTCCCCGGTGGTAATCCACTCGTGCTGAATACCACAAACAGTGGTACAATCTTTCAAAACAATGACGGATTTCCTCCGCTATTGACAATTGAAAAAATGTTGGCAATTCCCAGCAGCCCGGTCTTTTGTTCTGAGTACAGTCTTTTGTTAAAAGGCCCAGCTCTTTTGTCCGATTTCAGGCAGCCTGGCTTTGCGTATAAAGAAAACGTACCTTAAACTGGGCTACCCGGCAGCAAGTGGTTAAAACATTGCTTTAACATTTTCCAGAAATATAACTCCAATCTGTGTGAGATACTAATTTCAAACTTAGACATAAATATTGTAAAGTTCGATTATCCAAATGGATCTTTGCAAAATCAAGAAACCTTATTACAAACCCCAAAACCGTTGCTTTCGCTTCTTTTAAAGACCTAATTTCACATGGCTCATTTCTTGTAATGAGTGAATTTCTTACAGACAGAATCATTTCAGCCAAAAATATCTGAGTGACTCACGTTTAGTTGCTATGACAGTTGATGCTTCACACGGCTCGCTCGCGCCGAAGGAGTTCAATGCTGTGACTCTGAACTGGTACTCTGACTCAGACCTCAAGCCCACGATGGTATGGAAGCAGTTTCTGCTGGTAACGCAGCGGACCCAGGTATTGGATCCAGCATCTCGTTTCTCCACCACGTAGCTGGTGATGGTGCTTCCTCCGTCATGGAGAGGCGGTTGCCAGGAGAGACGGACGGTATCCGAGGTGACGTCGAGGACTTCCAAGTTACGAGGTGGATCTGGTTGTCCTGCAAACAAAAATGAGACAAATTAAGACCAAAAACCATAAGTCATTAGTAAATGTTTCTTATTGAAAATTCATTGATATTTCACTGAATTATTTGTCATTATTGTAACCTCATATGGATGAAAAGCTGCTAAACAGCCAAACTGACCAAGTGATATTGTATGCTTAGATTAGACAGGCTTACCAAATTGAGTTTGTGTCAACCTTTCTTTTCCATTAGCAATCTCTTGGCATACAATACCGCAACTTGTTGTTTGAAACTTGATAGTCCCATTTTCAACGAGGGAATACATGTCAAATTTGTTGAGAAAAAATCTCTTCCAAACATTTTCATGAACTGATCCTATAAACTTGTTTGCTTCATTCCGATCTTAGCATTCAATCCTTAATGCACACAATGATGCTTTTAAAAAACCCAAATGAGTATTTCTCGTACTCAGGATGTTGATGACAATGCTTGCTGAATCGTATCCCAGCTCATTTGTAGCGACCACTGTGTATTTCCCTGCATCCTCCTTGCTAACTGTAGTGATGGACAGCATTGTCTCCTTGTCGCTGGTCTTGATCTCCAGATTCCTGGCAGGCTTGATGTCAACTCCGTCATGGTCCCAGGTGATGCTGGGTGCAGGGATGCCTGTGTAAGGTATTCTGAGTTTCAAGATCTCTCCTTGGAGACAATCAAGGGGGATGCGGAGGCGTGGTGGTACGTTGACTTTAGGAGCAACTGTGTATTAGAGAAAAGGATGACAAGGAAAGTGATAACAACAAAGTTGAGACTGCATCAGTGACTAATCAATTTCCATTCAATGCATAACCTAAAATTGGACTGCCTATGTTTAATCTTCGAAATATTTTTCCTTGATTCATTTTTAAAAATTCATTTATTTAGTTTATCCATGCTGACATTGATATTAACGACAGTAGCTGAGATATCATGGATATTATAATAAATATGTAAATGTACAATGACATATATTGAGAGAAGATAATTAATGAGCACCTAATGATGAGAAAAGCAAGTGTGATGTTACTGTCGGTTAAACTTGACAACAGTAACATCAGAAATGTCACCATAGGGCTCTGGAGATGCCAAAAGCTTTTAATCCTCCCCTGCCCCAAATTACCTTGATAGCCCAATACTATTAAATTATAAAATCATTTAAGGGCATAAAGACAAGTGACACTAACAGGAAAATCTTTTCTTCTCAATATAGATAATGTTCGTGGATACTGGTCTTCCAGTAATTATTACATGTTGGAAAGTTCTATTGAATCAGTTCCAAAACAGAAGAGGCAGATATAGATATAGACGAGCCTCGTTTTAATCATTTCAATCAATGAGGAAAATAGAGTCCTGTTTCATGAAAAAGAAGATTTTTACGGCTGGGAATAGCATACCTTGAATCTGGAGGTCAGCTTTCTCAGTCTGTGATCCAGCTTTGTTCATGACCTTGACTGTGATCTCTCCAGTATCTTCCTCATAGACATCGTTGATCTGCAGTGTGTGGATGTTGCCGCTGGCTCTGATCTTGTACTTCCTGCTGTCGTGAAGTTCGCGGCCGAGACGGTACCAGAAGACTTGAGGAGACGGGTAGCCGGCTACCTCGCACTCCAAGGTTCCTGCTCTGCCTTGGGTGACGGCAATGGATTGTGGAGTACGGACAAACGAAGCTGGGATAGACCCTTGAAATGAAACAAATAAGACAGCATGTGGAGACATCATTCATAATTCCAGCTGTCAGTTTTTGAGAAGAATTATCCCAACTTTAACATGTTATTCTCATATTTGACATATGTCTTTGAATGAATTCCAGCAAATGTATTTTTTAAATGACCAGTGTTCTAGCCAAGTCCATCATTAGTCGTCGTTTCATAAGTCCAGTCATTAAGAGACAGTTTAACATGTCAAAAGGAATACTTTAGTCAGAGTTCAATTGACTAGCTTGTGCGTTGGCTTGCAGCTAGGTAATGCGATGGACTTGCAGGGAGTTGAGAGGGATTCGACTGCAACACTGAAAATGATATGAACAGATTGGAAACTATTCACTAGTTTTATGCTTAGATGCACCAACGAGATGAAAACAATCTGAAATTGAGATGCCGACAAACCTCTTGGGTCCTTGACTATCACTCGCTGAGAAGATGGACTCGGTTGACTGAAGCCGACTTTATTCTCAGCAATCACACGGAATTCATACTCGGAGTCTTCAATGAGGTTGGTGATGGTGTGACTGTTTCCTGTCACCTCCTCCCTGTTGGCACGGAACCATCGGGTGCTCGTTGTCTCTTGCTTCTCGATAATGTAGTTGGTGATTGGGCTGCCTCCGTCTGATTCTGGTGGAACCCAGAGGAGATGGACGGAGTGGCGTTGGATGTCGGACACCGATGGTTTCCCTGGGGCACCGGGGACATCTTCAAGAGACAAAAATCACATTTCATTTTGCTGAAATTTGCACACTGCTGAAATAACCAAAAAGTAAAAGTGAAAATTTAAAAGCATTCTGTTGTGAATGATTATTGCTATTTGGGTTTGTTCAGAAAACAAAACATACTATCTTAGGTAGCCATTTTACGGACACAATTAGAAATAAATGAACTTGTACTACGAGTGAATAAACATTTTTCAAAATTTCATTCAGGTAAAAAAATAAAATAATAAAAAGTTATTGTGAAAGCGTTCCAAATTATCCAAACAACTTTGGAAACAGAGTAGGATTTGGTTGAGCGTACACTTCCAGCATTTAACTGTGAAGGGGGCAAATCAGTCAGGAACAGTGGTATAATGAAGCGACATTTCAGAAGAGTGCCCAAGGGTGCATACCTTTTTCAAGGGGGTACTTAAAGCAAAGTAACCATGGCTTGTACACAGGCTGTAAACATGTTGAAATTTCAAATAGGGGGCACCTGAGGGCACTGACTTTCAATGGGAGGGCACGTGCCTCAGATGCACCCCCAGGGATACAGTACTAGTCAGGGAACATAGATGATTGGACTGACCATAAGGAGCCTTGGCCATGACTGACTCTCGTCCAATCAGAGGTTCGCTGGGGCCATACTGATTTTCGGCAGAGACTCGGAAGAGATAAGCCGTTCCTTCCATGAGTCCACTGACTGTGTGCTCAGTGGATGCAGAGACAAAGCCTACGTTCTGCCAAATAGTTCTGAGGGGAAAGAGCAACAAACATGGCTCAATGTAGTTCCTCACTTTATACTACAGGTTCTATATTGTGGAAAATAGCTTATCCAAAAAAATTCAAAAGAAATTCCAAACTTTACTGGAGAAAAAGGTGAAAATAAGAAACATTACATCCATCATCTGAGCTGTACCTGTTAGCCTCTTTCATCTCAACAATGTAGCGTATGATGGGACTTCCTCCATTATCAGCTGGTGGTTGCCACGACAACGTGATAGATTTCTTGCTGACCTCCACTGTCTGGATGGGGCCAGTTGGCGGTCCAGGTTTGTCTGAAGTTACAATGTTACCCATTCACGTAAAGCACATTCTCACAGGAGAATTTTCAATTCTTAAGAAGCTCATGTCAAACAGAGATTTATCATAAAGAAAACAATCGGCAGATATACAAGCGAATGAGATACTTTAAGACACATTTGCAACTCAGGTCATTCTGATCAGTTATAAGCAGCAACGATGATGGGTTTGGCCAAATTTTTTTCTAGGGAGAAGACTTGTTTCAAATTGACAAAGCGACAGCAAACTGACAAACCATTAACAGTAGAAGGGGATCAATTCTGAGGGTCTTTTCAAGCTAATGAGTGATCTCCATTCTCTTTCCTGCCTTTTGTTGTTTCTTTCACCTTCATTTTTCCTGTTTTGTAAAATTTCTACTTTGCCCCCATCGCCCTCACAATGGTCAATCCAACAATGCCTCAGCAAATTCTCAGATTCTTACCAACAACTTGTACTTTGGCTGCCACCTGCTGCACTCCATACTCGTTCTCAGCTTCTAAGATGTAGACACCGCTGTCTTCTCTCTCCGTCTCCCTGATGGTCAAATCGGCCTCACCTCCCAAGGCATCGATGCGGAATCGTCCTCTTGTGTTAATCTCTTCACCGTCTTCCTTCTTCCACCTCAGGATGGGCGTGGGTGTGCCAGTGAAAGGGATGGAGATGCGCAGGGTGCTTCCAGCACGGACACTGAAGTCTCTCATGCGGCGGTCAAGGTCCAGAGTTGGCAGCGCTGAAAGTGGTCGGGGAAATTTTGGGAGAATGAATTTCTGTTCAGTTCGCCGAACAGGCTGCAAGTATGCAATGGGAACTTGACATGTATTAATCTTTGACATTAACACTTTCTCATTCTCTATTCTGAAAATATGCAATGATCAAGTGACCCAAATTGGTGGTGCTATTCTTGTCCATGGGTATGAGTCACTAATACTGTGCTGTGATTTGCCAAAATGTACACATCTTAAGTTTAAGAACATGCGAGTAAGATATAACCACCAGAGAAAGGCTATCTCCTCCAATTAGTCTACCCAGCACGTGTTGTTCCTAGTTTTCAACCTCGTTACTATAAGAGATATACTACAGGAGGTATGTCTCACACGAGAAATTGCTGGGAAAGTAGGGTTTTTAAAGTTGTCAGATATTAAACGTAAGCTCACAAATTTGTATTTGATATGAACTTCTTGTTATGAATAACCAGAGGTCAACACTGCCTTACATTTGATGTGGAGTTCTGCCGATGCGCGAACCTTTCCATTCTCATTCTGGGCAACTGCTGTGTACATGCCACTGTCCAGCTCTCTGGCCTCATGGATGGTCAGTCTGTGTAGGCCATCTTTGTCTGTTGTTATGCTGTACTTGCGACCGGTGAACAACTCCCTACCCTTACGGATCCTGTTGGCATCACGAAGATTACAATCAGATGGCAATTCCCTTGTAATTTATTCACAAACTTCAATGTTGAACCCAAAATTAAGTTTATTGTAAGGTTCGACTAAAGTAAGCTTGGTTGGATGAGATTCAAAGCCAAACTTTCCACTCACACATCAAACATTTCAGGCGCTATGACTCAACTCGACTCAAATCTAACTGACCAGCAAGAGATGTAATTAATGATTGTTGCAGGTGAGAAAGGAACCAACGCTCACCAGTCCACATGAGGCGTGGGTGTCCCGGCCACTCTGCAGGTGAATTCGGCCTTTGTTTTCTCAGCAACCATCGTGCTGTGTGGCTCCTCTGTGAAAGTTGGTGGTACTCCAGCTGCAATCCAATAGGTAACCATGACGTTAACATAAACTAATGACAGTATTTGACTATATTACTTGTTTGTCAGAGGGGGCATTGTGATGGGAAAGATAATTCAACCAAATTTACATTTGAAATTTTTTAGGCTGACAGGGATACTGCCAATGACTGAACAGAATGAATTATGTATTACAAATTGTTATTCAGATCTGATCAATAATTTGTTATTAAGTCATTTTTACAAAACTGGTAAACAACTACAGTGACTGAACATACATTTTTTAACAGCTCTCACAATTTTTACAATTGCCAAGTTTGGGGTACTTTGGGATAAATAATCTTGAAAGACTAATTGACGAATTGCTTAATTGATGAGTTTATTTCCAAATATCTGATGCAACCTGCAATTCAGATTCAGAGGACAAGGAATGATTGTTACAGAGTCAGATATCTTTTTTTTCTACAACTGAAAATGTTTTTTTGAACTGGTTACTCACGGAGTGACTCTCTGGTAACGAATGCCTCTGAAGCCTTGCTAGGATCACTCTCCATGCCAGCAGTGTTGACCGCACACACCCTGAAGACGTACTCCACGTTGGGTGACAGCTTCTCCACCTGACAAGAGTTGGTAGGGGTGGTCAGCTTGTCTGTCCAGTCGTAAGAGCCCTTCCGTCTACGCTCCACCGTGTAGTGGGTGATAGGCTGGCCCCCATCTGAGAATGGAACGGTCCAGCTGAGCTTCACAGACGTTGATGTGATGTCTTTGATGGTTGGGCAACCAGGTGGTGAAGGTCGTCCTATAAAAGGAGCAGAGGCAGGGGCAGGGGGGTCAGTTATCAAATTTGAAATGAAATAAAACTGTTAGGATGACATATAAGTGATTTAAGAAATAATGTAAGGCCAAAAAAAAAAATGCACGTCAAATTTTTTTTTTTCTCAAAATTTTCACAAAACAGCACCCTCTATTTCCGCATCGCCTGAATGTTTGTGAGTAGACTGATTCTCGGCCACAAGTCCATGAGTCGGAAGGGCAATTTGTTCAAGGAACCAGACTAATTTGTGGGTAGCTCGTACCCAGTGATAGATGACTGCTTAATGTTGATGTCGAACACAAACGGTAGACCATGGATAGGTTACAAAGTTGCAGCCAGCTGATTAACAACAATGGTGGCATGACGTGCGACGTGCTACCAATTGCCTTTGCTCTTTGATTAAATATGCCACTCAATTCCATGTCCGTTACAAGTCTTAAATAGCCAACCCCCATCCCCCCCAAAAAATTTTTAAAACAAGAAAAACGTATCGCTGCATCAATTCTGGAACTTTGGTCTGACCAGAGACCGATTTTTGGGGGGGGCGGCTAACAGCATTTAGATAAAATTGAGTTAATATCATATCATTCCAAATAAAATCCCCTTCCAATCAAGAATAACTGACTAAATGGAGGAATACTATTATAAGAAGGGGTTCCCCTAATCTCTTTCATTTCAAACATGAAAACTGTTTACAATTTGGGCCTTCCTTTCTATCAGGGATGAAAAGCTCAGTTGGTAGAGCACCACAACTGTATTCTAAAAAGACCACTGTTTAAATTCTGCCTGAATCAAACTGACAAGAAGCACTTACTTGCAGGGTCCTTGGCAATGCGTGGTGGGTGAGTTGGTTGGCTAGGCTTGCCTGGCCCGACAGTATTCTCAGCGGTCACTCTGAAGTCATACTGGTGACCTTCCACTAATCCCTTCACTGTGTAGGTGGTGTCCACCACTGATTCGCGGTTGACTCGCTTCCAGTGTGCGCCAAAGTTCTCTCTCATTTCCAGGATGTAGCCTGTGATGGGCTTGCCGCCGTCATGCTGGGGCTCGGTCCAAGTCAGGGTCATGTGATCATGGCAGATGTTATGGACTTCAGGTTTGCCTGGCGCGCTCGGCACAGCTGCAGAAAATGAACACAAAGAACCCTGTCATTGGTGAAATAGATTTCCCATGACTTTTAAGAGCTCATTAAGTTAACTTGTTGGTCTGCTCTTGCCTCAACCTCGTTCAAGGCGGTGTTGATGTCTAGTCCATCTCAAGTCCCTGCAAGTCCATCACGAGTCACTCAGTCTTAAGGCAACTCAGAAAAACTAGCCAAATGAACTTACATTGTTCACCCCATTAGTTGTGTCTGGTCTGGAAAGACTTGATTGGCCTTGTCAGGGATTTGACTATGACACTGGTTCTAAGTGATGTTAAGTAAAAAGTTTCCACTTTCCCTTTTTTTCGAGTCCAAACTCAGGACAGAAGGACAAAACAACTTACAGAAGGGCGTCTTGCAGACGACAGCCTGAGATGATTCCAGAGGAGGTCCAACTCCGTTGATGTTCTCAGCGCTCACTCGGAACTCATACTCCATGTTCTCACCAAGTCCCGTCACTGTGAAGGATGTTGTTGTAGCATACGTGGTAGCTACTGTCCACAGCTTGCGACCCTTCTCCCGTCTCTCCACAGTGTAGTATTCAATCTTGGAGCCGCCGTCTTCTCTGGGCGGGGACCAGGAGAGGTTGACAGAGAAACGGCCGACGTCGGAGATCTCCAGGGGTCCGGTGGGGGGACCAGGAACATCTGTAAACATTGTTGATGTGGTGATGTAAGTCAATAGTTTTTTTTGGGAATTGGTGTGGCTTCAACGTTATATATCACTGCATTATTTGTTTGAAAAGTTGTACTTCATTTGGTTGGGATGGCCAATGAGTTGTCATTAAAATTTACTGGTCCCTAGCAAAGGCTGAGCCAAACAACTTGACGGAAGAAATAACTTGCATTTGCAGGACTACAGATTACTTTGGGTTCTAAGATCCCCTTATATGGCACTTTAATTGATGCACAATAATCATATTCCAAAATATGAACTTTATGACACTCTGGTAACTTCTCGACACACCAAATTTATGTATGAATAATAATCGAAACACTCTGTGGGATGCAATAAAATGAGGAATAATATCTGTGATTGATACCTACCAACCACTATGACATGGATGTTAGCTGTGTGTTTGCCAGCTTCATTGCTGACAGTCAGTGAGTATTGCCCTGTGTCTGATCGGATGGTGTTCTTGATGACCAATTCTGTTCTGTTCTCCTGTTTCTCTATCTTGGTTCTGCTGTCTTCGCTGATGCGGCGGTCATGACGATACCACTCGGCTGTTGGCGTGGGGCATCCGGTGAAGGGTACGTAGAGACGAAGGACGTTACCAGCACGGACAGTGATGACATCTTTGTAGTCAGAGAGGTCAATCTTTGGTTCAGCTGCAAGGAAAAAGAAAGTTCATGCAACAATTAATAAACTTTAAGAAACTTTGTGTAACTTGAAGATAACCCTTCAATCTTTTCTGAATGCCCTTTTATTAATGGAAGAGGATTATTCAGCAACCAGAATGTTGCTTACAAGGTGATGCCTTTAACATCAGACAATCCAAATTTGTCCATAAAGACCCACAGGCACTGAGAGATTGGCTGAACCAGAGGTTAATTCAAATTCCAGCTGTGAACAAAATACAGTGGTTACAACAGCTTGCAGAGTGAATCTCAATTTCTACAGTCATTAACCATTCCACAGCTGGCTGACTACAAAATTTACATGTATCTGTGTAATTCTTGGTGCAACCTGATAAGATGTTAATGACTTGATAAATTTGAGTCTATAAATAGCACATACTCACCTTTGACCTTGACTGTGGCCTCGGTGCTTGCATCCCCACATTTACATGTGTACTTCCCAATGTCTCGAGGTCCAACGTCTCGGATCACCAACGCTCTCCTTTGGCCTTCCTTGATGATGCTGTGTCTGTCCACGGCAAAGATCTGCACTCCGTCCTTGAGCCACTTGACTTCAGCCTTGGCATTGGAGATACGGCACTCCAGGGTGACCGTCTTGCCTACCTTGGCTGAGATGTCTGTCAGAGGCTCAGTGAACTCTGCAGTTTCTGTTTTAGAAAAACACAACAAAAATAAATTATTATGTTAGAAAGATACATATTTTTTTTTGTAACTACGTATGACTTTACAGTAGCCTCTCAAATCAAATGCAAAATGGATGATTACTAAGGGATCTCGAGCTTGCTTTACTTTGTCAGCGTGGGTCAAACCACACAGGTGATTTTTATAACATTTCTATAAACAAATCATAACATAAACGTGCAGGAAACAATGTGCCCCTTCGATTTCATTCGGGTGAGGCATAAAATATTATTTTGTTGCAGTTGGTTCACAATCAGCAGACCGGTGGTATCACAGGGGGTATTCAAGCAGAAAATTTGGAATACTTCAACGCACTGAACAAGGTGAACTCAGGCAAATCTGGCAGAGTTTAATGACATCAAATTGACCTTCAAGTCTGCTTTGCGGTGAAGTACAAACTAGCCTTCACTCTGAATGACAATGGTTTCCTCATCAAACAAGGATTCAGATGAAGTAAAGCGATTGAGGGGTGCATGCCAAGTGAGCGAACCACATACCGACAGGTGTCTTGGCACAAGCTGAAGTAGATTTTCTGCTCATGGGTCCAACCCCCGCCTCATTCTCGGCGGCCACCTGGAACTCGTACTCTCTCCCCTTGACCAGATTTGTCACCGTGAAGTTAGACTCCTTCAAGACCTTCCTGGTGGCTCTCATCCAACGGACGCCCGTGGTTTCCTTCATTTCCAGTATGTAGCCGGTGATCTCTGAGCCTCCATCGCTGCGAGGTGGTTTCCAGGAGACTGTCATGGTGGTGTCGGTGATGCCTGAGACTTCAGGGGTACCAGGTGCATCAGGAACATCTGATGAACAAGATTAATAACATGGTGATAGCATCTAAGCAATGTACACTGTTGTGATACATGTTACCAATAAGCCAATTCAGAATTTCACAAAAATTGTCAAAATGAAGTGTTGTGTAGGTCACCCGAGAACATCACCATACGCACATGGTTGGCCATATCAGCACCGCCACATGCTAAGTCATGCGCATTGAACATGTTTAAGTTGGCATAACATCAAGAGCTTAGTTCTCAAATGACCTTGCATTTCTGAAATAATAAGCTCTATCATTCTCACAAAACAAGCACTAATGGAATGATCTATTTCTTTGTTAAATAATGGGTTTTGATGAATAGATGCTTGTGGAATGACAAATTTTTAGTAGAATAAGGCTCACATTACAGTGTAAATATTCTAACCTATTGTATTCTAACCAATCGAGCTATCACTCTTCCACTGTACTACAGGCATTACAACACAATTCGACTCGAATCCAACTGGACGTACATAGAAAGAATTGAAATCAAATGTGACACTGGTGTGAAAGTATTTGACTAAATAACTTTTAGGAAAAGATCTATTAACACACCTATCTCATGAACACAAGTGATGTGCCGTACACACACACATTCCCTACAGTAGAAACTTCTAGAGAAGAAATTTGTTCATTACTTGGCAAAAGCTGGCTAAACAAGCGTCGCTAATAACTAACTTACCAAACGGGCTCTTGACGAGCACTGCATCGGTGCTATTCAGTGGTTCGCTCTGTCCGTACTTGTTCTCAGCTCGCACTCTGAACATGTACTTGGTGCCATCAATCAGACTGGTCACCGTGTAGCGCGTTCCCCTGATGGTGGCAGACACGCGGGTCCACGTCAGTCGGTCCGCCTCGCGCTTCTCTAGGATGTAGTTGGTGACCTGGCTGCCTCCATCGTCGGTTGGTGGTTGCCATGACAGCGTGACGGAATCCTTGGTGATGTCAGAGGTATTCAAGGGACCCTCTGGTGGGCCGGGCTTGTCTGTAGATGAGGAAGTATTGAACATTTAACTTTAACTGTGCTGTATTTTTAACCTTTTTGATAAAGTTTCTTTTGTTTATCCTAACAGTCAATGCGGTTTTGGCCATTGTACTATGAAAGCTATTGTTCAAATAATCATCATGTACCCAAAAAAAAATAGTAAGCAGCAGGTTGTGGGTTCGAGTTCCAACCGAGTAAGCTTG